TTAACATTTACAAACGTACAAACATACATACATATATACATATATACATATGTAAATATATAATTGAGCCATATGACATTCCTAGCGAAATTGTTGCATGCCTCACAAACCGCGTCGGCATGTGGCACGCTCTACACACATACATACACCCGCACACACCTCCATTGATAGATACTTTCTTATTTGAGACATATTATTGAACTTGACATTATTGTTGGCATTTGTAAAAATATAAGCTGGCACGCAAAGCTCCTCGAACGCTATGCGAATGCACTATTTTTAACACAAGTATCTTTCTACATACCTAACGGTATATACATATACGTATATATACCTAACACGTGTTTTCTTAAGTATGCATAGACCTAACTGCATATGCCATATCTGTACTTGTATGCATGTATGTGCACACACTTAGATCAGTGCTTCCTGTCTGCGGCAAGTCATCGACGTCATCAGATCGCAATGTTTGTCTGGTTGAATATGAAATTAACATAAGTTTTATTAATTTTATTTCTAAACGCATTTGTGCCAAGAATTGAGCAATTCTGCTTCTGATGCCAGCTGATTGGTCGATTTGAATAATTTCATAGTAATTTTGGCTACATTTAGGTGGTAACCGATAATTCTATACGGCTTTACCTTCTCAAACGGTAGTATTATGTTCAAGGATGTCATGATTTTGCTATGATTTAAACGTGGTTACAAGCTGCAATTATTCCATATGACATAATAATATTTATATTTTTATCGATCATCTGTTTTTGATAGTCTCATAAAAGCTTTGAGCTTTATTCGATTTTATTTCGTTTTATTAATGAGCAGACCGAATATGAAATTTCGAAAATATTGTTTTTTTTTGTTTTTTCATACTTTGATAGTTTAGTTACTTTAAAAATATCACAATAAAATTTTAAATATTTTTTGAGTTACAAGCTTCTAAAATTTAGCCGCTCATGTTATCGAAAGTTATCTATCCATAAACGCGTTCTTCTCAATACTACTTTTGTCAAATTGGCTGCAGTTCTAACTCGAAAAATGTTCCGATCGCTTTAAAGTTTTTCTGCTTATTTCGTATATATTTTCTTACACATGAACCTCCAGATTATCACAAAACTTTAGAACATTTTACGTAGTTTTATTTTTTTTTAAATCCCAATATCCCCTTTTGGCCGTCTAAGCACACCATGTGATCTCCAATTAACCCTAAATCAATTTCGAATTGTTCTACTGCCGAAAATAACCATATCTTTCATTGTGAAACTTTTTCATTTATTCCTAACGTTGCAAACGCTTATAACCATAACCTCTATTTGTGAGTTCATTTTTTTTTATTTTCTTTTTATTCTACGTTGTTAATTTTTTGTTTTTTTCTTTAAATTCACTGACTATTAAATTTGAAGAAACAAATTTTTAGAAAATTTTTTTTTTAATAAAATAAACAAAATAATAATAATAACCCCGGTACCCGGTTGCTAAAAGACGTCGGCTAACATAACGGTTAAGTTGAAAAAAAGACATAAAGAAGAAAAATTCCTTATTCCTTAAAATCACTTATTGAAGATAAAATATCGTCCGACTGTTGATTTAAGCTTATTTGTAGTCTCATCTCGGTTTCTGATTCGATCAGCCAATAAATTTTAATCTCAATGCAAAGCTTATGGCTTTTAATTGAAAAAAAAAATCAAAATTTGACCCCACCTTAATGTCAAAATCATTACGACAGTCGGGTCTATGAGACCGAAAGCAATTCAGTCCTTCGGCCATAATTTTTGCCGATTTGTTGTAAAAGCCAAGTAAATGACAGAAAGCTTAAGCTCATTGGCAAAATCAAAGCAAAAGTACATTTCGAAATCATCGAACAGAGAACATTTTAAAACCCCGAAAATATTATGGTAAACGTACCAGATGTATTCATTTGATTGTATGCAAATATTAAGATTGCCGCCGAGTTGACTGTACCTGGCCAGATAAAATCAGACTTTATATGAAAAAAATTTTTATTTAATAATATGTCTTCACGAAATTCTGCAGGGATCAATGTCCAAGGCAACGGTACAATATCCAAAGAAATTGTTCAGATCGCGCCACTATAGCATAGAGCTGCCACACAAACTGACCAACCAAAATCAAGTTCTTGTATGGAAAATTTTTTGTTTGTGAAGAGTTTTTTCTTATTTATTTATCTATTTTCATATGACAAATATTTATTCGAGCATAGCAAGCGCTCCTTTATGATATATGGTTATGTACATGTAAATGATGGGTTGAGTTTTATCCATGTATAATTACCAATCATAAAATTTCTAAGTGAAATAATGAAAAAAACTAAAAGTCGATAACAATTAAGTGACATGCCACCATTAGAAAGTTTAAACTGTTTGGATTCAGCTAAGAAATTCATTCTTACAATGTTAATAGCTGTATACTTAATATCATTCTCTTTTGACGTCTTTTATGGCGATTCGCCAACAATTAAAAAGTATTTGAATATTTTCCGCTTTTAAAACTGAAAATATTCTTCATACATATTTTCATTCTTAGTATGGACTTTGTATCCGACGGTAGTCACACACATACGTATGATTCTATGTACTTATGTATATGTATATTATACTTGTTAATACAGTGTCAAAATGTTACTCATACTCAGCGTAGGACTTTGCATAAATAAACCTAGAAACATATTTCATATGTCAGCGACCGCTAAATTTCTACAAACATTCTTTCTTTATTACATATTTGTATATGTATACATATATATATTAAGGTGGAGCGAAAAAAAATTTTTTTTTGCTTAGCCTGAGGGTAAAATTTGTAGATTATAAAAAAAAAAATTTTTGGAAAAAAAAACAAAATTTAGCATCTAGAGGCGGCCCGGCCCGCTCACTTACTTTCAAAGTAAAATTGAATTTAAATTTTTTATTTCGAAAAAAAATATTGAAAAGTGTTCTAGAAGCTGTGGAGTTTCCTTTCTGGCCAATTAAAAGTTATGAACTTAAACAAATTTTTTGTGGTCGTTATTGGAGTTTCAAAAAAAGTCTTAACGACAGCATGCTTTCCTTAAGCGTTAAAATATATTTTAAGTCGAAAACCGTCAAATTCGGTAATTGTTTTCTTTTCAAAAATTTTCTTATTTTATAATCTACAGATTTTACCCTCAGGCTATGCAAAAAAAAAAATTTTTTTCGCTCCACCCTAATATATATAGAAGTACATATGTACGTTGTGTATAAGAGTATGCATATATAGTTATAACATCAATACCGATTACAACACTCGCTGAATGATCGTACAAATTTGCAGATTTAATATGAGTTTGTTCATTTTAATTGCGATTATTTATATACATATATACTCGTACAAAAATTTACAAAGAATTCATGTCTCTTCATTCACGCGTGTGTGACCATTTCATTTTTATACTTTCGCAACATGTTGCACATGGTATAATAGTTATGTTCACCTAACGGTTGTTTGTATCACTATCACTAAAACTAATCGAGATAGATATAACGTATATATATATATATACAAGTATAAGCGATCAGGAAGACGAGACAAATTGAATTTCGGGTGACTTTTAGTCCGTCCGTTCGTACATGCGATAACTTGAATAAGAGTTGAGATTTTCCACGTCCACAAATTGCCGTAAAGTGGAATATTATATTGTGCTAAGCTATATATTAAGTTACAAAAGCGAAATTTGGTATAGAGGATCACAGTAGAGGGGCACTTGTAGCTTAGAAGCTTTTTCAAAGTGGGCGTGGCTCCGTCTCTAGAAAGTTTTTGGACATATCTCACAAACTACATAAGCTACATGAACCACACTTGCTGCAGGCACTTCATAATTCTGATCAAAACTATTTAAAGGTAGATAAGTCGCTAAGAGAAAACGGAAGTAGTATTAAATTTCATAGTAAAGATGGCATGAATTGATACGTAAGAAAAATCGAAAAATGGACATAAAGTAATTTTAAGAAAGAAGGTAATTTTAGAAGAAACCTCATTCCTCAGCAACTACTGGACCAATCTTAACCAAATTTGGTGCATATCATTACATTGATATCTTTATGCCATAGTTTGATGAGCGTAATCGGATCGCAAAGCCTACTTCACATATAACATTCAATTCTCTCGGAAATTTTTTTTACAAAATATAATTGAAGTACGAAAAAAAATAAAACTTTGAACAAATATGTTATTGCCATTAATTTGTGTAATTCTTCACCGAAAATATCAGTGAACCGATAAGATATCTTAATCAAATACAGAGAGTATCTTTGCTTGATAATAATACCAAAAGTAGATAAAATCGGGTCAATACTTTCCCTAGCCCACATATACCCTATTAAGGATTTTCATAATTCTGATTGACTTTATAACGTATAAATTGGTCATTATGTAAAATTTTTTAGCAAAATTATGTCATCATGGATACATACTATAGTTTGGAAGCGAATATAAGTGAAATTAGTCTTGAATTACTCCATAAAGTTTCGTTATGTTCTTCTCTGTAGAATATATCGCTCAAATTGTGAGTTATCAAATAAAATTTGGTAGTAACACGATCTCAAATGTATTTAAGGCCATAGTCAAAGCATCTAGCAAGCCTCAGTGTACCTGGTATAAATATGTACGTATAAAGTAATACCTAAATATATGTTTTTCCTAACCTTAAGTCCCAACAAATTGTGATAGTATAAAATGTGCGGTCACACTCGAACTTTGCACTTCCTTAATAGTTTTTTGTATTCAACGTCTGCCTACACATATACATGCATACACACATATGTAAGTGCGAATATAATTGTCTGGTATATTTTAAGTTTTCACGACAGCAATTAAAAGAGCCGCCGACGGACAGGCATAAAATTTTAAGCAAAGTTTCTAAAGTCTCTTTTAATCAACAAGTAATAGTCTTCTTTTAGTTTCTATTACATACGATTCGTACTCAACATGCTCACGTTTAATACATTTCTCTACATGACTATTTTTAGCTACTAAACTAAGCTGAACTGGCGTAGGAAGTGTGAGTCTAGATTGATCTAGTAAACTGTGCTCGAGCATTGAACCAGCCGGCGTTTATAGGATGAGCAAAAATGGGCACAGCAATCCGACATTCATTGGCGACAGTGTTGTCAGCGACAAAACGACCAAGAGATACTCACTAGAGTTAGCTGAGAAAGGTGGCAAGACGGTGGGTGTGGCATCGAAGGAAGCTGCGTACGATTACGATTACAATCCTTATGAAAATCGCGAGGTGGAACATCCTACGACGTAAGTATCAAACAATAATATTTTTCCGTCTCGACTTTATAAAAGTTTACGCATATACCGTTAATCCATGATAAAGGTCTATGTATTTAGATATGTATATGGAACAGTTTTTCGTTTGAGATTTAGAACAGAATTTTCAACTCTTTCAACCGGCACCAGAATTATTTATTTTAAAACACTTAATGGTTTTTGGGCAGTCAATCCGGATCCTAAGTTCTTGTCTAAACCTAGCAAAGTTAATAGTTTTTAATTGCATAAATATATTCCAAGATTTTCCAGTGTCAGCCGAGGAAACAGCTATTAAAGAAATTTCTACAAGTTGTCGGACCTAGGTCATATGTAGTGTAAGTAGTCGCCTTTAACTCCTCTACCAAGAGCGACGGATCCCAAGCAACTCATAACTTTCTAGGCCATAGGATGGTCTTCGCCTTCTTCGGAGCAGGTTCGCCACTAAAGCTTACTTTTTTTGATAGTCCCTTGACCTCTGCTGTGTACCTGTAATTTCATGTTTCGCCGACAGTCACGAAACGACGCAGAAACTCATTTGGACTGCGCGTCAAACACTGCTGTGAATGGCTCACACGGTTGCGCTCGATGTCCAGAGTGAGCAAACGCGGCACAAATCGCTTAAACTGCTTTCTTCGGGGCGGTCTTTTAAGATACCTACTGTCTCATTTATATCGCGCAACTTGATTCTTAAGTGTCTCAATACGAGATTGTTTACTTTTATCCCGTTATCATCCATTGCAGCCATTTTCTCCAAGCCTTTTTGGATTTTCTAGCGAAATTTCCCTTCGAATAACGAGATCTAATCACCGATCGATAGTTCACTTTTTCCATTTTTCCAAAATCCGGAGACGCTCCAGTTGCCACAGGCGGTTAAAACCAAACTACGAGTTCGATACTTTGAAAGTCTTTGTAACGGCTCAACTCCAAACCCCCGAGTTTTTGCAGAGACCAAATATAAACTTGTAAAGTTTTATTTAAGCCTATTTTAAACTTGAATGGACTTGTCTTAATACATACTTTAAGTCTAATCTTTACTCATAATATATTTATACATAAATGGTATTTGGTATATAATCAGAAACTTCGTACAATGAAAAGCAAGTGCTAATCCCACTTTTATTTTTCCCTTTAGCAATTCCGAGACACTCTTCCACTTGTTGAAGGGTTCTTTGGGCACAGGCATACTTGCTATGCCGAATGCCTTTCGTAATGCCGGCTATATAACTGGCAGCATAGGTACCGTCATCATTGGATTCATCTGCACTTATTGCATACATCAGCTCGTGAAAGCTGAATATGAGCTATGTCGGCGAAAAAAGGTTCGTAACGAATTGAAATACCGTTATGCGCATTATGTTACCTATATTTTACTAACTACTCGGTAGGTACCTAGTATGAATTATCCCAATGTGGCGGAGAATGCTTTGCTGGAGGGACCGCCATTCTTTCGTAAATTTGCGCCCTACATTGGTCATGTGGTAAACACCTTCCTTCTCATCTATCAATTGGGATGTTGCTGTGTCTATGTCGTTTTCGTAGCCTCAAATATTAAATCCATAGCCGATTTTTATTTAGATGAACCCGTCGATGTGCGTCTGTGTATGGTGATCATACTGTTACCACTGATCTTCATCAATTGGGTGAGTATGCGATGAGGACTCGATATAAAGTCAAGTAGTTCTTCCTTTTTTTTTTACTGATTTACAGGTTCGCAATCTGAAATACCTAGCGCCATTCTCTACAATTGCCAATGGCATCACCATGGTTTCGTTCGGCATTATCTGCTACTATATCTTCCGGGAACCTTTCACCACCGAGGACAAGGTAGCCGTGGCGCCTTTTGCCGGCTTTCCACTTTTCTTTGGCACAGTGCTCTTTGCTCTAGAAGCTATCGGCATCATACTGCCGTTGGAGAATGAAATGAAGTCGCCGAAGAAGTTCGGCGGCAGCTGTGGTGTGCTCAACGTCGCGATGGTTCTCATTGTATTCCTGTACTCAGGCATGGGTCTGTTTGGGTATCTGAATTATGGTGGTGAAGTTGAGGGTTCCATCACATTGAATTTGCCTTCGAAAGACATGTAAGTGTGATGAAATTAACTGTAAAAAGTTTTATTAATTATCTGTATGTATTCCGTTAACAGTTTGGCTCAGTGTGTGAAAGGCATGCTGGCCTTTGCGATATATATTACACATGGCCTGGCGTGCTATGTAGCCATTGATATTACATGGAGTGATTATGTAGCGGAGAAATTGAGTCCGCAGCGAAGCAAGCTTTTCTGGGAATACGTGGTGCGCACTTCTATAGTGCTGGTGACATGTAAGTTATATCAAGGTCAAATATTTAGCATTCAACTTTCAGCTTCAGTAAATATCGTTGTAGATTTCAGAAGTACAATATTTTATTCCATGGTGAATCTAACGATTAAATAAATTTTTCATTGGTTTGAGCTACTTTCAAAGTAATTTCCAAGTCCGACTGTGGTTACTCGGAACCTAGCACTAAAATCCATCAGGGTTAAATCGCCCAAATAACAGCCCTTACCCAGATACAACCATGGACCATTCCTTAAATTCCACAGGTCGGACCGTAGGAGTAGAGATATTAGGATAAGTTTAGCGGGTCATGCAAAGAGGTGGTCAATATCATGTGAGAATGTTTCGTATGTCAGGATCTATTCTGGATATATAGAAATTAAATCTTTTTCAATATCCAGAACGAAGTTGCGCTAGGGTCGTTCTAATTTTAAGTTAATGGTTAATTTTTTCACCGATCCAAAAAGAGTTCGATCTTCGAAATAACAGTGGTTGGCCACATAGAACCGGTTGTAGTGGGAATTACCAAGAAACACGTTGAAAAAGTTCATTTTCTGAGCCACAGTTCTGTGACTTTGACAATTAACCTACCATTCCTCCAAACAGGTTTTAGACAACCGTTACAAAAGCAACCCTGACTAATACAGATCAGAAATGTTTAAACTCATCGTCGTATCAATCAATATAACCAAGGTTTTGTAGTTTAATAGCTGAGGTAAGCTATTAGATAAAAAAATGTCTCTGGAAATTTGTTCCTCTTTGAAATGAAAGCTGAAAATTTGCAACGTAGCTTTCTGTAACTTTATAAAAATATCACGACGTTTTAATAAAACAAAATTTCGTCCTACAACCTTTCGAAGGAATTTAGTTAACTGTTTGAAAATCCAAGGAATGCAATTCGATCTAACGATAAGCTGAACAAGAAAGAACGTTAAGTTCGGTTGCACTGAACACAAAAAAATAAAGTTTTGTATCGCACCTATACATATGTTATAGCGATCCGATCTAAACAATTTCTTCGAAGATTACACTGTTGTCTTTTTAAATGATTTGTATCAAATTTTGTGATGATATCTTGTGAAACAAAAAAGTTTTCCATACAAGGATTTGTATTTGATCGATCAGTTTTATGGCAGCTATAAGCTATGTAGTCCGATCTAAACAGTATAGTAGCAGTTCTATGCTATATTTATTCGATATCCGGGTGGTTCCGACAAATGAGCAGATTCTTGCTGAGAATCTCAAATCGATAACTCAAAAACTAAGGGACTGGTTCGCGTACAGACAGACGGACATGGCCTAATCAACTCAATCGGTAACGCTGTCAATTTATATACATGTACTTATGTATAAATGTACTTTATAGCGTCTCCGACGTTTCTTTTTCGATGTTACAAAGATCGTGGGTATACAAATTCTACGGCTATATGATTTTTTTGTTTTTGTGTTTAGTCCTGACCATTTCACTAATTTTTATTTTATAATTTTATGTTATTAATATTATATTATATAACTAAGCACTTTCTTTTTACAGTCTTCCTAGCCGTGGCCATACCTAATTTGGAACTTTTCATTTCGCTCTTCGGTGCGCTCTGCCTTTCGGCGCTCGGCTTGGCTTTCCCGGCATTAATTCAGATCTGTACACATTGGTATCACAGAAAAGGTGTTGCTAAAGTTTGGCTACTAGCTAGCAATTTTGTGCTTATCATAGTCGGCATACTGGGTTTGATAATCGGCACATCTACATCGCTATCGGAAATCATCGCCACATTCTCCAAGTGAGCAGTGCCACTGCTACACTAATATTATTACATAAACATTCTAAATGAATTCGTGATATTTTAAGTTACTGCTCTAACAATAATTAATAAAAAAATAATTTATTGCAAAGACAAGTATTATTTAACAAAATTGCGTATAAATACTATATGTATGCTTGTATTTAGCTAATATACGAAATTAAGTTCTTGAAATTAAAATGGCGTATTTGCGAACGAATCGCGAGAATATGAATTCCTGTTCTTGTTATATTTTATTAAAACCGTTAGCACATATGGATATATTTTAAGCGAAATTGTTGCCATTTTTTATGAAAATAGCGTGTAAATAATTTAACAGATTTTTATATACATTTGTAAGTAAGTAGTTTCCAACAAAATTTAATTTTCTAGTATCACCGAAAATATTTCAAAATCACAATACTTCCAATGAGCGTGCCTTCGACAATCGTAATCTATTTCATTATATAGAAAGTATTCTAGTTACGCATACATAAATATGTATTCATATATACAAGTAATATTAATGTACAAACTAAAATAAAATAAAATTATATTGTAATTCAAAATAAAATAAAAAAAAAAACATATTTTTTTTTGTTTATGATTGGGGAAAAATATAAATTCTGTCATATTTGTTTAACTGTGACCACTACGCCCATAACATGTCTTTATTTACATAGGATAAAAGTAAGTTGATAGAATGTTCTGACCCCATCAAAAATTATATAAGTACTTACGTATGTTTATATTAGATAGATCTCTGTCTATTGTTCGTTTGACGAGTTTTGGAAAAGTTTTAGTCCTGCTTTTTAGAAACTACGTAATGTTCTGTATTCAATTTAGACTGCAACTTGCTAGTAATCGATGAATTAAACGAGCTAGATTTTTCATAAATTTTTATTCATATTAGCCACGGGAAATTGCCTATGGAGCAGAGCCCGTTATGTGAAAACAACTTGTTTGCGTTGGCCGGAAATTGGTCACCCAACAACCTTTGGGGTGGAAATGCACAATCCTAACAACATGGTTAAACAAGTTTTTCCGCACACCGCATACATTCAAACACACATTCACTATTCTAAAAGCCTTTGAAATTAACCAGAATATAATTTATTAAATTACTTTTAATTAACTTTGATATTTATTTGGCGGAAATTATTAACGTTTGGCAAGTGTAAGCTACGTCTCATAGGATGCAATTCCAGCTGTGTTTCATAGGATACCACGCAAATGCTTCAAATTGGACACTAAAATCGTTACTCACTAAATTCAATATTGAACACTAAATACTAGCTGTTTCATTAAAAAGGAACTAAGAAGAAGAATAAACACTTTGGAAACAATTGCTTGTTCTATGCCTTCGCTTAATGGGGCAAATTTTCATTCCGTATCCATAATCTAGTAGTTATACCCATTTCATAGTGCAATGGCAACCCTTGGAGCAATTATTTTTATTACATCGAAATCTAAACGCTGCCGTGTTTTTGCTTATTAGGCTAAATTAGAAAATATAAATAATTCATCACCACGTTAATAAAACAAAACATATTAATTAAAATGGAATATTTGCGAACAGACGCAATTTTTATGGAAATTCTGCAAGAACGTAAAACCATTACGGGTTTCTTAGATGCGGTATTTGGATTCCTTCGAAGAAAGTTTGTGTTTTATAATTTCCTGTTAAAATAGTATATTTAACAGTTTATTTTCCACTAGCACCGACTTCTATCACGTTAAGAAGCATCCGAGTGAAAATGTTGGTTTTGCTAAAGGTCTGCGCGAACAGATTTTATTCGGAGCAATGCAACGCTACGATCCTAGTTGTAAGTTGAATAATCTGACTGCCGATAGCAACGAAAACGATGGCCTATATGCTCCTCCGGCTATAGAAGAAGTTGAAATAGAGACCGAGGAAATGCAGATAGAACAGAAAGCGGTAACAAAAACTATTCAAACGACAAACAATGCTGAAACGAGTATACCAAAAAATAATACAAGAAAAGTTGTTTTCGCTGCCACTGACTACAAAAATGGTGCATGCTTCGCAGAATACTGTTGGTCGCAAACATTGACCGAAGTAGAATTGCATGTTAAATTACCCGGTGATTTGCAAACGGCCAAATCAATTTGTATAGATATTAAAGTGGATAGAATTTCGGTACACAGTCGAAAAGACCCAAAAAATACTGTCATCAATGGGCAAATTAACACTCGATACAAGCACAATGACGCAGTGTGGACAATTACAGAAGGAAAGCTGACAATAAGCCTCGGTAATTGCTCTAAATTATTTTTAGACATTTTACGCAATTAATATTAAATTTTTTGACAAATACACGATTTCAGATAAAGGTAAAGAAATGTGGTGGGAAAGATTTTTCACTACAGAAGATCCCATTGATGTGAAAAAAATAGATTGTGAGCGATATATTGATGAACTGCCAGAAGATTCTCAAGCGGCTATACAAAAACTACGTGTGCAGCAAATGGAACAAGACATTGTAAATAATGTGCAAGAGATAAGTGATAGTGAAAAAGATACTATGGAACGGTTACGAATGGCATGGGATGCAAAGGGCTCACCTTTCAAAGGACAACCGTTTGATCCGTCTGTTGTTAAATTTAGCTAATGATAACAGTTGAACGCATAATGATTAGTATAAAAATATTTATTGGTTTTAAGAAAAATTTTAGACATAAATTATTGTTAATGAAAAGATGTATATAAATGTATGATTTTTATATTAAGATTCTATATTCAGAAAACACTGAACTCTTAACAACTAATTACTGATTTTTAAGTTCATGAACTTTGCGTTGGAGCTGGTTACGTTGATATGCTACATCGCTGCGATCTGTTGACCAAGCCAAGTACATATATGATGTCAATAATACAGCCAGCACAAATCTATCAATCGTCATAAGATTTGTAATCCAAAAGATTGCACTTAAACCGACAAAAGATGGATGCCGTACATGTGTATAGAGATGGCGCAACCTAAACGATTTGTAAGCGATTGGCTGGGCGTAATCCTTCATATCATAATAAGCCTATTTGGAAAGCACGTAGCAAACAAAAAATTTGAGTAAATATGGTAGGAATAAATAAATCAAAAATTGTAATAGTACCTGTTTCACACCTATTATTTCGGGCAAATCCATTATAAGACTACCTCCATAGATTATCATCCAGGCTAATGAATGTACGAGTACAAACGTCCACCATAATGCATTACTAGAAGCCACATCCACTTGCCAAAGCACTATAGACTGTGCTGGTAGCCAATTTCGTATGAGATACTGTATTATAAAAGTATAAACAAATTTATCTTAGCAACCAACAACAAAACAATGCACATTAGCATTTGTATACATGTAAACTTAACGATGACGTAAGGCAATATATCGAACGGTCTGCTGCTGACAGTCCCAACTTCTCCATTAGGCTTTTTACAAGTGCGGATTTCATACAGCTATGTTGTAATATAAATCCGATAATGTATAGGGTATCATACACAATAGGACCAAAACTTGTCTCCAAACGGGACTTATTGTCCAACAAATTAAACATCCACACATATATTTTGGATACATTCCGCGGACGCGACATGAATAACATAAATGTTCCTACCACATAAAATGTATACACAAAAACACCTAATGAGAATAGAAAGACCAGTAATTGTTTTAAAGATACCATGATCTTGAATTTATTTGAACTTTATTCGTTTCCAATACGAAATTAAGCAATTACGAACTTCTCAAACACCTCACAAAATGTAAACAATATCAAGAAATACTATGGCTATTTTAAAATAGTGCTGCCAAGAGTCGCGAAAGAAATCCACATGAATTTCGATAACAATACACTATTAGAGGAAATCGATTGTTGTTTGAGAGCGCACAGTTTGGAGTCAATTATTTTTATAGAGGAACTGTTAATGTTGCCAATAATTTAAATTTCAAAATATAACAGACTTTTGGAAACCCTATTTATTGGCGGAAATGCATTTCTATGTGTAGTAAAATCTAAAGCTAATCACGAACAAAAGAAAAATTGCCAATATTCAATTATCTACATACATATTTACATGTAATAAAACCTCCAAGTAGCAAAGAGCATTGAATTTAGAAAAGGTTTATGGTGTGATAGTCGCCAAATATTCCTCTTCAATGATCTCTGCAAGTGATTTATTACTTACCAATCCTAACAGGGTTAGATCATCGAAATAACAGCATCTGCCCTTCAAGTTGTTCATAAGCGTTTTAAGAAAAGTACTATTTAGAAGGCCTATTTTTCACTCCAGATTGTTTCGATCATGAGAGTGACGACTTTGTATAGTTTCAACACCTCTAGTGCGTTGAAATAAAAGCAAAACAAAAACGAAATACCCCCCCCCCCCAAACGAAAAATAACTAAATGTCAAATTATTTACACATATTTTATCTGTGCCTATATTTATAATTAAATTAAAAACGCTGGAACTAACATAATCAAATCTCTGTTATTATATAATCAACACAAAAAATGGCCGAAGCCGATGAACTAAATAAGGAATTCGAATGTGCCATGAAACAGTTCGAAAGAGCTCATCAGCATTTGAATTACCGCGAAAAGTCCATTGCCACCGAGTGGATAAAAAAATTGAAGAAAGCTAACAACTCGATAGAGGATTTGAAACTACGTTTAGATTTCATCGATTATTTCATCAATTGTTCCAAGTGCAGCATTTTCAGCACAGAACCATTCAATAAAGTGCCGCATCCAAATGCTTCGTTGCAGAAGTTGCGTAATATGCTGGTAATAATACCCTTAAGTTTGCCACGAAGTTTTTAACGTCTAGGAACAAACGTTGGATATCTTTTAAAATGTTTGTGTAAATGATCAACATGACGAGCTGAATCCATTTAGCCATGTCCGTCTGTCAAACACAAGTCTGAACAAATTTTTTAGATCGAACTACATAGCTGCCATAAAAATGTTCAATCCAATACAAGTCCTTGTAGGGAAAACTTTTTTGTTTGACAAAATATCCTCACAAAATTGGGCACAAACCATTATAACAGACAACAGTGTAATCTCAGATCGGACCATTATAGCATTTCGCTGTCATACAAAATTTTCTTTTTCTTTGTATTTGTGAAGCGTATTATAGCTTCGGAACCTACAAGTTTTCTTGTTTTTAGTTTTAATAAAAGCATTTGATGTAGGATGGTCTAAGCTAAGACTATTTTCGGAAAGTTCGTTTATTAAAAACATTAACAAGCTGGTTTAAATTTAAAAAGTTGTTGATCATATTCCGCCCTCCATATTACGGTACCTTAATATGCATACAATTTTATATTGATACATGTCTATATTATACTCCTCAGCCAACCAGCCATAAAATTCGTAGTGTTGACGCAACTTCCGATGAACAACGTAAACTTTATGTTGAGGAAATGTTTGACAATATGGCGGATAAAGGTGCCTTTCTTTCCGATCAGCCAGTGCCACTGGATGGTACATTCTTTCTGGTGATAATAAATCAAAAATAGATATTTCAAACCACATCATATATTGTGGTTTATTTTTTATGTATTTACAAATTTATCTCTGATCAAAATATACTGCATATGTATGTAAAATTTATAGTTGTAACATATTATATATACATTTTATAATTTTAAAATCTCCGTTGAACATTTAAAAGAAATATGACTGCCTATAGTTTGCATTGCTTAAATAATTATACTTATGTTTACTTTATTCTTAAATTTACGTTGAAATTCACTTACGTATATACCTAATAAAATGCTTACAACAATCGGAGTCTATCGTGTACGTTTTTAAATATAATATTATATGTATGCCTACTAAAGTTTACACGTATATTTACAATTAAATAAAGTTAAATTTTTTAATACAATAAATATAAACAATTAATTTAGATGCAATTAACAATAAATGCGTTTTCAATTTCTTTAAGTGCAAAGCATATCAAATTTCAATAAATTTTTACAAAGCAGCTGCCCAAGCAAAAACTAGTGGAACTTTAATTGAGCATTAAACTTACACATAATTGTCTTAAGGTGAGCGAGATATAAGAAATATGCACAACGACAACTGAATCATGCATTGTTTAAATCCATACATAATCGTCGTATGTACAATACATATGCCTACAAACTAACATATTTCAAAAATATGCTTACTTATGCTTTGAATGTAACATATATAAAAAATCTAAAAAAATTTAGAAAACAATTGTTGCTTAAATAAATGAAGTAAAATAAAAAATACAAAATTGGTACAAATTTAAGTCAAAAAAAAAAAAATTGTATCAAAAAAAAAAAAGAATATTAAATACTAATGGCTCGGTTATAAAATATTAATTATGCTCCGAAGCAATGTAAATTAATTAATTAATTGAATTATTCTTAATATTTGAGTGTACGTACATATGTGTGTAGATAATTACAATGTTGGTTTAATACCAAAGCGTAGTTTTAATAGGTTTATGGTATTTTACAATAATAAAGCGTTCAAAGTATTTACAAGTAAAAATTCAATATTTTGCTCGTTCAACCGATCATAAGGAGTGTTACTTTACTGAAGCAGAATTTATGTAAACACTCGTTTCAAGCTCGCTCCTATAAAATAGTGGCAGTAAAATGTTATAAAGTAATGTAAACTGTTGGTATTACCAGAGAAAAATACTATAACGAGTACCCAGAAACTTTCGAGATAATTTTTTTTAATTTTGTTATATTGTTTTCTAAATGAAACATATGGTCTAGAGAGCACAGTTATTCTGAGAACACATTACTCGTACATATGCCATTATATGCTGATTTAAACGGCATTTGTTGTTGATGTAGCGACATAATATAATATATTCGTTAAATAATTTTAAAGAATGTTGTCGAGTTGAGAGCTGCTAGCCGAATATATGGTAAATCCGGGTATGTTCCGGTTACGTACACTCGACTGTTGTAAAAGTATAACTAAAGAGAGATAGAGACTAAAATCTATAAAGTTTAAATATAAGCCGAAGGTAATAAGCGTTATATAAACAAGAAAAAATGTCAACCTCGGTTGCACCGCAACTATAATACCCTTCACAGGTGCATTTCTTATAGCATAAAAGGTTATAAAAAGATCTTTATCTTGATTTTATTCGGTCAGTTTGTATGACAGCTATATGCTATAGTTAGATGATTTCATCCGCTAAGTTTGTATGGCCGCTATATCCAATAGTGCTCCGATATAACTGACTATGACAAATTAGCAGCTGCTTGGGAAGAAACGGATATGTGCACAATTTAAGATCGATAACTCAAAAACTGAGGACTAATTCGCTTATACACAGACAGACAGACAGACAGACAGACAGACAGACAGGCATAACTAAATTAACTCAGCTCGACACGCTGATCATTTATGGTATGTATATACTTTATAGGGTCTCTGACGTTTTTTCCTGGGTCTTACAAAATTCATGAAAACTTAATATACTCTGTTCAGTGTATAAAATAAGGTAATAGTAGATGTTACAAAACAATGAAAATATGTACTTTTTTGCTGCTATGTACAAAGTGTAATTTGAGCTCAGTTCTGATAACTTTAATAGAATTATTTTGTACATTGCGTGCTTTATGCTAAATCTTGCTTTGTAATTCCTTACTTCACCCATCGAAACGCACCTACATTTACTGGCAACAACAACAACTTATGCATTTGAAAACCATTCCTATTTGCCCTACGACTTCTTTGTTTTACTGAAGAGTTCAATTAATTCATCACCGGTTGGCATTTTGGGCTCCCAAGCCGTTGATGCCGTTAGTGGAACTGAACGTTTCGCCTCAGTATCTTGTGCGACCTTTTCCTTTTCGACTAATTTCTCAATTTCGCCAAATTTATTTACATATTCGTGGTGGGTTCTAGGGCGCGACGAATGATGCTGTATATATTGTGGATGCTGTTTAGATCTATGCTGGTGGTTAGCAGCAACAGCAACAGCAACAGCGCCAGCACCACTACTTCTATTCTGGATAACTGGATTTTCTGAATGCTTGGTGAATTTCTTAAAATGCGCCTGATATGACTCGGATTGAGATTTGCGTTTAAGGCGTTGCGTGTCGCGTAATTGTTGTGCCTTGCGACGATTTGCACGCTCCGCATATTCCAAGCGCAATTTTTCTTCATGCAAATTTACTAAGCGTTGATTTTCTTTGTGTGCGCCATAAGTTTTCGCTGGCGGTAAGGTGGTGCGGTATGCAGCCAGTTTACGTGCTATATCCGCCTCCTCTTCGGCTGTTAGCTTAATCGATGCTAGGTCGGTAATTGTTGGTGGCGTACCGTAGGAAGACTGATGACTTGGTGTTGGTCGTGATTGCATTGATGGTGGTAGTGTTGTTGCGGTGGGCGCGATACGTTGCGTGGTAGTCTTATCAGCAGATTTTAAAGTTTCTTTCCTTTTGTTTAAAATACCTTCGGGCGCTGCCGACAGACTGTCTCGACTTTGTCGTTGAGGCATCGCTTTACTTTTATGCGTGTTTTGCACATGCGGCGGTGTTTGAGTCTTCTGATACGGATGATAACGGTTCGCATTTTGGGGAAGTAGTGTTGGTACTACGGCTAATATGGGTTTTGGTGGTACTCGAGTGCGTGGTGATATGGTGGACGTTTGGCTTGGAGAGGCATTTTTAGTTTCACTTTTGGTTATTGCTTCTGCGATCGGAAGATCCTTTATTTTGATGCTGAGATTGGATTTGACGGGCGGCGTGTTACGTACATCTTCTTCTTCCATTATCCCTGTCTGGCTGTTAGCTTTTGCATTTTCGTTCGTTTTGTTGAGGTTCACAGTGATATTGCTTCTCGCACATGGCGATTCGTGCGTTAAGACAGGGCTTGTAGTACTGTATTGTCGTTTTTTGCTTTGCGCTTTGCTGCTGCGTGCGCTGGAACTATGCTCATCGCTTGTTAGTTTGACTGACATGGCACTGCTTTCGTATGTGCTTTCGTATTTAGTCGTAGGCATTGCGGTGGAGTGTGTACTTTTGGATTGGACCGGTTTAGTGCGCAATTCCTGGCAATCATTGGACTGATTCGGTTGAGAAAGTAAATTTTTCGACTTTTCTAATGTTATTGGTATACTCTTTTCGCCCTGGCAATCTTCTAAGCGCTGTCTTAGTGATATTTTTATTTTTTCAGCTGTTGGTTTGGAATCTGTAATTGTTTTAGCACACTTTTCAGGCGTGTTTTCCGGCGAAAATGGTTGGAAGTTGTCAGTCATTGTAATCGATGACATATTTTTGGCGGCATTTTCGCGTTTCTTTAGCGCAATCAATGTCTCTTTACTGATTAGAATGGGTTCCTGATTGGTAGATAATTTTTTATCCTTTTGCTTAGTCGGTTGAACTTCTAAAGGTTTCTGTTCTTGTTTACTTGTGGTACTTTCTGAAGCTTTCTTTTCATTGTGACTGTGTGCGCTTTGTGTGTAGGGTCGCGGAGATTTATTTTTAGTTTGGGAGTTTATAATGGCGCAGTTGTTGGAGGCATCGCTGACGACAACTTCTGATATGGTGTGTAAATTGGCATTGTCCAAAACTGTCGTTGCCATTATTTCAGTTTCTATTTGTTTCGGTTCCGAATCAATGGTTTTACAACTAGCCGAATCCATTGTTTTGGTTGTATTTGTAGAACTTTGCTCACACTGCTTTTTCTTCTGCAGCTTTTCTTCACTCTTCAACATATCGAAAATATCATTTGTTGTTATCGCTTTATTGACATTTTCCAAGCACAGACGTTTGGCCGGTGGTTCTTCAAGCGTCGCAGACGTTTCCTGAACTCGGTGCAAATTATTGGGTGAACTTAATTCGTATTCATCTTTATTGGGTTCATCGAGTGTGGGCGTAGAATCACGTTCTTGACGACTAATGTTATTTATTTCAATTTCACTGATATTCGATGTATCAATTAAGTTCGGCGAACCTTCCGGTATTTTAATAGGGAAAGCTTGCTGTGAAGCGCTCGACACGGGGTCTATGCGCTCTAAACGGTTGGTTTGACTTTGTATACGTATTATCGGTTGTACAATTATGGGTGCGGGTATAGTAATCATTTCGGTTATTTCAATTGGTGTTGAGGCGCGTTTCGGTGGTTTTGTAACGGTGATTAACTCTTGTGGCGTTATTTTTTCTAAAGCATCTGCTGCTACAGTGGCTGCAGCAATCGGTTTTATTGCCGGTGTGATGTCATCGACGGTTTTTGATATATTTTCATTCAGATTGGTTAATGTTTCGGTTGTCGTGGGGTTGGCAATTGCTTCGGGTACTATGTTATTAGGTGGCGCCGCAGTAATTTTTTCATCGGATACAGTTTGTTCAATAACCAATTCGAGCGCCGGCATGCTGAATACGGTTTGTTTCTGTTCCTCGGCATTTTTAACGGTAATTGGTGAGAGTGTTATTGTACGTTTCACTGCAGCGACTGCTGTATGTTCTTGCGTATTCTGCGTATTTGTTGTGGGTTCTTCTTTTTTCGGTGTTGAAGTTTTCATCTCCTCAGTCTTTTTGACTTTCCAAAATGGTTTGGGTAGACATTTAGATCTCGAGAATATTTGCAACATATCTGCATTATTTGACGGTGAAGTAGTAGCACTCTTTTGAGAAGCAGTTGGTGTGGATGTTTGATGTGACGACGTGGACTTTTTACGCACTTTCGTTCTTTGTTTTTCGACTTCGTTGATATCCTTGTTATAACTATGATCACAAGCCACCGAATTCGTATTGTGATTGCCGAGCGATTCTATCGAATTTTCGTCTTTCTTATCATTGCTTGTCTCCTCATCGGCTGTGCCGATTGCTGGCGGTGGTGGTGTTTCACACAAATTCGACTCAGCGGAGAACGAATTACTTCTACTCTGAGTTTTATCCAATTCGGGAAAGGCAAACAAATCACTGCCGGCTTCCGATAAAAAGTCCGCAATAGTGAAGCTGCCAACCAAATCGAAACCGGTAGGTGGTACTTCCACCTGATCGAGTGAGCTTATGGTGCCTAGAAAGGTTTCTTGACCAATACCAATTGCATCCTCAGTCGCAGTCACTGTCTTATCAATGATTGCAATGACGTTATTTTCCTGTGCGATTGGCGCACTAGGCGCCACATCACTTCTGACAGCAGCCTCCGCTTGATTAAAGTTGACTGCCGCTTTTGTCGTGGCAAAACTGTCCTGCGACCATTTCTTCGCCGAATTCGTGCCAGATATCATGCAATCAATAGACTGACGCACTTGTTCGAAGAGCATGGCATCCAAGAGATCTGGATATTCGTTATTTATGTTGAGATCGTTGGGTATGTCTATTGAGCTGATGTCGGCTATTGCTGATAGCGAAAAGTTGGCATCCGTCTCCTCTAAGTGCGTATTCAGTTCTTCACCCGCAACGCATTTACCAGTTTCTTCACTTTGTGTCTCTACTTTTCGATTAGCGTTAGCGTTTTGCGAATTCTCTTCGCTGCCTTGTGTAGTCTCCACTTCTAACTCTACGGCAAAATTTGGCGTACCCAAGCCGTCGTGAGAATGCCCAGCATCTGTTTCTTTCAACACTTGCTCCTGCGTTGTTGTATACGTGTGCGTTATATCCGCAATCTGTTCATCTTTTTTAATCAACAAATCGTCAAGACTTAAAATTGGCGCAAAGAATTGCTCGCTTGTGCTATCATCAGCATTGCTACTTTCACTTTCATCGTCTGCAAAGAGCGCATCCGGTACTTTCGCGGAAATCTGCTTAACGCTATTCATTGAACTTCTATTGGAAGATTTGCGCAGCCCTTCTTCTTCGGTGCTCGTTGGCCGTCTCGTTGTTTCTTGTAGATTTGAGTCTGTAGGCGATTTGCTTTTACAGTCTCCCCTCAGCAAATTATTCTTGTTTTCGAGCATTTTTTCCAAAACGCTGTTAATCTTCTCAGCCGTTAAGACATCTAAACGATTTTTGGTCGGTGTTGATTCACTAATAGCATCGGGTTTCTTCGCCTCTGCAACGGCATCATCCATATTTTGTGGCGATTTGCTGGTAAGCGTATCAGGCGTAGAGCTTGCTTCGTCCTTTTTCGAAGTTAACGGTATTTTCGTAAAAGTGGCATTACCTAAAACTATATCAATCGAAGAATCTAAAAGCTGTGCTGTTTTCTGTTCCTCATCGGTCTTCTCCACTTTGCAAACGCCCTCTGTCATTGACTGAGTCTCTTGCTCCTTTTCAGTATCCATAACGGCAGCAGCACTTTCCGAACACGTTATCAAATTCATTTGCTCTTTATCATCTTCGGTGTTTTGCAAACTTTCAGGCGATAGTAATTTTAGCTCTGCAATAATATTATCGGTTATGCTGCTAGCGTTATCTTCAGTTACGCAGTCAGCTTTTGAAGGCGTTGCATTTTGTTGAATCTCCTCTTCAAGTGGTACTGCCGTTTCAGCATTTTCAATGTCTTCATTTTTATCTTTATCGTCGTTTATAGCTTCCGCTTCTGCTTCCAGTTCTTTTTGATTTTTTGTTTTTTTCTGTTCGTTACTTAACTCAACATTACCTTTAATTTGAGCACATTCTTCCAGAGTTGGTATAACATTCTCCGTTTCTATAATATTTTCTGTAGATTTTGAAATTTCTATTTTTGCAGCTTTATTCCTTCTCGTTTTATATCTATTGCTACCTGCTGCCTCCGCCATAGTTTTCTCAACTACTCGCGTGGCTTTCTTATTTCGTTGCTTTCTGTAACCACGATGTGCGTCTGCCTGCTCGTTTATCTTCGCTTCGGTCAGTATTACATCGCAGGGCTTCAGTATGAACTCTTTCGCATGCCCTCTGTTGTTGTTACTTAAATATGATTCCGCAATATTTATCGGATCTTGGCATGAATCTTCTTCCTCTTTAATGTCGATATCGTCTAATGGTTCGGTTTTTATTTCAGCGTCCGACAAGGTCTGCTTTGGCATTGTTGTAGTTTTCACAGTCGATGGTATGTTTGACTCTGCTTCAGCAGGCAAGTTGGCGACTGTGTTTTCTACATCTTCATGATTTAAGACAATCTCTACTCTTGCTAGCGACGATTTTCGACTAACCGTTGTCAGCTTCTTCTTCGGTGATGTTTCTTCGATTGCCCGTTCTTTTGTGCTTGTTGATTCCTTAATTAAAGGTTCATTTTCAATAGATGTATCTGTCTTAGCTGATTCTTCCACCTTAGAGATGGTTTTCAAAGTCGAAGATGTTTCTGCAATGGTTTCTTTTATAGCTGATTCTTCCTCATTTAGCTTCGATTCATTGTTATAAAGTTTTGTTGTAGTTAAAGATGAAAGAGGTAACTTTATTTTAATGCTTGATTTTGCCAATCGGTTCTTGCGTGCCGCCTTTATAGTGGCGTTGGTTCTGGAACCCTTTGTGTTCGCCACAATTTTTTCTAATTGCTCGGATGGGGCGATCGTTTCCTTATTGGATGATGTTTCCGCAAGTAAAGCATCTTTTCTCGGCGACAGTTCCAAAATTGAAGCTGCTTGTAAGTTGGTGAGATCCTTTATGTCGGATATTTCGTTATTATATGATGTTTTTTCAATAGCAGCATTTTGTAAAGTTGTGGGTTGCTTATTCGGCGCTTCTTTGGTAGGAGAAAGATCTTTGCCAGTAGTAGACAAAGTGGCAGATTTGGTCTTACTTGAAGATTTCGCAAGTCGCTTCTTATTCGCTAACTTTATAGTTATTTTGGCACTAGCATCTTGATTTTTCGCAGTATCAATATTTTCTACAACTTTTGTATTTTCTATAGACATAGTTTCACTAGACAGTTTCTTGACAGAAGACAATTCCTTAACCGAGACATCTTTAAGATTTGTTTGATCATCAGCAGCTGGTTCGTTAGTGGTTGCGAGTTCCGAAAGTTCCGATGAAATATCTCTTTTAACGAATTTCTTGTTTTTGTACGGCGATTTCTCGCGCTGCTGCGTATGAGATGGCTTACCCAAACTTGACTGATGACTATATGTCGCAATAAAGAGCTCAGCATCATTCGTAGATTTGGGAGAATCCAAAACAGCTGATTTTGCTGTATTTGACTCAGTTGTACTAATGTCTAACGCCAATTTAGATTTCTTGTACTTAGTTGGTGATTTTGATAAGACTGAATCGAGTTCTTCACCTTTCTTACATTTTATTGGTGATTCTGATAAGATTGGATCGATCTCTTCGCCTTTGTTATGTTTAGTTGGTGATTTGGTTACAATCGGATCGACTTTTTCGCCCTTCTTATATTTAGTAGGAGATACTGGTATGATTGGATCGCGTTCTTCGGTATCTGTAAGCATTGCAGACTGAACTCCACTAATGGTGCTTGCTTTTGATATGGCAGTTGCATAAGATGGCATTTGTATCCGTTTAAGTTTTACTGTAACTTTTCTTGTCTTTATCAATGTCGGTTTCGGATATATTATTTCTGTACTTGCCTTATTTTCTGCGCTATCTACGGTGTTCTCTCGCTCCTCCTCTTTTTCTACTTCTAACGCTGTTTCTGTATCTACTACCTCCTTCGGTGTTATTTTAAATTTTATTTTCGTGCCTTCAACACATACACGACTAACATTTAAAATGGGCTCATTAGACTCTGAAGGTTTTTCATTTTTTTCCGTGCCTAATGGCTCAACTTCATCGTCGGGCACAATAAAATCTGATCCGACATCTTCAACATCACTTATTGGCGGCGTATCGTATTTCATGCCACGCCTACCATTTTTAATAGACTTTGAAAGTTTCGTCTCTGTTGTGGTCTCACTCTTGCGCCGCGATGTAAGGCGTACCGGATAAATGGGGTTATAATTTTCAGCACATTCACTCTTGAACTCTTCATTCAGTTCATCCAATTTGTGTGTTAGCGGTTGTTCTTCCTGTTTGATGGCGCCACTTTTTCTTCCACGTTTTTTCTTCAAAACTGGCAATGGCTCGGCTTGATCAGCGAAGCAATCAGTTTCGTCTGCACTCGTCACCGTGGCCAATTCGAGTAACCTTCGCTTCACATATTTCTTACCACTAAAAGTGCCAATAAGTAGAGCGCCTTCAGCTTTACGAGATTTCTCAATTTTCTTGGAAGATTTTTTTACTTTCTTCAAGGTTTTATGTTTTTCATTCATGAGTTCTAAAAGATTGTCTTCATCGAAGCGCACTTTCTTTTTCACTATAGCCTCTTCCGTGTTGGTCTTCTTCAAACTTGGTTCCGCAGTTGCTTCCATATTATCCGCTTCTCCATCTCGATTCATTTCCTGCGGCATTTCGACAACCACCTTGTCCTCATTAATATATGTGGAGCTCGCGTACTTATTACGCATATTAATCAGTGTTGTCACAGCTAATATCTCCTCCGAATTGTACTCAGACGGCAAACGCTGGAAGGAGGTACAATCTTCGGAAAGTTCTGGCGCTGTTGGCAATATTTGCTGTTCGCTTTCAAGGACATCATCCGGTGTTTGATTTTGAATGAGTTCAGTAGGATCTTCCAGACTTTTACTATCTACATCTTGCTTATTGTATTCATCTTGTACTGTTGCTTCTTCTGTCTCATGCTCAGGCACAGCAATGTCCTCAGCAACTTCAAGGTTCTCTTTAATAACCAATTTGGCGATATTGTCAGCTAGCTCCTCCGCGGTTTTTAACTCGTCAACACTGTCTAAATCTTTGTTTGAATCGTTGCTGGGACTAACCCGACGCTTAATTCGTATTTTGCTGAACGCGTCCTCCGTTAGTAATCTTTTTTTCAAGTTTCGTATAGCCTTAAGTTTCGATAACTTCTTACCACTATTTGTTGTGCTTTTCTCCATCGCGGCTGCCTTGTGTATTTTCGCTTTCTGTTTAAGTTTCTGTCTTGAACGCATTTTTACAATTTCTGTATCACTTTTATTACCATTGGCACACTCTAACAAGGCATCTATACCTATGGGACTCTTATCGTTCTGATCCAAAGAGTTTGTAACGGCTGTTTCACGGTCACATTCTGTCGCATTTAAATCCGTTTCACCCACAGGTGTCATGGTTACTCCTAAATCCTCTGTTATGACAGTACTTTTCACGACATCGATTTGTCCAGACTCAATTTCTGTTGTAGCCTCAGAGTCCATAGTAGACGTACCAATCGCTTCAACTTCGTCGTCTTCATACAAGAATTTTGCCGTTAGTTCATTTTCAACTTGCACTCCTTCAACATTTCGTGCCTTCTCGTCGGGAATTTCACTTGTAACGGATTCGTTTGATACAATTAAATGGCTCTCTTCTGAGCTGCACTTTTTAAGAGCATTGTATTCGTTTTCCGCCAATTCCACCAATTCAGTTTGAACATTTGAATCTGTTATAGCGTTCTTTTCTAAGACCAAGTCCACTGACTCTTTGTTGTTAGCCAATGAAACTACTTGCTGTTCCATTATCGCACTAATATCATTCTTTCCTTTATCTACCTGCAAATTCGGAACTGAAGTTGTCTCTTGCACTTGCACATCTGCTGTTGAAAATTCATAGCATTCAGAAAGGTTTACTTTAGCCTGAGTCTCTGCTGTAACTTCTTTAACCTCGTGCTCAGTTACCTCAACAATTTCTTTCTGTTTTTCCTCTGGAATGTTGGCATTTTGATCTGAATCTTGATCGAAGCTTTCAGTTGGCAATACATTATCAAGAGCACACTTATCGGCTGTTACATCGCTAATTGTGTTTAGCAGTATTTCTTGGGATTTGGAACATTTGAAATTTTTTGTAAAGTCGTCACTGGTTTTCTCAGAATTAACTTTATCAAGTTGCTCCTGCTCTTGTGGTTCCAACGTCGAAACTGTGATCTTTTGCGTCTGTAAATTTTCGACCTCCCCAACTTCTTTACTTTCACTCTCAGTAGATTGCTTACGCTCCTTTCTCGCAACTTCTTGTGAGCAAGACTTTGCACCGACATTGTTTGTAGCTTCAGACTTTGTTATTTCTTCGTCTGACAAATTTTCAATAACCTTGGTACAAATGGCGCTTGATTCCGTAATTCCATCAATTGTAGAAGTCCAGTTTACTTCTGTTGTCTTTACTGTGTCGCTGTTTTTCATGTTAATTTGTATTTCGTCTGTTGTTTCTTCTTCACAAGGCAGGATTTCATCAACTGTGCTACTTTCACTTCTCTGCGGTTCGTGATATTCAGTAGAATTCTTCAAAAATGTGTCAAGACTTTTATTAGCAGCTTCTTCCTCTTCAAATTCGTCAACTTTTTCTACCGAAGCCTTAGCATCTATATCGATTTGGGAGTCCACCACCTCAGTTAACTGTTTGTCCTCAACCGCATGATCATAACAACTATTCTCTGTCTCTACTATTAAAGTATCAGTTACAACAGCTGCTTCTGCCGATATTATTCCAAGATCGATATTCTCTAGTGTTTTTTCAGTGTCAACGACAGAGTTATTCACCAACTCATCGTTTGTTTTACAAATAGTTTTAATTTCATCCTCAGTCTGCGGCAGCTCCTTAATTATATCCTCCTTCACTATCTCTTCAATTTCGCTAGAGGCTGGGACAACTATTTCATGAGCTTTCGGTAATGCCGCATAATCTGCAGTTTCGGTACATTCGTCAATTGAGAAGTAAGCGCTCTCTGGTAAATTTGATTCTGAAATTTGGGTCTCTGTAGCTAAAACCGTTTGTTCACCATTATTGTCGGGGGTGGAGTTACTTATTTCAGGGAATTCAGTAGCTTTTAAATCAAGTGCAGATTTTTTGTCGATATCTTTGGATTCATCCACTTCGCTTTCACTTTCTTCAAATTTTGTGGAACTTTCCATTACCGTTGTTTGTTCAGTCTCTCCATTAGTGTCATCTTTCACAGACTCTATTGTATCCAAGGTTATTTCTTCGGGTTTCTTAGGGACTAACAAAGTTGGCGCATGCGATTTTTTAATTGGATCTTCAGTAGTTAACGGCAATGGCTCAGCTTCAGCAGTCTCGATTTCCTCTTCAACTGAGCTGTCAAAGTTTTCGCTTGCCACTAGTGCTAAGTCACTTGCTTCAATACATTCAATGACTTTAGACCTGACATCTTGCGGTATTGTTATAATATCAGTAGTCTCGGTCTCTTCAGCTTCATTTTCATTTAAATCGGGTTTTGTAGAACTTTCCAGTAACGGTGTTTCCCTAATATCATCGTAGTATTGTTTTGTATCATTCACTAATTCCATATTACCTTTTTTGACCCGCTCAATATTATCGTTACTTTTAGTAGCTAATGGGGATGACTGTACCTCAAGCATTTCACAAGATTCTTCAATGGAGCTGTCCGACTTTTGTTTTGTCAACTGTATTTCCGTTCCTGAGTTATCTTCATCAATCAGTCTAGAGGCCGACTTATTTATGTCACAACACTCAATATGTTCTCTTTGCGTACACTCAATGTCAGTAGCCACGACTTCATCCATTTCACTCTCATTATCTGCGCTTAAGGTTTCTTCTGTAATTGGAATGCTCACATTTTCAGGTAACAGTGTTGCTTCAGTCTTCTTTTCAGATTCCATGACATCATTCGCTGTTTGCACTGTAATTACCGTTAACTGTTCATTATCGGTAGCAGTGAGCTCACTCATTTCAGGCGATTCGAGAAGCATTTCTTTCTCCTCCACAATGGGGGTAAGTGATTCTTTATCAGCTTTTGTCACACCTGTGGGTAATTTTTTGAGATCCTCAACAAATACAAGCTCGTCAGGTTTGTTTAAATCTTCTAATACTTCTTTGGGAGTCGTCGCTCTCACTAAAATGTTCTTTACTTCACTCACAAAACAGTTAACGGCATCGGCACTCGTAGTGCGCCGTTCAACATCGTCGATTTCTGTACTACGAGAAACCGAAGACACCGCTGTAGTTTTGTCAATGTCGTCTTGTTCAGCATGTTTCGTTTCATCGAGCACAATTCGAGATTTGAGCTCCGTTTCAGTACCAAGCTCACATTCTTTGGCTTGATTTGTCTCTAGAGTTATTTCTACTTGATGTTTTGTTGTATTTTCGGTTGTGTTTAAATTCTCGTGTTTGGAAATAATTGATGCTTTCGCTAAATTCTTAACTTCATCATCTAAATTGTTTGCTGTGTCAGCTGAATCTTCCAATTCTATATTCGAATCAGTGGTTAAAATATTCAGATGTTCTTGGCTTTCATCCGAACACTGGTTGTCTTTATTTATACTTGTAGTAAGTGTCTCACCTTCCTCTTGATCCACGTTCATTTCATCTGTTATTTCCTTTGCTTGCATTGATATATTAGCAACATTATCCACATCTTCAACTGATTTCAGTAAACCTTCCATATCGTCTGTGTGCTCTTCTACCATTACCTCAGTAAATCTGTCGGTATTTTCAGCTTTGTTCTTATCTTCTTCATCTAAGTCCGAATTCGAGCTTTCTTCTCCACTTTTGGTTGCAGCAATGTCATTCTCTTGATAATCCATAAGCGGCAAATCATCCTTTTCCAGACATATAGTTCCATTGGTTTCTTCGTCTGACAATTGATGCTTTTCAAGTTCATTGCTTTCTTCATTTAAGCTTGTTTGTGTGTTATCTTGACAACTCACCGATATCTCAACCTCATCAGAACATATATCTTTCAATATAGCACACTCTTGGGTTATTTCCATTTCTTTACTATTCTGTACAGAATCTTTTTTAGCACCGCCTATTAATTCCTGTTTCTCTTCATAATACAATATATCAAATTGCTGAGTCGCTTCGATTTCTTCATTACTCTTTAGTGTATCTGTATTGCCATCCATAGCTTCCGCTTTCTCTTCAAAGCTAAGCTGTGTTGATTTTGTGGTTTTAGTTGCGCACCCAGCATCAAGTTCGGAACTAATCTCTTTCGATACATTGTCGTTAGATGCACTTTCAGCACGAACCGTTGTAATAACTTCTTCGGTCTGCTCCGAATTGATATCATTTTGTGTTATTTGCAGCGTTTGCTCCACGTTTTCTTCCACGACTTTGCCGGGATTCACACATAAAACTTCGTCCGAATACTGATTAGATGAAAGGTCTTCAACAATTTTAGCTGATTTAGTTTCCACCACCGCTTGTATGTTTGCTTCTTCTTCTTCGTCTTTGCTAGTGTCGATATCCAAGCTTTTTGTGAGTTCAGGAACTGGCTCACACATAACACTCAACAAGTTCTCATCATTTGTGTGCGTCACAGCTGATTTCGTTGGGGCAGCATCCTCAAATACTTCGCAGTCACTAGCGCTAGCGTTATTTTCGACGTTATGTGCGGCAGTATTTCTCAAATCGAGCTCATTTTGTACATTTGCACTTACTTCACTCAAATTAAGCTCAACATTATGGGTTTTTACACTTGCAGCATTTTTCACCTTCATATATTTCTCATTAAATTCATGTGATTCGCGTAGGTTTTCATCGATATCAGCTAGAATTTGATCGATTGCCGCCGTTTCGTCGTCTTCAGCGGAAATATGCGCTGTATCACTTTCCACAGAATTGTCTGTTAACTTAGAAGAAGCATCCTGCTTCTCGTTATTAACTGTTATAGGTGCTTCCGGCAAAAGCGACTGGGTTTTTATACTCGGGTCACTGTTTTGTTGCTGTTCATCTTCATTTATCGGCTCCGCAAGCGATATAAATGCAGGCGCAACACTTTGCGGTGCATTGCAAACCTCTTCAGGCGTATCTTTTGCTTTACCAATAATATTTGCAGAGGCAAAATCTTTCAACGAAATCTTAAGACTCTTGGTATTCTTAGGCTCAACCGCCTGCGGTGTCGCTTTCGTGCCTTCATTTTGTGTATCGTCCTTTAATGCAGATGCATTTGCTGCATTGCTGTTGGCATATCTGGAGCATGTCGGCGCATCTTCACTCACTGTCGCTACATTCGGCGTTCGCTCTACGAGCCCAGCCAACACCGCGGGCGCCGGCTCGACAATTGTCAAAGCTTCCGCTGCAGCACGATTTTCGAGCAATTGTATGCGTTGAAAGACCTCTGTAGATGACGTGGCCTCTTCAACAACTTTTGAATAGCCACCAACCATCGATATAATGCAACCGTTGGAGATGTCATCATCAGCACCTACATCACTGCCAGCAGCGACGTTCCCACGGCTGCGCTGGGCAACATCCTCTTCATTCTCATCGTCGCTATAATCGATGCCGAGCAGCAGTTTGCCCGGTTGAAAGCAACGTTCAGCCATAACAACTGGTTGATGTAGTTCGCGACGCTCCAATATCTCCACAGTGCCGACTTCGCGCGCATTTTCGTAAGCACTCGCGTTATTCGCCAACGAATTGCCACTACACGTGACCGCTGCTGGCGTTTCGTTAAGTCTCTCCGTTTCGATGATGTCGTGCGATGTTGTGCTCGAGACTTCACCGGGAATGCAATGCTTCTCCTTACGTATGGGCTTTATGGCCACGCTACCGATGAGCGCACAGCGCAGCGGCATCGAGACACCTTGTAGTCGCGCACGTGCCGCTTGCTGTTGCTGCGTTTGTTGCGACTGTGCGTTGGTGTGTGTGTCGTCTATTTTGTCGCTTTTCTGCTTATTATTCACCACTTCTTCAGCGTCCACAGTGGCTACACTTGTTTCTTCATCTTCCGATGAGGAGTCCAATACAATTGTGTCGACATTTTTAGGTGGCATCTTTCTATGCCTTAACGCATGCGCATTGCAAGTTCTTGTTTTTTGTATTGTAGTATGGATTTGGCGGTTGTCTGTCGTTTGCGTTTGTACCGTTGGTCTTATTTTGCGCACTATTCGCGGTTGTGTACTTTGGTTTCGTTTTTCAATAATCATATTTGAATTTTCGTTGCTTAAATTTTCACTTTCATCTTTATCAGCTTCATCATCGGTTGAATCGAGCGAAATTATATCTTTAGTACTTAGGGTTTTACAACTTAAACTAGTATCACTTTGGTGCTTAGCAACTAAAGACTTACAACTACATCTCTTAGATCTACAGGGACTACTTAACCTATTTCTCTGTATATCACATCCGGCTGGTAAATGCGTTGTTCGACTGCTGTTGTTGTGACAGTGGTGTGTACATGTTTGATGCGTTCGTCGTCGATAACAATGGCGCGCATCCGTCTTCGGGCTGTGCCTGTGCATGTGCATAGTGTCTTCCCTGGCGGCGAGATGGGCTGCGCCCGGCGTTTGTCTCTAAATAAAAGAGATATTAAATGTGTTTATAATTTTGTTAAAAAAAATATTTTTGGGTTTTTACTTCATTGGATTTCAGTTCTTAGTTCATTCATATTCGTTGGATGTTGAAATTTCGAAATTAATTGAAAATAATAAATATTATTATTTCAAGAAAATATGTTGAGAATATTTTAAATTATATTGCTTAAGGTTAGTTGTTGTACTTGCACTAAATTATAATAAAAATTCGTAATTTTGTACTTTTTTTTTAGAAATTAGTTCTCTAACTTTGCTAACTTATTTTTAGGCTTTCTTTTTGGTTTTTTAACGATTGTTGATTGAAGACAAAATAGTATGGCAAATGGATGTTTGAAAATGTTGATTTTGCTGTATTTTCCTCCACAAAACGTATTGAAGTCCTTAACTGTGACTCTAGAAGTTTATCAGTTGGCCCTATTCAATGTTGTTGTTGTTGTAGAGGAAAAACATAAACAAAATAATAATGCTGCACAGCTGAGTGTCCTTAGTCAAATAAAAATCCGAGTCCTTTCCGGTTACGTAGACCAGGTAGCTGTGGGAGCTTTATTCCAGATGTTGTTGTTGTTGTAGCGGCAGAATTCTACCGAGTTGACAGTCCTTGGCCGGAATAAATCCGGGTTCGTTCCGGTTACGTAGACCCGACTGTCGTGGGAACGGCTTTATTCCAGATCGTTTGATGTTGGTTGTAGAGATTTTAGAATGTTGATTGTAGAATTTCCATTTGAATTATTGATTGTAGATGTTTTAGTGTTGATTGTTGATCTTAAAATAAATGTTGATAGCAGATTTTTTTTTTTATGTTGATTGTAGACTATTTAGTGTTGCATGTTGCACGTTGATTGTAGACATTCCTGATTGGATTGTTGATTGTAGACAATTATGTTGATTGTTGTTGGTTGATTGCAGACAACTCAGAGTTTAACCTTCAGTGTTGATTGTAGATGCAGCCGAATTTCTCTATAGCGAACTTTTTTCAAAACAACTTGACCATTTTAGAAATACTAAAAAATATTTAGTATATTAAACTCTAAATATTTCATACGAGTAAGGTAAGATATAATCGGACAAGTAAAATTGTTGATGTAGTAAAAACAAAAAATTATTAAAAAGAAGAGAAGTTATTAATAAATATTTTTTTTTTTAATTTAAGTTTTTAAAATTTAAATTTAAATTATAAAAAATAAATTTGTTTAGTATATTTTTTAACATTAATTTCTTTTTCAGATTAAAATTATAAAAAGTAATTCCTTTTATTACCACAAAATCTTTTAAACTCAACTATCTGCTATAGAGAATTTCGGCTGTTGGTAGCTGTCGCCGTCGCGCCATTCCAAAGCGTCGAACAAGTTTTTCAATTCAATTTACGTTATGGTTAGTAAAATTAGTTTGCACACACGTAAAATTTAGAGCTTTTATAAGCGTGAATCATTGATAACCGTTTCAATAAAAACAATATTTACTTTAAGTACAACAAAAACTTTACATTAATTTGTAAATGGCTACAAAATTCATAAAGAGGTAAAGCTAAATATGTAACTAATACATATCTATGTATGTACATACGTATATAATAACATTAGTTAACAATTGTTAAATTGTTTTAATAGGAAACGACGCCCAACTAGGAAACAATTCTAAAATTTTTGAGAATACTATATTCTTAATTAATAATTCGTGTATAATAACTGGTATTGATTGTTAGCAACTGGAATAGAACGTAAATTATTGTTCAACACAATATTATTTTTGCGATTGTTGTTCATCACGAAGATGATGTTGTTCTAACTTGCAATTAAATCGCACATATTTCGGACTTACGTGGTCCAAACGTTGACGACACGATAATCTATAACCGAAATCATCGTATAGTTGACTTTCGTATACTTGAAGATAATTATTGATTGTAGTTTGTAACGCATCAATGCTAACGTTCTCCGCCAATAATTTTCTAAAATTTAAATATTAATTTGGTTAACTCTACTCAATTAAAAAAAAAAAAAAAATTTCACCTTGTGCCTTGCTTATCGTAATCATCAATTAGCTGAACATTGTAATCAACTCTATAGAATGGATCCTCGGTATTTTTTGGCACCAATCTTGGTAGATAAGCAGAACCCTCTTTAATTGCGATTTCTACTATATCTTGCTTTCTTCTGTTTGAATAATGCATCCATTTTTGAAAAGCCAAAACTTTCAGTCGATAAATACCGTAATCATTGTTTTCCAAACGCACTTTCGGGTGGGTTAAGAATTTCCTAGAATGTATTTAGTTTAGCAAACAGAAATGTGAAAAATATGCTTTTACTGTAAATTACTTGAAGAGATCATCCAGAAATTTGCTCGGCTTTTCGGGGAAATTTGTGCGCAGCAAAGTCAAAATTTTCAAATTAACATCATCATTCAGCAATGAGGACACGGTATTCATCAACGCCTCCATTTTCAATTTATAATAGTTTTCGTTTTGTATGCTGTGCTCGATTTCGAATCTGCTATATTGTGCCATTAACTCAGATATGTACCAATTTAGCTTTTTGTGATATTTCGTCTAAAAGGGAAATTGCAAAATATAGATTTTTATGGCTCGAACATTTTTAATATGGAACTTACGTAGTTTGTAGTGGTACCATATGCTGGTTTCATGGCACTTAACCAACTTTTAACCTGCGCCCATAAATGTCTTACATCTTCAACGGACTCTGTCTCTTGGTAATTTTTGACCATTTTTACAAACTCCCTCATATCATGATCTGGAAAATCCAACTCAATTGGTTCACCAGGTATTGCACCTATAGTTGATGGCGCCGCCTTTTCAATGTCGAAGATTTGTAAAATTTGATGAAATGTCAATTTATACGTTCTACGTTTAATGTCCTGATATTTTTTGTTAATTCCTTAAACATTTTAAAACACAAATACGTTAGTTATAAAAACGCACAATCGTCGAATTGAAGTAGAATATTTACCCGACAACCCTTTATGTTTGCTCGGACTAGAGACCTTGCTCAGCAAAGACTCTAATAATGTTATATTATTTGCGCTGGTAGTACTGCTATTCGATTCAGTCAAGACATTGTGCTGTGGATTTTGTGCTTCCGCAACAAGCGTCGTTAAATTTGATGTTGGCTCAGTACTTTGTTGAGTTGTTTCATTATTTACTCTTTCGGTTTCTGCAGTTACGCAATTCTCTATTAACTGACCACTGTCCAATTTATTGCTTCCTTCTAAACTTTCAATGCCTTCATTCAACGTTGATATTAATAACTCACAATGCGCAGGAGGTGTGCAGCTATTAGCAGCAGCAAGTTCTTCTATCGTTGAAGAGAAATCCTTCCTCGAAGTTAGTGTATGTTCTGTATGTGTATATTTAATTAATTATATATTGGAGGTATGTCAAATATTACATTTTAGTCTTACCTGCAGGTGGAACATTACTAGACTGTTCATCTTCGTCGCTGCTGATACTGACCACACCACCATCTTTGTTGGCGGCATTACCTCGTTGTGCTGGTGAAAGATTATCAGCATGAATTTGAAATTTTCTCTTTGCATTAGTAGTCTGAGGTACGGAAGTTGATAGAAATACGTCGTATTCATATTTTTTTGTTAGTTCATCCACGAAATTACTCCAACTCTCATTACTTAATTGTGGTAATCTTAAAGCAGGTTCATCCTCAACCAATATCACTTCTTCAAGTTCATCCATTTTATTAGACAACTCCTTTAAAACCAACACATCATCGTCCTCGTAGATATCACTAGCTTCATTTTGTTTGAGCGCATCTAATTCTTCAACTTTTTCGCTAGTGGCATTAGAAGACAAATTTGACAATCTTCGTAATTGAATGTGTTGATACATTTCGGTTTGCTTTTATACATGCAGTACTGTTTAACTTATTTCCAATACTATAATCTGCATTTAATTTTTCATACAACTTTAAGTTAATGGTCCCTGTATGAAAATTACCATTTTTGACAGGTATTATTTTCTAAACGATTCGAGCGATCAAAACATAACACGATAATTTTTATTTTCAGGAACCTAAGTTAGAGTGAGATGGCGGGAGTTTCTCCTGGGCGCGCTTCTAACTCGCTGAATTACAATTATACAAATTTACAAGCACGTTTGTTGTTGCAGTCGCTTACTGCTACAGAGGGTTGGGGTGATTGTGTGTAGTCTATATGCACTGATTGCAATTATCTTTCTTATATTTAAACACGCAAAACAGCAAACTACTTTGTATTTTCCTTTATAACTATTAAACACCTCGCGATTTTTATAAATATTATCTTTAACACTGTAAATTTAATGTTTATTTTTTACCAAATTTTTTCTCTACCGCATAAAGTAATGAACAACCGCAATGAAGTATGTGTATGTAATAATTTTTCGTTTTACTGCGTTGCCAGAATACTCCAATAACTGCTTTCGTTTGTTTACGTTTATGCGTTATTACCCTCCCATTGATATGCAGTTATACATCTGAAGTAAAAGCTTCTTTTACTATTAAAAATTTCATTATAAAGATTTTCTTTCGTTTACAATTTAAATAATGGTCGTACGTATTTTAATAATTTAAATTTGTGTGTCACACACGTTCTTAACGATAGAAAATCTGCCTTTTCTCACATTCAATATTTACAAATCGCTTATACGGAATGTGACTAGAGGAAAAGGTACAGCTATTTAGTATTTTTCTGTAGAGTTAAATGTGGTCCACACATCGAGGCTGCCACCCAACTATAATGTGTCTTTATTGGACACATGTGGAGACAAATTATTTGACTGAATAACCAACCTACAAGATCTTAAGATAATTAAAAAATCAGGTAACCCACATTTTGGAAGAATTTGAGAGCCGGAATATTGCAAATTAGCGTAGATTGTCGTCATCATTTTCTAAAAATATTTGATTATAAAAATGTTTACCTTGTGGACACTTGTGGAGGCTTCTTTACTGTGCCTAAATGCAGTATGTGTATTACACGAAGAACGTTTTTTGGCAAAGTGTGAGTATAATATTTGGTATATAAACAGGCTAATGTTGATCAAGTATTTTGGTAGTTGGTTGGAGTGCACAAGCATCTAATATGCAGGAATTTGGACAGCCCACAGCGAAAGCTCAAATCTTAAATCTGATTCGGTCTATTCGTACAGTCGCAAAGAGTAAGTGCGACAATGATATAGATTATTACATTTACTAATTCATATTTTTTTTTTAGTACCACTTATATTCCTTAATGTGCTTGCGATATTAATAAAGCTAATACTTGGATAATAAAACGACTTTTATTTTGCATATAGTTTATTAATTAATCTAAAACTAGTTCTACATAAATTAATATCTCAATGCGTAGTAGTTCTTCGTTGAAGTACTGACTTTACCCTATTTTCAAGTGCTATACTATAAGCATCCAATTTATATGCAGCAGCTTCCAACTTGTCTACTGTGTCAGATATTTCGTCGATTTGCTTCATTAATGGAACCTATAACAATAAACATAAACAATTTTGTAACGCATTTTGCAATTGAACAATAAAAATTATAATACCAATTGTTGGAATTTTATGCTTAATTCATTTGTTGATACGCTCAGGTTTTCAGCAATTTGTTGCATATCTGAGTACTTAGCCACAGTGGCTTTATTCATTTCCTCCAATAGCTTGTAGTCTTCAAGTGGAGCGTTTAGTTCATTACTTATATACTCCTCCGTCTTGCGAAACATTTTCGTGGCTAATTTGCTCAAATTAGGGTCATGGGGATCCAAAGCTTCGAAGCTTGAAGTACTTGTGGACAGTGTGGGACCACGTATAGGCGAATCAAGTAATGCATTATGTTCTTGAAAGGTTTGAGGCTCTGATGGCTCTGCAGAATATTCAGCTTTGTTTTCCATTGAACAAATGTTTACTTCACTGTATACGATTATGTATTACACCAGGTTATCTATAATTTATTACACTTTTAATGTATTTTTATAAGAACAAATATTTGTCCAAAAAACAAATTAATTCTTATCATTGGCAAATAAGTATTCGTAAACAAACTACAGCTGTTTTAACTTTATGAGCGATGCCACTGAGTGCGAACTTTATTTGGAGAGAGAGAGTCAATTTCCACAGGCAGTTACGTACCACTTCATTCTTTTTCAGGATTTGAATAGATATAAAGATCGGGACACTGAAACAACGGTCCACACAATATAACATCCTAAATATTTATCGAACGAAATTCCTTCAATAGTATATTTGAAATAAATAGAATACGTTTTATTTAAACTTCTTAAAGCGCAATATATTATGCATTCAATTATGGTATTAATAAAAACGATGCATGATAGCAAGAGATATATTTAAATCAAAGAATTTTTGTAATTAGATACATATGTGTTATAGATATTTGTCCACAACTCTTGTTCCGTTAAGACCAAATGTTATAAATAAAAATATAAAACCAAAAATAGTTTGTCGCTGTGCTTGGGTTACATTCATATCTTCAGACAACTAATCTACTATTTACGAAAAAGTAAGAATCTTATATGACAAGTATATATCATTTAAAGTAGGTTTGCTAATAACAGGTATCAACGGCAGTGGATGTACTCTAATGAACACTACATACAACCGACATATGCATACATACATACATGGAAATTTAAAAACCAAGAATGTTAGAAATCTATAGTATATGTAGAATATCTATCGTTTCACATATTAATAAGTACTTTAAGCAGGGTACTTCAGAAATATTATCATCATATCTGATGATATCACTTTTAATAAAGCACACGCACCAGAAGTAAAAGTCAGTGAATCTTCTTCATTTGTATGTGATTAGAGTTGAAATGGCACCCGTCAATGTCGATCGAAAGCTGAAGCATTTATTTGATGGAAGCGACTGGAATGTTTATGATGAAAACATCCTTAATTTGGGCGTAGGTGCTCCAGGTCCAGATTTATTGGAGAACTGTTGTGATATTTTTGAAGCAGCCACAAAGCATAGACTAGTAAGTTAACTGTTATTATAGTTTAATATTGCATAACAACTAATTTGTTTGCCATTTAGAAATATGAAAAACAAAGCAATTTATCTTATCTTTTCCAATACGGGCCTACAAGTGGACCAGTAGAAATACGAAATGCTATCGCAGAATACTTCAGTTCTCTGTATGTTGACGATCCCGTAAAAAGGTATATATGTGTGTATTTGAATATCTCAAGATTTAATTATATCATTTGTAATTATTTCCAAGTGAGGACCTTATTATTACAACTGGTGCATCGCAAGGATTACATTTCGTCTTATCAACTTTGCTTGATTTAAATGGCGTAATTTTTGTTGACGAAGTTACTTATATGATTGCACTGGATACTATCAAGCAATTTACAACTTTTACCATTATACCGCGTATGTAAAAATTAATTAATATTTTATATCTGATTAGGGCATATTAAGTTTTCGACGAAGTTTGTAATACCTAGAAGGAAACGTCAAAGACCCTATACAAATATATAGTATATAAATGACCAGTGAGACGAGCTGAGTCGATTTAGCCATGCCCGTTTGTCTGTATACATCTCTACTAGTTCCCCAGTTTTTGAGATATCGATCTGAATTTGCATTACACATTACATTTTCTACCCAAAGATCTACTCATTTGTCGGAACCGCCGATATCGGACTACTATAGCATATATATAGCTGTGATGCAAACTGAGTGGTCAAACCCAAGTTATTGTACGGAAAACTTTTTATTTGACAAGGTATCTTCACAAAATTTTGTTGTTTGTCGTTATTCTACAAGACAACAATATGATCTCCGAAGAAATTGTTCAGATCGGACCACTATAGCAAACAGTTGACATACAAACTGACCAATCAAAATAAAGTTCTTGTAAGAAAACTTGAATCTGTGAAGGCTATTATAGCTTCGGTCCAGCCGAAATTAAAACTCTTCTTATTTTATCTTATAATTATTACCGTATATTTGTATTTCAGTGAAACTTAATGAGGATGGAGTCGATGTGAAGGAACTTGAAAAAATAGTACGGGAAAAACGGTTTCAATCAAAATCTAAAACTTTTTGGGCCATGTACTATACCATTCCAACTTTTCATAATCCAACTGGTATACTTTTTTCTGAAGGTATTAGTCGAAATATAGAATACCACTTCATAGATAAATTTACCACTTTCGTTTTCTCGTTTCAAATAATTTTAAAAAATAGGCATTTGCCAAACTCTTGCGAATTTAGCAAGAGAGTATGACTTTTTAATACTCTGTGACGATGTTTATAATATCTTAAATTACAAACGTTTGGGGCCAACGAAACGCTTGTTTGCCTACGATAATGATTCAGGAAATATAATTTCAAATGGTAGCTTCGCAAAGATAATTGGACCAGGTGTACGTGTAGGTTGGTTAGAGGTACCCGCCCGGCTAAAACCAATTTTAGAAAATTCGTGAGTAAACGAAAATTTATAAAATTATTTTATTTTTCAAACATGATTTCATCCTGTTATTCCAGTGGTATCTTAAATAGCGGCGGCTGTTTTAATAATTATACATCGGGCATATTAGCCAGTCTTTTTGAACTAAAATTGGCACAAGAACATATTGCCAAAATGAAGCATGCTTATAAAGAACGTATGTTCGCAGCTTGTGAAGTACTTGAAAAAAATTTGCCTGTTGGTTGCAAATGGACTAAACCGTCGGGAGGATATTTCATTTGGATTTCACTACCAACGAATACAGATGTTGGAAAACTTTTACAAACATGTTTGCAAGATGAGAAAATATTTTTTATTCCCGGTTCCCGTTTTGCTTACGAACCTACGGTGGGAAATAATTGTTTACGTTTATCTATTTCATTTCACAGCAAGGAGAAATTAGTTGACGGTGCCACACGCTTCTGTGCACTGCTGAAACGTTATTTGGGAGAAACCCAAAAATAAAAAAAATAAACTTTTAAAACTTATATACATATGTATGTATCTACATATATTATATTACAATGCAATAATATATTGGCCAAATATGAAAAAAATTTGAATGAAAAATTTTCTTATAAATAATTGTTTCAGTTATGTGTGTTTTTTTAGCATGTGGCGTTGCACGTCGATCTTCCGCCAAAATTTTTCTTTGCACTTTAAACATTGATGCGTCTTGCCTGTGGTATGGATGGTCAGATGCTGTTTAAGATGACACAGTTGGGTAAACGATTTCGCACAAATATGACAGATATGTTTGCGTTCATTTTGATGTTGACTCAGCACATGTTTCTTCAAATGATCGAGTGTCGCGAATGGTTTATCACAGAGCTCACAGGTGTGTCGTTTTATTTGCGAATGTACGATACGTATGTGCTGCTTTAAATTTGTGTCAGTGTAAAAAGACTTTCTACAATATGGACATTCGTGTGGGGCATCTAAAAGGATGCGTAAATGAGTTTTCACATGATAGTTTAATGCTACATTGCTACGAAATATTTTATCGCATATTTCACATTTCAGCAATTTTCCCATTACCCTTCGTTCAACACCACATTGAGCATGATGTATACTCTTATGATGGATCAGTTGTGTATAGTCCTTGAAGCTAGCGTCGCATTTATTGCATATTAATACAGGCAGTTCATGTTTATGGGCAATATGTTGTAACAGAGTTTTTTGATTTAAGAACCCTTCAAAACATTTCGGACATTTGAAACACAATTGAGAATTTAAAATTACATTATCCTTAGTATCAGTAAACCTTTCATCGCTATTGGTCAAATGTAACATATCTGGCAAATTTAGATCCAAAGCATCCCAACATTCAGAAAAATTAAATGAATTTTCATTGACACTACTCAAAAGAAAGTCGTCAAGAAATTCTTCATTCATTTCAATTTCCACATCATCTTCATCATGATTCATTGGCATAAGTAAATGTGTTTCCTGATAGTGTCGTTGTAACGAAATTCGCGAGACAAATTCTGTAAGCACTTTTTCGGATCGGGGACATAAGCTACAGTAGTACAATAATGCACTGGCATTGTGCACATTAGAAAGTACGTGCTTTAGCAATTGCCCACGACTTTTGTACAATTTTGTACACGCTACACATACATATCGCCCATCCATGTGACATTCACTAATATGCTTCTCCAAGGTCTCTGTGTTAGCATATAAGCTGCAACAGTATTCGCAAATGCTTATTCCTACATCGGTTTGGGTTATATGGAGATTTTCATGCGCTTTTAGCTGGCGAAACGAAGCAAATTTGTCCGAACATTCTCCACATTTATACACACGCTTGGAATGTTTTTTTAATTTTGCAGAATTAAGTATTTGAATACTTGTCAATGTGTTACCTTCAACTACGTTTTGCTTTTTTGGTAGAATTGTGCGAAACTTCTTGACTTGTGCGGAATTTCCCTCTTCGGGCTTGTAAGTGTCAAACTGTGTACTATTGCACTCTTGTGAGGTGTTGGAAGAATTAGGTGCATTACAATATAAATGGTTGGAAACGATACCATTTTCTAAATTTGATTTTGGGACATCATTTATATTGCTTTCCTCTGTCACCACTGTTAATCCTTTAGTAACGACATTTTCTACATTCCGATTTGTTTCTATCGCAGCATCATAAGATGACAATGTTTTGAATATATATTCTTGCAAGCATGTCCTTTCCGCCATTGTTATTAAGCCAAATTTTGTACTAAGAAACGAATATAATTATGAATAAATTTTATATCAATTGGTTATACCCAAGAAAACTTACTTGCGAACCAGGAAACCTATAATGCTATTAAAAAAATTAACTAATGTTTTTTGTTCCTTGTATATTTCCATTAAAATTTTATCTGTATGTAGCTCCGCCATCGCTGATGTAAACAATCTACAGCCGCTAAATATTTATTTCTACCATCCACTGCATTCATGGTATTCATTTCTTAAGCAAGTATGGCCACACTCATTTGGCGCGCTTTTGTAATAAGTGAATTTAGCTGTCAGAATGACAATTCAATAGCCCCGCCATCGAGTTGCTTTCCTCATCATATTTTGGTGCTTTGCGTGCTTATTTCGTTTTCCAAAACAAAACCGTGCCACAAAATTTGTGTCTGTCCAACTAAAGTGCATATTACAAATATATTAAATTACAAAATATTGTTATAAATTATTAGAACATTTTATATGTCCATGGCGACGTTAAAGTTCAGTGACCCTGTCACGCTGACCCAATAAAGCAAATAGCTTTAGCTAGAACATAATCAAGCGTTTTAGTGTTCTTTCAGATATTAATTAGTAAAAAATATACACATGCAATATTTTACAAGTGCGAGAGTAACTCTGGAATACTTTGATACGCCAAATACACTTGTTATTGGGCCATTCTCTATGTTTGTAATATTCTTTTACATCAAACTATTTTACGTATTGGTTGTTCTATACATATCGTTGCATTACATCAACACAATCGGCGACTAATATCCACATATAGGGGGCATAGGCAACAACAGAGAAAGACAAGTTAATCGCGGCGGGGGCTTGTAATATAGAAATGTATCATTTTATGGCCACATGTGCGCCTGAGCCATTGGAGTTATCGGAAAAAGTTCAAATACCAGGCCACGTAAGACAATATCTTAAGGACTTCCAATTAGAGACACTTCGGTTTTTACATACACATTTAGCTAATCGAGATTTTTGTATATTGAACGATGAGAGTGGATTGGGCAAATGTGTGTCAACTGCTGTGTATTTAGGTGTAATAGCCAAAAATAAAACATGTCTTATTGTTGTTCAAAACGATGATGAACTTGTTGCCGGCTGGCAATTTCATTTCGATATACTTACGAATCTAACCGTTGGAGTTTTGGGTTCGAATACGAGTAAGTTTATTGTTCTAAAAATATTGAAATTTACATTTATAAATGATTTGTGAAAAGTATGTAAAAGAAGATGTAGACATACCTCCCACTTAGATTTGACCTTGTTGCATCGTGCTAATATGTAACCTTATAAGTATGTCTGTAAGCATGCACTCTTATCAGTAACTAATACATATTTATATCCACATGCATGTCAGTTAGCTTCTACTATTTCTAATTCTTATATATTCTGTATATATATAATATATAGATATAATGTGTATATAAATACAGTTGAAATCGAAATAATAGAAGTGCATGTGAAGGTAGAATAAAAATTGACAAAGTATTTTAAATGTACATAAAATGTTACATAAAATAATTTAAATTGATTGTAAACTATGCCAACCATGAAATAGTATAAAGTTAATATTGGAATCATATCTAAAATGTTTTCGGCATTTGTAATCGCCCGTTGACGGATATACATCCGACTCAAGCCTGACTGTGCTGTGAACGGAATAAATTGGTATCCGATACAGTGTTAGTTAAAAAACAATGAATGCCCACTAAAATTAAATAAAATGTTTTGCCTTTAATTAAACAAGCAAGAAAAAAGTGAACTTCTGTTGCACCAAAGCTATAATACAAGAACTTGATTTTGCTCGATGCTGTTGTTGTTGCGCCAGAACACATTCCTAAAGTAATTTCGAAGAATGATGCTCTGGCTGTATAAAAATCCGTTCCAGTATCAGATCGCTAGCTCAAAAACTGAGTGACTGGTTCGCGTGTATACAGACAGAGGAACATGGCTAAATCGACTCAGCTTGTCATGCTGATTATTTATACATACATATTTTATAGATCTCCGACGTTTCCTTCTGGGTGTTAGAAAATTCGTATTAAACTTCATATATCCTGTTCAGTGTATACAAATAGAGTATATGATGTAACTACCAACCCAAAAATTGGTTTTCGCATAAATAAATATTAATCGAATGATAAATACTTTTTAAGGTCCCTTCTAGTTCACTTCGTTTGAAATCTAATATATTTATGGAGGGCACAATAGACAACAGATTGCAGTGCAATCCACAGTTTACTCTGATATAATATATTTGTATCTACTATCCTAATGCAGGCATCTTGGAGTCACCACCAAATATAATCATAGCGAAATGGGCTACTCTGCGTTCAACAATTGATGGAAACAAATATAATTATGATTATATTATTATCGATAATCGAGGCCAAATGATGAGTAATAACTTCTGCATGTCTATGCTCCTGAGTAACTATGAACATAAAGTCAACTTAATAATATCTAGTAACGATGTAACGGTAGGTATCATCAATTATTGTGCAGCGAATATTATTATTGAGTATTGATTATGGTTAATTATTTATTTCCAGTCTGATTTAAAATTGTTACATAACTCGCTACGTCTGGGTGGACGTTTGGATCATCAGTATGAACAGTTTAAAGTTTTTGAGGCGAAATACAAATTGCCCGACTCGAAGGATGTACTTAATAAAATTGCAGATTTGGAGCAATATTTCTTAAAACGTGAAATGATAAGTGATTTTTGCAAGTAAGAGTATAGCAATTAATTTTATGATACAAACATATTTCTCTCATTATACCCTGACAGGGTATATTAAGTCTGTCACGAAGGTTTAACACCCCGAAGGAAACGTCTGAGACCCTATAAATTTTATTTATAAATGAGCAGATGAGCTGAGTTCATCTTGCCATGCCCGTCTGTCTGTATAAACGCGAACTAGTCCCTCAGTTTTTAAGATATCGCTCCACTCGGACCACTATAGTATATAGCTGCCATACAAATTGAACTACCCAAATTTGGCATAGGTTATTGCCTCGGATAACGGTATAATCTCCGAACGAATAGTTCAGATAGAATCACTATAGCATACGAGTATAGCTGCCATATACACTGGACGATCAAAATAAAGTTTTTGTATAGAAATAAAAATTTGACAAGATCTCTTTTTAAAATTTGTCATAACTTATTGTCCAAGGCAATGCTATAATATCCAAATAAAGTTTTTAGATCGGACTATAGCATATAGTTGCCTTGCCGAACCGATAAAAATGAAGGGCTTGTATGGAAACTAGTTTATTTGTGAACGATATTCTAGCTTCGGTCCGAAGCTAACGTTTTATCTTGTTAGAGTTTATAAATATGCATGCATAACAAAATTGGCAATTAATAAATTTTTGTATGTATTTACACCCAAAGAGATTTTCGGTTACGGCGTTATCGACACCAGTTTGAAGACGAGCTGCCGCTTGTGGATGCAGAACGGTATAAGATTGACTTGGATTTGTGGCGTTCAAATAGCTCACAAAAATCAAATTCAAATGCCAACAACTTAAATGCGAATTCCGAAACACCGACTGAAGAACTTTTCAATCAGGCATTAGCGTTAAATCGCGAAATAACGCACATTATAGATGCAGAAAAGGGTGATGCGTTTTTAATGGCAAATAATGAGGCTTCGGAAGATGCGCTTAGTATGTCACCGCTTTTAATTGACTCTGACTCATGCAATAGCGATGAACCCGAAGAAGTTGTCGACATAACGAATCAAGAAACCAGTTTACCTCCTCAAAGTAAACAACCAGCTCCCGACATTTATGAATTTGTTGACTTATCAACGGAGAAATGTTCGGAGGAATATGTGAGTAGTGTCAGCAGAGCTAAACCAAACACTGCAAATAAAACGACTGAAAGTCGATCGACTTCACGATCGCCTGTGCAGAAAAGCAACAACATAAAGACAATTGTAATAAAAGACACACAAGAAATCGATAATGGCAAAGAATTGACCAAAAGTCAAGCCAACCGAAAAAAGACAAAATTACAAGCTTCCAAAGAGGTGTTGGAAAAAAAGACAAATGGAAAGAAAGCAGATACAAATGATAATCAAAATGAAGGTTTGAACACTCGCTTGGCACAGAAAGCCACCAAAGTGAATGATAACAATAAAACTGTAACAGTTTCAAAACGTCAAATAAGAAATAAAAACGTAATAAAACCAAATGATGTTGCGGAAAGTCATACGTCAGAGGATAAAGTTAATAATAAAGATACAATTACCATAACTAAACGCAGAACCTTGAAACAGCCGGAAAAATATGTAAAACATACCGCAAATAAAAAAATATCCACTAATAAAACTGAATTTGCTACTTCAGCGAAGCGAACGAAATCGGATCAGTCGCATAAGAATGAGGAAACACTAAAAACTACAGATAAAGCGGTCGAGCATACAAGCCCTAGTAAATTAAATGAAGCTAAGCAGCATACTGATAAAGTAAAAGAAAAAAACACAAAAAGCGATGAAAAACCTGCTGGGTTGAAGGAAAAGGAAATTAAGTCTAAACATCATGTGAATGAATCAAAAGAAACGCCTAGACGTTTAAGACACACAAGAGGCGACAAAACTGATGTTCGAAAAGATACAAATGCTGTGACAACTGAAAAAGTATCTCCAGGTACAGTTAAGTCTGCAACTCCTAAAAAAATTGCACAGGAAAGTGATAAGGTCAAAGAAAATAAATCAACAAAAGATTCACCTAAAGATGTTGACGTGAAACAAAGTAACAAACCGAAATCAAAAGTTAAATCACGTGTAGATGTGCCACAGACACCAACCTTGCGGAATACCAGAAGTATGCAACGGCAAACGCGGTCCACGGACGCCGTAAAAAGTAAATACATGAAATCGCCACTGTTACTAGATGGTAGCAGAAAGCCGAAGAGAAAGCGGGCAAGACTGACAGAGGATTGTGCCAAGGCTGGAACTAAGAATGTGCAAGAAGATGACACCGAATCGGTGGAGGCAGACACAGCAAGCAAACGCAAGAAAAACGAAAAGGAAAAATTAGCAACTGAGGACAACAGTAATATAAGTGGGAAAACCGCGCAAAGTAAGAGTCCAAAAAGGCAAACAAATAATATAGTTTCTAAAGACGTTATCAATACCACCGATTCCGCAATACTGCCATGCTCCAACAACACAGAAGATATGCAATGCGGCCAAAAAATAATTGCCGATACACACTCAGATAACGGCTTCTTGCGGCCACCAACACCAGTGCGCAACATACGTAATTCTGAACCTAAACAATTTTTACCCACGCCTATAAGCATAAACGATTCCGAAGTAGTATTTGTGCCATCCACAGACCCGCCGAATAAAAGTCAATCAGTTGTTGTCCTTTCCAGTTCAACGGATGATGGCTCACTTTCGTCTCAGCAATCTGTACAGAGCCGACGAACGCGTGCGCTGAAACAGAAAAAGGCGCTAAAGCGTCCAGCAACGGACGTTGCCAATACCAGTCCATTGGCCACAACGCCAACTTTCGGCGAACTATTAGCCAAACAACGGATGCAGCGCAAGTCACCGGATTTGTTTAGTGCGAGCACCGAACTTGGTTTGACTTGCACACAGCAAACGGCGGGCGATAGGCATGATGGTGTGGAGACTTTTCAGGGCTTTAAAATATTTGGTTCTGAAGTGAAGCAAATGCAACAACAAAACGCACAAATTGCAGGTGGCAAGAAATCAAAGCAAGTGCTAAGTCGTGGACGCTCGTGTTTAAATATACTTGAAAAAATGTTTGATACGCCCGCTACAGAGGCCGCAGATGCTACGGCGACTGCGCCAACGCAAGCAACAACAAAAACAACAAACACGCAGAAATCATCAAAGAAAGCACCCGATAGCAAATTAGTAAAGCGGGCGACCAGGGGAAGCCAACCTGTAATGCCAACACTGCCAAATGCTGTCTCTGCTACACAGCACCAGCACGGGAAAAGTAAACAAGCGCAAAATAATGGCCCTCCCACAAATCAGGCGATTAACGGCTCTCTGTTGGACGAAGAGATATTTGAGATAACGAATAATGATGCTTTCGGCAGTATGATGCGTATCAATTCAAGTGGCGAAATATCGCCGGTACAGACGACCGCACGCGGTCAACAGCCAACGCAACACAATAAAATCACAAACTATCTAATCGGTACTACGCAACTAACACCAACGGAAGCCACCATGGATGAGCGTACGCCAAGCAAGCGCACACAAACGCCACTGTCTGGCACAGTGACGCGCCGATCTCCAAAAAATAAATCAACGCAATCAACCAAATTAACCAAGTGGTTTCAGAAAAATGGCACGCACAATGATCTCCAAGCGAATGCAACACAGAATGAACTCAATTTGCGTACGCACACCAGAAACACAATGGCTAAGCGTCTTAAGCGGCGTTGCCTAGAGTTATCCTTTAGAAATTGAGTGAAATTGACCATTTGGATGATGATGCTGAGGATGTTAGATGCGACAATATGCATGTACATATGTATGTATGCAAATTATTAATTAAATTAAAAATGCATGTATTTAATAATATAATTATAGACAGTTTTAATGTACATTTATTCAATTTTAACGCAATTACACACACACATAGTTTTTTTTTAATACTTATATACTTAGTAAACTAATTAAATATTGTACAAACACAAGAATTAGTTCAAAGTATAGACATTTAATGTAAGCTATGTGAAATGTCTGCACCTCATACATAAAACTGCTGGGTACAACTATTTCGCATCGGCCATTGAACGCCATTGAATGTATGCATATACAAAAAACAAGAAAAAACTAAATACATTTACATTAGTTTCGTTCTAGTGTTTAATAATATTATACATATATATTTACACACGAGAGTGTAAATTAAAATCAATGTTAAAAAATTTTAATATTTAGCCAAAAAAAGAGAAGAATTAAAGTGATTGAAATAAATGAAGTATATAAATGAATTAAATGCGTTGTTATGAATATTATCCTGTATTACTAAAGATTGCAGTTAAATTTTTCATAACTGTTTTGCGCTGATGTTCCAACTCACGACGACAAACGGTACCCAGGAATGGCGGGCACTGATATACTATGTCTTCCTCGCAATAGGTGTCCCGGCCCTTAGCACGACATTTAAATTCGCTTGTGGAGGTCACTGTGATAAAAACAAATCAAATAGATAAGTACATAAAATTAGTATATATATTTTTGTGACAGCGTAAATAACTGTATGTATAGGTACGAGTATTTTAGTTAAAAATGTTTAACGTTTACTTTACTTAAAATAATTTGGAGTTGATTTTATGTCGCTGTTCCGTTAGCTTGAATTTGTACATAGCTTTATGTACTTTATCTTATTGTTACAACGGATTAGAAATTTCAAAAAATTCGAAAAAAAATTCTGGAATCAAAATCTAGTTTCAATATTACTTTAGTCATAGGTTTTGAGCGAAATTTTGTCGAAATCACTAAATTTAGTGTTGAAATCGAAAAATTCGAACATTATGAAATCAAAAACTACTTTCAAAATTACTTTAGGCATGCGTTTTGAGCTAAGTTTTGTCGAAATCGCTTAATTGAATATGAATTTCAAAAAATTCGAACATTATGAAATCAAAAACTACTTTCAATATTACTTAAAACATGCATTTTGTGTGAAGTTTTGTCGAAATCGCTAACTTTAATACGAATTTCGAAAAATTCGAACACTGTTTACTACCTAATTTTTTTTTATTCTGCGTTGCTCTTTTAAAATATATAATTTCAAGAGAATTCTGGCAAAATTATTACAATAGAAATTAAATTAATTTCGACAAATTCGAACATTATGAAATAAAAAAAATATTCTAATTAATTTTTGCTCTAAGTTTTTCATTCTAAGCATGCACTTTCAGCGTAATTTTGTTGAAATTGCTAAACTTTAATATGAATTTCGAAAAATTCGAACATTGTGAAATCAATAGCAACCTTCAATATTACTTTAGGCATACATTCTGAGTGAAGTGCATTAAATATGAATTTAAAAAAATCGAACATTATTAACTTCTTTAATTTTTTTCTATTCTGAGTTGCTTGTTTTAAACATGCAATTTCAAGGAGAATCTGAAATTTGAATTTTCAGAATATAAAAGAAACGTAGTTATTTAAAACCATGAGTTTTAAAAGTTACTGTTATTATATTTCAATACAATGAATGTATGTTGAACCCTCAGTATTATCCTAGCAATACTACAAAAATACATACATACAAATTTTAATTTTCTTTAAACTTACCACAATAGATGCCTTTAAAGAAGCATGTTGAATGCCTTGACTCAATCGTATATGTTGGGTCTTTCTCTCCGGGCATTGTCTTCTTAACAATATAATCTGCTGTCGCTCTACTAAAAAAATGCGGCCAATGCGATATACGCTCCCAGTATTCAACGGTATAACGCCAATCATGAGCGTGTCCACTGTCGGCGATAATTTTGAAGCTCACACTTAAATAAAAGGAAATATGCCATTTGTTTAGAAAATGTTAGAACATTACTTTAGATACAAATGCCTACATGTATGCTTATCAAAAATTACGGTATGCATATTATGTATTAATAAGTTCAGATAAGTATTAGTGAATGTAAGAGCAAAAATGTAAATGATGAATGTGAATTCGCCGACGTATAAGGTTTCTAATTATACATACAAATCCATGTAGAAACATATCTACATCTACAGTTACTGACAATAAAATGGAATGAAATAGATGGATCCGAAATAATTAACAATATATATTATTTGTCCGATAAATTACAATATTTATCTTGTAAAACAACATGATGGTAGCTCTGTTACATTTTACTATAGCAAACCTGTGAAAGATTGTAAAGGAAAAGTTGGAAACCATTAAACCACGAAATAATGAGGAACTAGGGGAAAAGTCCAAGAGGCGTGGTATTCAATACCGATGTCAGTCTGTGAAGCTCTAGTAGCTCTAGCTAAAATAGTTGTGAATAAAATTTTGATTCCATTTTATTGTCAATAACTGTATGTACATACATACATACATATGTATCAACAACTTTATCAAACTCAAACAAACGTGCTTGCATATGATTTTATTAAAGCTGAATGTTAGAAAGAAGAAAATATCACTAACTGTTGTTGTTTTAAGAATAACAAATATTTTCAAGGAATACCTTTGGGACCGTATATAAATACTGGCAGTCGGCGTTGCCGGAGCTGACCCGGATTTTTCTTAGAACGAAGTCTGTCTATTGGCAGCATTCCTCAAAAATATTTGGAAAATTTGTATGTAATTTAGGTCTAATAGGTTAGAATATATTTTGTCACTTTTGCATGTTTATACATTTTTTTGTGCTATATATTTTTAATTTTAGCAATATGCTAAAGTTGAATGTGAATTTCGAAAAATTCGAACATTAAGAAATCAAAAACTACACTACATTTTTCTTTCATTATAAGTTTTGTCGAAATCGCTAAATTTAGAATGAATTTCGAAAAGTTCGAACATTACGAAATCAAAAATAATCTTCAATATTTCTTTGATTCTCATTTATTAACATTAAGCTTGCCATTTCAGCGAAGTATTGTCGAAGTTGCTAAAATTTAATATGAATTTCGAAAAATTCGAACATTACGAAGTTAAAGACTAGCTTAATTTTTGCTTCTGAGTTTCGACTTGCAATTTGAAGGAAACACTGGCAAAATTGTTGCAACGGAAAACTAATTTCGTAGAATTCGAACATTGTGAAATCGAAATTTACATTAAATTTATATTCTACTCGTAAGTTTACCTGAAGCATACATTTTCAGCGGAGATTTGTAGGAATTGTTAAAATTTAAGTGAATTTCGAAAAATTCGAACATTTTGAAATCAAAAACTTTCTTCAATATTACTTTGGTGTTAAGTTATTATTTTAAAAAAATGCGTTTTCTGTTGAATTCTGTCAATTTTATTAAAATGAAATTAACATTTTGCAATATTCGAATATTTAGAAATATGCATTTTCATTAGAATTTTGCCAAGTTGCTAAAGTTTTAACATAGAATCGAATATTTAATTTAATTTATTTGTTATTAATTTTAAAAATACATCTTCAGCAAAATATATTTTAATTATAAAATATATATTATTTTGAATCAATCATTTAAATTTTTTCTTCGAATAGTACTTTTACAGTTTATATTACCTTCAATACTCTTTGTTTTTTAATTGCGCTGTATTTGATTTACAAATTTATGACACTTTATGGTGGTTTATGACAACATATAGTTAACAATTGTTGTTTTGATTTATCAGACATATTGTATAAATTGTATCACTCTGCATACTTGTAGAATATATGAAAATTAACATATAACTGGATATGTAGTACATATGTAAAATAATATATATGCGGCAATAAACCTTAGCCACTCTCGATGAAATTGTGTCTTTTGTCCCGTATAATGTGGTTATGTTCGAAATTTGAAAACAACCAGTTTTAAAAAATATTAATTTAGGCCACAACAATATTTTCTGTGCGTAAATTTTCTTAGAAGCAGTCTTAGTACCTATGTACCTATGCAATTATCTATCTGATCGAAGTACGTACATATTTATATAATATAATATATATGTAGGTATGTAAAAAACTATTATATTTGCCAATTGTACTTACACTGACGGGTTCAACGTGCGCATTTTTCTGAAATCTGACATATATTCCCACACCTCCACCGGCTTAACATTATAGATAGTCGTATCGATTTCGAATTTCCTCGGCCGATTCGCATTCAAAACATACAATACTAATAGAACAGCACTGCCGATGACCAAGTTTTTTGTATTCCATCGTCCAAAATGCATTTTTGTATTTAACTATTTATCGTAAGTGTCACAATTTTAATGAAACAAATTCGCTTAAAAACGCTGCGTCCGCTTTACGTCGATGCAACAAATTGACGAGTGTACTCTTTGAACAACGCTTTCAAACTGTCGGGTATATATCACACAGCATATGTATGTACGTATATCTCGTAGAATCTGGGATAAGCGCAATGAGCAACTATCCACATGTGTGCCTTTGCTGGACTCTGTCGTGGGTGATACGCGTGTGTATATGTATATGCGTAGGAAAATGTATACCTACATATCCGAATGCATAAAGATTTACATTTTACCATATATACATATGTTTACATTACAGTATGTATACAGACCTACATATACATATGTATATACATCATTTAGATATAGATATGTATGCCTGATCGTTGATCCCAAGGGAAGTATGGTGAATTTGTGCGAAATTTTACCCAAACAAATGTGAGAGTTTAATTGCGAACATTCCTGTCCAGTTGTCGGCTCTGACCTAGCAAAACTCAAAATTTATTGAGCGAAAACCAACAGGCGCCGACTTCCGTTTGACTGCTTCAGAGCGGATCGTATAACACGTGACGCGAAGAGTAGGCCACTCAATATTGATAGGGTGGCGTGAAAATGGTTTGAAAAATAATAACAAAATAAAACAATGTGTGCAAATTTAGCAACTCCAAGGGTACGTTTAACAGCTTGTCGACTGAGTTGGATTAAGGGGTTACATGGGCTTCGCGGCTTCAAAACAAAAAAAAAATTGTCTTATTTAATTCCATAACATCTCCAATATTGTCCCAAATACTCACGTTGATATCAGTAATAGTTTTGGAGATACAGCTTTGAAAAGTTGCGCGCTCGAGGTCAGCTATATTGTCACTTAAAACTTTAAACGCGTTTTTCTCGAAACTGTTTTTTTTTGCAATTACAACTATTTAAAAAAAAAGAAGTGCCGAGCAAATTTGACCGAAATTTTAATTTTTTTTTGGAAAAAGGTCTGCCAAAATTCCAATTTGAACTTGATTTTTTCCTTCGTTCAAGTACGAGTTTATGGTCTTAACTAAAACACATATATTTTTTTTTCATTTTAAATGATCCTGTCAGGAGTTATGCTGACAACGCGGATGCACCTTTTTTTCGAGGGGTCACCGGAAATGACGTTACAATGGCGGAGTTTTATTTATTTTTTTTTTGAAAATCTCAGAAATTACCCTTTAAATGCGTATCTTTAAATTTGAATTAAATTAATAATTTTTTATATGACAATAAAATATTGAAAATACGCCGTTTTTTACCCGACGAAGCCCATGTAACCCCTTATATGCTCTCTTTATTTTAAGCACAATATACTTTTTTTCTTAGAAAATCAATCAAGTTGGTATTGCAGATGGGTGGAATCGGACCATTTTCACGCCCACAAATTAAGCTACAAAATTTAAATTTGACTCACGATCATATAATGAATGAGCATTGTCCTCTAATAGGTTTTGTGCTTACTTAGGCTGTATCAACCTTCTATCCTATCATATGGTGCGAAAATGTGTGCAATGATAATAACCACGATCACTCCCCATATAATGGTTATGTTGAAAACTACTAAAAGAGCATTAAATTTTTTAGTAAATATGATACTATAAAATATAAATAAAGTAAATATGATATTCATGAAAATAAAATGTTTAGCCTATCATTAGGCGCTCAAGGTCATAATGTTACAGATACAGACAGGTTAAAACTACAACTATATTTCTATACACATTTATTGCCACCATAACTAGTTCGTTCCAACATTTTGTACCCTGATTATGTCTGAAAAAACTAACCTCAATATATATATATATTTTTTTTTAATTTAAGGTTGCTAGAAGTCTCAGTCAATGTTTGACTGTTTTACAAAGCAAATTGAGCTAAAAAAGCCACATTCAAACTTTTCTATGTATCTTCCCAATTTTTGTCATCGGCAATTCATCTATTCTATCCATTTAAGTTTCTTAATTCAAGTGTCTTAAATTTACAACTAAAAAAAATAAACTATATATAATATTTATATTATTAAATGAGTAATTAATCTATTCGTCAACATTTTCAATTTAACGACAAAAACAATAAAATATAACATTTTATCTCTTTATTATTAACTTATTAGTACTCTTTGGTATTTATTCGAGTAAGCGAGCTACAAAAATTTGGAAAGTATATACAGTTGCATGCTTTAAAGTTTGCATACCTTTAGGCACTGAACCAATTTAGTCGTTTTACGAGTAGCCACACACTACGGAAATATCACAGTGGGCCAAGAAAGCTTTTACTGAAATATTAAGTCATGTAAGGTACTTTGTAAAGAGAAGATCGCTCATCCTGCTGGGATGACAAGCTTGTATAAATTGTCTGTTGATTACAGAAATTGTGGATAGTACCAAGCGTGTGGCAAGCATTTATATACATATGTACATATACAGATATTTTCGCAGCTGATTCTTCTTATGTGGTCGCTCCCAATTGACTTTTTCGAAGAGATTAAATTGTTTTCATTTTAAAATGAGCACTGCATGGGAGGGCATTATGTCATCTGAGTAACAAACAATTTGAGCTAGAGGAAAACAAGCGAGTATGGAATCTTCGTTGCTTGTTTATAAATAAAAGCTTTTATTTACTGCACACACACCTCGGCAACAACACCTTGTTAGCGAGTTATCACACATATATACACACATACATACATACATACAAATAAATAAAGTGTTGGCTTTTTGTTTATTAACAAATTGGCAGTGATTTCCGCGGCTTTTACGAACACACAAGTATTGTCCGCTCAGTGTTTATTTGGTGCTCCACACCGCCGGTTGCTGACAACGAAAACGACAAAAGCGAAACAAAACGTGGCGCAGGAAGATAACTAGAAAGTCAAAAAACACTTGGATGCATGCGATTTGGCTATCATTATCAAAGTGATTGCTGCTATTGTTGTTTCGAGTAAAGTGCCTTCTCATGCGCTTTTCTATCGAGCTTGAGGTTATGTGTTTACAATTAATTAAATTTTCTTTATTGTGAAATCATTGATACGCAAAAGAGTGGCACAATTGAGGGATTGTAAAAAATTAACAAATTGTATTGTTTAAAGAAGCAATCAAAATAAAAACAAAACAAAAATATTAAAATATAATAAAATCAAGTGAGCAGTGCCAGTGCTTTTGTCATGAATTTAGTGTGGAGAGTGGGCATTTTTGCTAAGAATGCAGCAGCAGCCATAACAACACCATGCCATACTGGATCGAGCACTGGTTTCAGGTATGCGAGCATCGCAACAGGTGTCGCAGAGCCCAAAACACAATTGCCGAACGACAAGCAAACGTCAGCGCCAGCAACAAGAACAATCGCCGTGGCTAAGCAAGCTCCGAGCTTTGACCAGCAGCGTATTTCAAATAAGGTTAGTAGTATAAGACAATGTTGTTTTTATTATTATTATTATTTTTGTTGTTGTTGTTGTATCTGTGGATTTTTAGTGTTGTCTATAAACATTGGTAGTTGTATAAAAAATATTTAAATTGTTGATGATGCAAAAAATAGAAAAACCATTAGCTTGATCGGTCAGTGTATATGGCAGCTATACGCTATAGTGTTCCGATCTGAATAATATAATATATTCAGATATTGTAGCATTAGTTTCCGGGACAAATTTTTTGACGATATCTTGTCAAATAAAAAAGTTTCCCGTACAAGCACTTATTTTGGTTCGGTCAATTTGTATGGCAGTTCTACCTATATTTGTTCGTTATACACATGTAAGCGGTACCGATGAATGAGCAGTTTTTGGGGTGAAAATGACGTGTGCAAAATTTCAGATCGATATTTCAAAAACTGAGGGACTAGTTCGCGTATATACAGATACACAGAGCGACAGACGAACCCAACTAAACCGACTCAGCCTTACCAGCATTTTAACAATTATATGGAAAATGATTTCTGCCTCTACAAAAAAAAACAACAATTAAACTTCTTTCCTATTAAGTGATATGTTTTAAGTAACCCTACATTTAATATTAAAAATTTAATATAAAAAAAAAATAAAATCAACTTGACTGTCCCTTTAAATATAATGTGTGTGTAAAAATTGTAAAATGCGCGAAGAACCACCAACCTTTAAGTGAAATCCAATTCCTCAGAAAAATTCGAACTCATTTCAACCAAATTTGGTATGTGAGGTCACCCAGCCCTTTCTATCACACACTGTGAAAATAGGCGAAATCGTACAATGCCCCCAAAGCTATGCAGCTAAAAGCATCAACGTTCCATGTTATCCATTGAATAACAAATTTATTCAAGAAAGTATAAAAAACTACGTATGAAGAATATATACAGAAATATTGACCGAATAATATTTGTATTATTGTGAGATAGTTTGTGCCATATTTTTCGTATATCGAGCACATCACACTTTTTTTAGTTTAACACTACATATTATATATTTATTTTATTGTAAAGTTAATCATATTTTTATTGAAAATACTAGCAAAACTATTAACTCAACAATTTATATTTTGTAAACATTAAAAAACAGCGCTCAGAGATTGCTTTAAACTCTACATAGCTGTCGTTTTGTAGCATAAAAGTCAAACATTACAACGGCATATTTAATTCGTTGATTATTTAAAAAAAGTATTCGTATTTTGTATTTTTAGGCACAGGTTAAGCCGAGAAGCAGTCAACCGTTAACAGATACTTTTGGACGTAACCACACATATCTAAGGATCTCATTGACAGAGCGTTGCAATTTGCGTTGTGAGTAAAATAATCCAATTAAAATTTATATTATATTTAGCTATAAGCAAATAAAATCGTGTCTAAAACATAGACATGCATGTAGCATTATAATAACTTAGCTATGATTATATGTTATAAAAGCTTGAGTCGACTTAAGCGGTTATATTCACTTGCAAGTTAGAAAAAAAAGCGTTTTTTCCTTATTTTTTTAAGAGGAATTTTATTTGTTAAATAAAAATATATATATATAAGCTATATCACCCAAATTTGCACAGGACAATGTGAAAATAAGTGAACTCGGATGATAACCGCGCCCACTGCCCATATAACGGTTTTGTTAAAAATTACTAAAAGTGCGATAAATCAATTATTAATTGCGTCAGAGACATTAAATTTTACATTCAAAATTGGACGATGGGCGTGGCACCGCCCACATTTAAGTGAAATCACGTTTCTCCGGACCAACTCAACTAATTTCAACCAAATTTGGTACCTCTGACTATTTTGACGTTCCCATATTACAGAAGAAAATCGGACTACAATCACGCCTATCTTCCATATATCACACCTTTAAATTCCATCTGATATTTTCACTTTGCAGTATACAAATCAAGCGATATGGGGATAAAATTTGCAGAATATTGCCTTTATGGTATGCCATCTCAGATGTGAAAATTTTAAAATTGGACCATAACTATTCAAGCCTCCAGATACAGGAAATGTGGACCCCAGAGTCTATGGCTGACTTTCTACTGAAAATATCAATCAATGTATGAGATACACATATTATCGAAATTAGGAGGGAATGCTTTCCTCATAATAACATGTCTCCCTTAGCCCCCATATACCTAATAGAAAGATTTTCGCACGTCCGGTTGACTTTATTCCTTGTTCAATTGTCAACTTATTGTTGACGGTATGGGAATGAAACTCAGAGGGTAGCTATTAGTAATATGGAAAAATGCCAAAAATAGGTAAAATCGTGTCAATCTGTTATATATGTACATAATAAAAGATTTTCAAACTTCCGGTTGGCATTATATCGTATGCGTCGGTCAATATGTAAAATATCTTAGCAACAATAACGGAACGTATAATATTGGATATACAATTATTTAATGCCGAAAATACCATATGTGAAATTACAATATATTACATATGTATAATAATTTCCGTTATTATAACAAACCGCTGAACATGATTGGAGTTGGTCTAGACCTTGATCTCATATCCCTAATATCATCAATGCCTCAACTCAATATATTAAATTTAGCCTCTTCGGTTAAGTTTATGTCAAATATATCTCATTTGCGGATGATTTTAATATAATTTGACGGCAAGTAAAATATAGTTATGAAATTAATTGAGTCTACGACATATAACGCAACTTAATAAAAACCAAATTTGATCGTAATTCATTCACGATTTCGTCGAATAATGAATGTTGAATTCTCAACAACAAATTCTCGCAACATTTTTTAATATAAAGTTTTGCCAACACCTGAAGATATTTCCTCAGTTTTGATCCTTGCAAGTTTTAAGAGTATAAAATGTTCGGTTACAACCGAACTTAGCCCTTCTTTACTTGCTTAATATAACATTTTGCCAGCACCTGATGGAATTTTCCGAGCTTTGATTGATACAAAAGTATAAAATATTCGGTTATAACCGAACTTAGCCCTTTCTTACTTGTTCCGCTTTAAGTTATCTATATTATCAAATCCAAGCAATGACGTATTTATAATTATGATGTTTAAATGTGAATAATTGCATATATGTATGTTGTTTTTGTAACCTGGATTCATGTGGTAGTTAAAGCTCAAAATTTTTTACACACATATAATTTGATGTAGTGAATCGTAATCAATAAAAAACTCAATTTCGAATTTGTTCTTGATACGTTGCTTTGCGTTTTAACTGGCAATATACTATATACAATATGAGCTTACACATCCCCACAACGTATGTATTTGTTGCAAATTGAAGAATTACATTGTATTGCAAATTATACAGCTATTTCTAATTGATTATTATATATAATGAGCTTCGAGAAATCGTATTTTCTATTGATTACTAATTGAAATTGATTTTAAGATAAGATAAAACATATAAATATAAACTATATATATATATATATACATATATATATACATACATACATAAATACATTTCAATTCGAGTAGTATATTTTGATAGCATTTCAAATCGAAAGATAAATGTAAACTATTGCTATTACTTTTAGGCCAATATTGCATGCCAGCCGAAGGTGTACAACTGCAACCGAAATCAAATCTATTAACCACTAAAGAAATCCTTTACTTAGCGCGAATTTTCGTTGAGCAAGGGGTGCGTAAAATTCGTCTAACCGGCGGTGAGCCAACGGTACGACGCGACATAGTTGATATCATAGGTAAGTGCATACGTACATAGTCTATAAATAAAAATACCTGTGCGCTTACTTTCAGCCCAAATAAAGTCCATACCCAAACTGGAGAATGTTGGTATTACTACAAATGGCTTAGTATTAACACGGCTATTACTGCCGATGCAACGTGCCGGCCTGGATGCGGTGAATATCAGTTTGGATACATTGCGTCCGAAACGTTTCGAGGAAATCACAAGACGCAAGGGTTGGGAGCGCGTTGTAGCCGGCATTGATTTGGCCATACAACTGGGCTATAAGCCGAAGTTGAACTGTGTGCTAATGCGCAATTTTAACGAAGACGAAATTTGCGATTTTGTCGAATTTACCAAAGATCGTGCGGTGGATGTGCGTTTTATAGAGTATATGCCATTCACAGGCAACAAATGGCAAACCGATCGGTTGATTTCTTTCAAGTGGGTATAAATTATTAACTACATACATATACCATACATACATACATAAAGTATCTGTTCTATTTTTATATATTTCAATTTTATTTTCATAGTGTTTAAGCTCTCTAAAATGCTCTATAGAAGCTTGAAAAATATTTCTAACTATACCAACTCTGATATTTTTATTAATAATTGTATTTAAACTGATCATACTTGTATTTAAAGTATGTGTCAATAAGCATGTCGAAAAAAAATTTGGTGTTATCTAGCTCAAGAGGGGAATTGAAAATATCGTAAAAATATCGTATATATTGTTCGATATTATTTATAATTTTCAATCATTTAATGTAGTTAAATCTATTAAGTTAGAGTCCTTCGTGTAGAAGAATATCCCTAAAAATATAGTCTAGTTACCCGGAGTAGATCAGGATTTGTATTTAGGTAAGAAATGTTATCTTCACCATGCTTCAGAACATTTTTTCTATCAGTGTTGCAACTTCCGAACATATGACCTACCAAAATCAATATATAATTCTTTTTAAATCCCTTTATGCTATAAAAAATGCATATGTGAAGGGTATTAACGTTTTCTCTTATTTTTTTTATTTATTACTTAAAGACAAATATAGAAGATGCTCTGCAAATGTGTATTTCTGTTTATTTATTTACAGCTTCTATTTAACAATTTATTATACATATTTATAGGGAGTCATTGGACATTATACAGAAAAGATGGCCTGACTTCGCGGCGCTGCCCAATGGCCCGAATGACACATCAAAAGCGTATGGCGTACCTGGCTATAAAGGACAAGTTGGGTTCATAACATCTATGACGGAACATTTTTGCGGTTCCTGCAATCGTTTGCGACTCACCGCTGACGGAAATATAAAAGTTTGTCTATTTGGCAATAAAGAATTTTCGCTACGTGACGCTATACGCAATAAGTGCTCCGAGGACGATCTGATTACATTGATTGGAACGGCCGTGAGTCGAAAAAAGAAGCAGCATGCTGGTTAGTAAATATATTTAAATTTCGTTTTCGTCGTTTCTTAGATGTCGATAATAATATTTGAAAATATTTTCGAATATATAAGTACATACAGACAGTGTGCAAGTTATTACCTTTTGAGGGGTAGAAAGAAATTATTATATTCTTTTTTTATAATTTTAAAAATATATTCAAAAAGTTAGGTACTAATTTGTTCACTATAAATGATCATTGGGTGATTAATCCATTTTATTTGCATTATTGCAGGCATGTTGAATTTGTCACAAATGGAAAATCGTCCAATGATACTAATCGGTGGATAGTTTTTTGTGCCCTTAAAAATATACAAACTTAAATACTTGCGACCGCGGCTTAAAGATACGATTAAGGTTTGTGCAAAATGAAATCAACCACCAAAAACTAAAAAAAATATATATAACATATACTTACAATACATTCTTTTAAATGCTGAAACAATATATACATACATATTTCTATCATTCTAGGCAATTTCATTCATGACAATGTCACAACACAAATGCATCAAAACTCTCGCAAAACTTTTGATAATCGAAAGCAACAAATTCTTCATTCTAAAAGATTTGGGAACTGTATTTCATCTGCAGACACATTCCCTGTTCATGCTAATCTACCGAGCACACAGTCAACAACAAAATATCTGACACAAGCACGTCTTTTCGCTACAACGAGCTCAAATAGTAATTCTGACAATAACAGTGCAAATTTAACGCATGTTGACGATGCTGGGAAGGCTCAAATGGTGGATGTCACTGCGAAACAAACCAGTGAACGTGTAGCAGAAGCTCGTGCCACCGTATTAGTGGGACCGAGTATTGCTCAACTCATACACACAAACAACATGCGCAAAGGTGATGTCCTTAGTGTGGCCCAATTGGCTGGCATAATGGGCGCCAAAAGGACTTCAGAACTAATACCGCTATGTCACAACATTTCCTTATCCTCCGTAAAGGTTGAGGCGAAGTTAAATCTTGAATGTAATAGCGTGGAACTATTTGGTCATGTGAAGTGTACAGGTCAAACGGGTGTAGAAATGGAGGCACTTACGGCTGTTACATTAGCCGCGCTTACCGTTTACGACATGTGTAAAGCTGTCTCACATGATATAACAATCACGGATATAAAACTTTGGAGCAAAAGAGGGGGTAAGAGGTATTTTGAACGCAGTAAAAATTAGATCAAATTGTTTTTATAATATGAATATGTAAATTACGCTACATTAACATTTTAAAAGTATTACTACTAGTATCGTAGTAATGAAATCAATGGATTATAAAATGAAAAACTGTTGAAAACCAATTTTGTTAATAAAAGAAAATGTAAAGTCTGATATGAACAAAATATCCATTACTTTTGTGGGATTCCATTATTACAATTATATATAACTTTCACCAAAGATATGAATTTGTTTAGTGATAAGTTATGTTAACATTGCTTTATATATTTCATAAAATATGAACGCTTATGCAAGGGCGTGATTATTATATTAACGGTAATTGTGTTGGGTATGTTTTTTATTAGACACATAGGTAATTTAAATAATTTAATTATAAGGTGAGGGAGAATGTCCATTCTATTTTTAGATATTATTACAAAACATTTTTTTGTTTTTAAAAAAATATTTTAATTAAATATACATATACAATTTGAATCAATGAAAGTGTTTTTCTCTTCGCAAACAACCTTCAATTTATTATGGAAACTAGATTAATCTTCAATTCCATGCAACAGAACTGAAACACTTTTCGATTTAATGAAAGTTAAGCTTATTACAGATATTAAGTGTAATTCTTATCTTTGATTATTGAGAATTCCCACACTCATTTCAGAATTATGAACGCGAGTTGAACGAGCACATCAATACTTAGTTCTTGCCCACATCACACATCATATTCATTTACATAAAATTTGTATTTAGTTCGACACCAAAACGTTTCGATTTTCCGATTTTTTTTCTTCTTCTTCACTTCTTGGTTGTTCATTGGACATTTGTTCACCGCGTATCTTTATATTGTGTTCTTCTTTGAATTTATTAATCTGTTGTCCTTTTGCGGTAAGGTCTTCGTTTACTCGCGTGATCGTCTTCTCAATGAAGTCTTTGTTTTCAATCAGTTGCGGTAGCACATCTTTGACGGTTCGTTCTGCCAGCACGCCGCCAATCAGTCGAAAGCATTTACGTTCTGGATCCACTGTTTTGAGTGTTTCTATCACAGTTCTAAAATGGAATGTCTTTAACTTTAGAATTTTGAAAATAGCATTAATGTACGATATATGAATTAATTGAGGTTATGTCCTCAGACATACTTGTGTTCTTTCAGATCCATTTCCAGCGTATTTAAATTGTTTACAAGATTTCGTTGTTCATTCCTTAGCTGTTGGAACTCGCCAATAATCTTCTCGTTCAATTTGGCTTCTTTAGCTTGTTCACTGGCCATTGTTATCTGTGATTTTATTAACAGATGCACGGAAAACAGTAAACTTTTTCGGCAGATTTGCGTCTGGTAGTGATTACTAATTTTAATCTGATATTTGACAGCAACCAATTCGCCGTAAACAGGGTTGAAACACCACTTTTTAAAAATCACATATTAATTTATGATTTAACTGAAAATAATTATATATAAATTTGTATATAGTGTGCGAACGAGGTGTAAATTATAATTTACAAATTAATAATTAAAATTAATGTTACTTGTCAAATGCATAATAAGTATTTTCTCAATAAATACAAAATTTCACTCTGGTAGCACCAAATGCCTTCACCACTAGAAGAAGGCAACAAATTCGTCATAGGTGCTATCTTATCACTGTACAATTTTTAATTGAAGTAATTGGTATTCCCCAAGAGTTTTGTGTGCTTCAGACTACACTATTAAAGTTGAAATATTTAAACTATTAAAATGCTACAAAATATAATTGATTTCTGCAACTATTGGTGGTTTCGATATCTTATGGTCACTGAGCTGTACATGGTCGAAAAGTGGGAACGTGTGACAATTCGTAAGCTACTATTCCGTGACCATACTAATAAATTATTGATACAAAATTTATTGTCCTAATTTCAGATGTGATATTTGCTGTACTGTTTTGTCTTTTTTGGTACTTTAATTACTCGGTCCTTTTATCGTTCACGGGAAATATACTTGGTATTACACCCGTATCCACCATTATTGATCAGCAGAGTAGCAAAATCGCATAACTATAGTGGTATAGTGATTGTATTGTTTGGTAGCCGGTAGAAACTGGAACAATCACATGTGGCGAGGTGGAAATTTCAATATATAAAAAAGTCATTATAAGTGCATTAAAGTGAAAATAAATATTTCTACACAATTCTACTGTAAGTTACACATCGGAAAAAATATTTAACTGTTAACGAGTCGCAGCAAGTAACAAAATGTAGTAACACCAGAATATGAAAAATGTCCTTTAAAAGTGTAATAATACGTCGATAGTGAACTAATTTCAGAAACGCTTAGCACTTAGTACTGCAAAAATATTTAACAGCGAACAAATATCTTTGTTATATTTATTTTTAAATAATCAATATTTAATACATGAAAAGGTTATAGAGTTTAAAAAAATAACATGCAAATGCTAATTGTTAGATATTTCAAAACAGAAAGTTTAATATTTTTGTCCACACCTAAACTTTACACTTAAATAGATACATTACATATGTAATTTAGTTTAAGCAAACAATTTCCAAATTCAACAAAAAACAAATAAAACAAGTATTAAAAACGTATTTGTCCAAAGTTTGCCATGGTCAATATGGGCTTCATCCGTAAATTGTATAGAACTAAACATAAGACACTCACTGCACTTTTTTATACTTGTATATGGATTCATCATCATTTCAATCCCATTTATTTCTTAATACAATCTAAACATCTTCATATATTAAACTAAGTTCGTACATGTATTTAAGTACATTATACACGTTTTAAGAGTAAAACTTCTGGCAGATAAATTTTTGTGAGCTTCTTCTCTACAAAGCTTTCGTGTTTCTCCTTCAAAGTACCCGCATTTATATTGAATTCAGATTTTTGGAACTGTAAACTTGACTTGTCCTCGCTTGATTTTATGTTATAATAATTGCAGTCGGCTAATAAATTAGTGACGTTCTCATATAATACCAACTTGCATAAAAAGTTAGCAGGCACGAATAATTGCTTACTGGTATATGCATGTGCGAATACCAAGTACACCTTTCTGTAAAAAGTAGAATTATATTAATTATTTTATTGAATACACATATCTATTGTATATAGTACATATCAATATTTAATTCATACCGCCTTAATGTCTGCAATTTCAAAGCAGCTATCGCACTTAAAATATGGGGTAGTTTTTGTATACCCACTACTACGCGGTAGAAATTTCCTTGATAATAGTTTATAGCTATTTGATATGCTAAATCAAATGTTTCATTCTTGCTGAAATTTAAAATGAAATCATTACCATGCAATTTAAACTCTTTTCATTTACATTTTTTATACTTATAAGATTTACCTCACTTCCGTTGGTAAACTTAGTGCACGGTTAAGCGCTTCTATCGTTCCCAAATTGAAGAGAAGATAGATTGCTTCAACAAAGCTACGTCTACTTAACTCATTTAAATTCAGACTGTCTACATCAATATCATCGTAGCAACAGAGCACTCGTTTCAGACATTCTTGCAAATGTTGGTTGCAAATTTTCGCATCGAAATTATCTATCTGCTCTGCACAAAGTCTGCAATTTAAAATAACATTTCAATTTAGAATATAAAAAGGTACGAAAATAAGTTAACCTATAACGACTATAAGCCAGAAACATTATCATTGGTTCCAATAACTTTAAAGTTTGTCGTTCATTATATTGTTGCATGACTACTTCCTGTCGAACTGCACGCAAACGATCAAATATAAAATCATAAATGAAATTGTACGATCTCCGTTTGTCTAAAATTATACTAGAAATGATACTGCTTTAAATATGTTGGTATTGTATTTATATCAATCATACTCTTTTAATAAGTATTCCACAGTCTTTTGCAAACATCTCTCGGTGCGTAAGTCCTTTGCTCGGGGTGCTTTAACTCCCGCAGCTGAACGGGCAAATGTCTTCACCAACTGCCCTGGCACATTCTTTTCGCCGTTTTTTAGTTCATAATAATGTAGTAGTCTTTCTTTTATACGTCTGAAATTTCGAAAATAATTTAACTTCTTAAAATTTATTGAAATTGTAATATTTCACTTGCAACATACAGTTTGGCCTCTGCATCCGGACAAAATGATTCACAAGTGCCTGGGGGATACATCAGAAAAACATTTATATTGAATAATATTACTTATATAAATCGCTATCTGAATTACCTTTAATTTGGTTCGACATAAGTATTTAGATATAAAATTTATTGTCCAGGTGCTTAGAAAGGGAAACTAATCAAACAAAACACAAATTTACCAAAACATAGCGAAATGGCGACAAACAAACAAGACAGCTGTTGTCAAATTTGCGGCGAAAATTTAACCCTTGAAAAACATAAACAAATTAATTTTTTTCTATCATACGTTTATGTATACATTTACAAATTGGTAAATTCTTTCTAATGAAGTTTCCTTAAAAAATTATATGGATTTATAAATATTCAGAAAAGTTAAACAGAGATTAAAGGAAATTTTTTATAAATTTTTCACAGCATTTTTTCAAAAAGGATGGCAGTTCTAATGTACACAAAACAAACACAAATTTTGTATATCAGCTGTTGTCTGTTTTGTTCTGTACATTTTTCTTGGTTTTAGTTAATTTTTTGTACAAATTTAGGCTTCCAAAAATTTAAATCTTTTAGATAGTGTTAAAAATATACTTCTGCATATAATTGGGTTTAAATTTAAATTTAAATGTTTGTTTAACCAAATAAAGTGTGCCACTCAACCTGTACCTCGTCCACATGCTTACATAATTTTTAGTTGAATATAAATATGCTGTTTCGTTTGAATTCTGTTGGAATAAAAAGCCAACACCAACTACTGCAATCAACTTGGCCAAATGCCATTTGGCGGCATATAAGCACAGAACTGACCAACGCCTTGCGCCCGTTTTACTTTGCCGTACATCCAGACTTATTTGGACAGCATCCGGAACAACGTAATGTTAACGAGAATTCATTGAAGCTGTTGAGTGCACACATGGAATCTCTCTATGAGCGAAAATACCAAGCTTTACATGAAACTAAAACGTTACAGTTTTATATACGTGACGTTAAAGCCACAAAACGTGATACCTTCAAATTGATCAAGGTATCATTGGATCGCAATGCAAAAGATCCGAAAATGTTGGTACAACATTTGCTGGAACTATGCAATCTTCCAACGGATTATGTTAAAACAATTAAATCAATCCCGGTGACGGCAGCTGCAAGTGCGACAGCAACTGCTGCAGGTTTTTCATACCCTACCAGTCCGTTTAAAGGTGGAGGCGACTTCAACTATGGATCACAGTTCTCAGGCTTTGAAAACGCTTTCTACAATGTAAGTTTTTCAATTAATTGCGGTAGTGTAAGATGCGGGGAAGTGATTAGTAGATATACATACTGTGGTTGATACAAATCAATCGCTGAACCGTTAGTGGTAATATTAAATACTGAAATTTAGTTTTATAGTTTTCGTTAAATATTGTATATTTCTAATAAATAATTTCAATAAATTCTTTCAGAAAAAAGAAGAAGAGAAGAAAACATTGGAATCATGGTTAAAGAAAAATACGCCTTTAGCAAAGGTACGCTCAGCTGAGTTGGATGACTTAAAAGAGGAGGTAAAAAAGTTGCAACAAGCCGTAACGAAGCGTTTGCATCTGAAAGATATACGCTATGACTGTGGTTGGAATTATGAACATTTTCGTGGTTGTTTAAAGTCGTTAGAACGCATGACTAATCTGCATGCCGATTCAATGGGTACATTGAGAAATCGTATATTAGTTTTTGCCCCATTTACTGGTGTCAGCCTGGAAGGACATGTTATGTTGTTTACCGGCGACGTGCTGACAAGTTGGATCGATTTCATAAAGAACATTCCACAACACGATGAGTTTTTAAAGTGTATACCACTCTATGAGAACACGCTTTCACAAGTTTTGCGTAATATTAAAATCGGACGTAGGAAATTTATGCCTAAGCAACAAGCTCGCGAGTATGCGGCGCATTTAAATAAAGTAACTACGACAATCGGCGATTATCTGACTGTAAACAAATATCCAAAATCATGGCCTGCCACATTGGCAGACTATGAAATCGTCATCGAATCAGAGGCTGGTCCTTTGATGGTAAATCCTACAGGTCAACTAATAGCGCCGGCAACGTGTCCGGGTTTCATGTTAATCGATTTTATCACCACCAACTTGGATGTGGCTAAAGAACGCACCGAGAAATATCAAACTCAAAAAACAGTGGAGCTGCAAATGACGGCACAATGTATACAACAATTACGTTTACACACTTTGACCAAAGATGACTCTGTCACACCAGATAAAATGATAGAAGCAATGCATAAACTTTTAAAATACGATGATCGACAATTTCGGGAACTCAATTTGCACATAACAAATTATTATTCGGTATTGACGGACGGTATAGTTTGCATACCCTGGGATTTTACGCCGAGTTAGCAAACAAAATAATATTAATGTGGTGAAATTTAAACGAAATTAATACTAACGATATATGTATTATATCCAAATATGTACATACATATGTGCTTATGTAATTACATGTTTTTTCTCAATTGTTAATGATTTCTGGATAGCAAATGACGGCTGTGCTTAAATAAAAACGAGAATATAGTAGAAATTCTATGGAACTAGTAAGCTAAAAAAATAGTCTTTTACCATTTCAATATAAGATAATAATATTCCCTGAACAGGGTAATATTAAGATAACCACTAGGAGTGCAACACCCAAAAGAAAACGTTAGTGTTCCTATAAACTACGTATATACATATATACATTAATATATATCGTGACAAGCTTAGTCGATTTAGTTATGTCCGCCCCATATATACGTGAAGTAGTCCTTCAGTTTTTGAGATATCGATCTGAAAATTTGCATCCGTCCTTTTCTTTCCAAGAAACTACTCATTTGTCGAAACCGCCGATATCGGTTCACTATAGCATATAGCTGACATACAAATTGAACGATCAAAATCAAGTCCTTGTATGGAAAACTTTTATTTGACGAGATATCTTTATAAAATTGGGCATGGATAATTCTCCAAATCAACGGTACAATCTCCGAACCAATTGTTTAGAACGGAGCACTGCAGCATGTAGCTGCACTAAAAACTTATCGATAAAAACCAAGAGAAAAATCTTTTTATATCCGTTTTTGCTATCAAAAAATGCATCTGTGAAGGGTATTATACATAGATTCAGTGTAGCCGGAGTTGGCTTTTTTCTTGTATTAAATATCTAACAGTAGCTTTTTGAGCTTTTATAGTCTATTTATGGTCCTTTGAACCATGCTATCTAAGACTAATGTTGACTCGTTTAAATGTACCTATTTTTGCCACAATCTCAAAAAGCTCCATAGGAAAATTTTTTTAGCCTCAAATATTTATATGGTTATCCAGACAGTCTTCTTAATCTAAGTATTTATAAACAGACAATGATTGTAAATTTGTCGAAAGTTTATATTCACTACAACAACAGTGCTACAAATAAGCCGCACCTACGATACTCGGGTATACGTTACCGGAACAGATTCGAATTCATATTTAGCTAATATTTTTAACCCCATCAATTAAAATTCCACAATAACAACAGTTAAAGAAACGAATGTTTTAATGTCAACACATTAAAAAGTAAAAAAATGTAGATATATATAACTACTTACGTTTTGACAAAAAATCGGCACAGTCAAAAAAATAAAAGCATTATATCTATAATATTGATTAAGTAAGAAATTTATTCATTGTATTAAATTTGACACCAAGTGAATAGTATAAATTTATTTATGTGTTTCAGCGCCACCAACTAGATCATATCACTGCAGTCTTCTACCAACCAAAGACACTCGTGCTGAAACAACTGAAAATCCTCGGCGCGTCGGCTATAAACATATTGTTCGGCATTGCTCCACATGCTCTGATTGCCACCACACAAGTATTGACGCATGCTAGGGTCCACTAATGCGACGTTGTTGCCCACGAACACCGCTTGCCACAAACTTGGCGTTGCCGAGCCATAAATATTTTTAATGAACGCCGGCGGCACAGTACTGTTGCCATGAAAGCCATTACTCTCCAATTTTATATAATTTTGCCAATATGTGCTCTGGAAGATATACCTGTTGCCCAACAGGCGCTCAAAACGAAAGGCTGAACGGTACTTGTTGTCATTGCGAAATGTGCACATCAAAGAGGTTTGCGAACATTCACTTAGGTAACCGAAATCACCGGTCACATTGTGAATGCACACGGCGCTGGCATTATGCAGAATCTCCATAGATGTTGGCAGAAAAGCGCCAATGCGTTCCCAGTACTTGGACGCCAAGCTATTTAGATCACAACTACCAACTAGTTGTTGTATGTTGTTGTATAGCAACGCGTGCAAATCGTTATTCCGCTGCAAGAACACTAAATGTGCTATCAAACGTTGATTGGCATTCAAACCCAAACAGTTGAGCGCTTTAACGGTATCCTTTTTGCTCTCCAACTGTTCAACGGCGTCGAAGGTCACATTCAAAATTTCTTCAAAAATATTTGCACCCATTTTAGTTACGTCCAATTGTGCGAGTAAGCGTCGTGCAACTTCATAGTTAGACACATTCAAACAAATTGCGTTTATGTTCTCGTAATTAGCGGGATGCAGTGTCACCTCAAGCAGTTGCGCACTACGCTCCACGAGGTATGCAAGCACTTCACGCTCCAATGCAATTAACGGTCCTGTATAAGTGCCTAAATCGCGCGTTACATTCTTGAGTGTCAAATAAAAATCGATTACGTATGCGGGATCATATTGTAGCTTATCCGTTATTAATTTGCGCCACAGCACTTTATAGCCTATGTAATGTACAGTGTCATTTTGTGTATTATTGACGACCTCTCTTACGAGATAAGTTGCGCTCCACCAGTCGTAATCTTGCACAGCTGTCGTTAACACATTTTCCAGTTCGTTTGTGCCATCGCACGTTGTTGTTGCAATTGGCCAGCCTACATTTTTATCCTTTACCGCTGCATTCCGGGCAAGCAGGTCGTTAAAGAGCCTCACATGCACTTCTAGGAGCGTCGAATTTTTGACCATTTCACGTTTGTTATCCTCCAATATATTTTGGTTTTGCGCCAATACCGCGTTAAGAAACAAGAATTTGAGTAATAAAATCAACTGGAGTGCCATTAGTATTATATTATATTTTAATCCCGTATTTGCCACTTGCTCAACCGGAAGAAGAAAACTTGCAAAATGTTATTCTTGGTCGCCCTTAAATACTTTGGGATAGCGCTAATAATCGGCGCTCTTATCTTGGATGCTAAACTATCTGGTGTACATAGTGCAAAATTATATACCTATATACATATGTATATATATACATGATTTATATGTATGTGGGTACGGAATTCGAGTTTCATTGTGAGTTCCTAAAGATTAGGCAAATATTGATACTTGAGTTGCATTGTTGTTAATTAAATTTGCAGTTAGGGCTAGACACGTTGGTAAGGCACAAGACACCGGAAGCCATAGATTATATTACACGTAACCGATATATTTGCATATATATCTATGAACATGAACATAACTTCATATGCACTACTAATATTGTAAGCAAAAGTTTGTAACCTCAAGTCACGTTGAAATAGTCTAGCATCTATGAAATATTTTAACTTTCCAAAAGCAAAGGAAACCTAAACAAATACTTTCTATAAGCTATTGTACGTACAATGACCTACGATCGAAGAAAAACAAAAATTGAAAAAAACTGGTTTTAAAAAAAGTAAAATTTTACCTAAAATTTTGGTCGTTTTCGTCCTTCCAAAGTTCGATTTTTATCAGATTAAAAAAAAGCAGGTAAGCAATTGTATAAAGAATTAGTATATATAGAACAATCAGAAGTTTTGATAGTGATCGGTTCATTTAACCCCCGAGTAATAACTGCGGATAATTCGAAAACTGGTGTTTGGAGAAAAATATGTTTAAAGATAAACTGATGGAGCTGGTTGAATTAAGCGGCTACACTTTAGAAATCTGTAACTCCAAAAAAAATTAAAATATTGATTTTATGAGATTTCGCTTTTTTATTTCGCTTTCATTACTGCACACGATTTTTTACGGGTTTCTTCATCAAATATAATGGATAAATCTATGAAAGCTTGAACCAATCGCACCAGTGTTATTTATTTCGAGGTCATATAATTGTGCATGTGAACCTCCACAAAATAGATATGGAAAAGCCTGGTACTCAGGCGAAAACCCGAATGCAAATAGCTCTTATTAAAAAATGAAAGATTCTTCAAAAAATTCGGCATATAATATTAAACATGTTTTTGAGCAGTTTAACATATTTGAAAAGGCTCTCCGTGAGTGCCGTATTTACCAAACGAAAGAGTTTATGTTGTTGTTTTGCAGAAGCATACGACCTTCCGCCAAATAATTAAAAAACAAAAAAAAAACGTTAACTTCGGTTGCACCAAAGATATAATACCCTTCACAAATACAAAGGCTTCTTACAAGAACTTGATTCCGATCGTTCAATTTGTATGGCAGCTATATGCTATAGTGGTCGGATAGGGGCCATTCCGACAAATGAACAGCTTCCTAGGGAGGAAAGGACAGGTGCAAAATTTCAGCTAGACAGCTTAACAACTGAGAGACTAGTTTGCATATAGGTATACAGACAGACATGGCTAAATCAACTCAACTCATCATGCTGATCATTTATGTATATATTTTATAGGGTCTCCGATGTTTCCTTCTGGGTGTTACAAACTTCGTGGCAAACTTAATATACCCTGTTAAGGGTATAAAAATGCTGCTGGAAATGCTTGGCCGGATATGAATTGAATCTGGCTCTATTCCGGTTATGAGACCCAATGGAAACGGATGAGTTTTTATGGTTATGTGTCATGCGAAAAACCGTTTTTTGTGGAAACAAATTAACTCATTTTCGATATTGCCATATTTAAATAATGCATTACCGTTGAATATGAGGCATCTATAATCATTACAAATCCCTTTTTCTTGCTATGTTATGAATATGCATGTTGGAAAAAAAGAAATAAAATACCCCTGTTTTAGAATAAGTTTTTAAATAACTTAAGTGAATATCTGAACACTCAATTCCGGACATTTATCAGTTTAATATAATACCTATACGGTGAAGAATTATGATTCCACTAACGGTTGTATGGAATATATTAAAATAATCCAGACAGGTATACGAGAGCATTCCGATAAATACTTGTTCCAAAAAAAAGTGGTCTCTTTTTAGCTCGAAACATTTGACTCAATGTTGCTCCAAATTTTTTAACCTTTTTTTTTGTTTGGAGGTCTGCAAAGTAAGCGCCCATATCGGCGATATTCTCCTCATTCGTCTTAAATTCTGTCTTGCGAATTGCTTGTTGAAGTTTTCAAACAAGGTGATCGTTGACTTTTGTCACGTTATGCGACCGCGCTGAAACTCGTTAAACCAATTTTTGACCGTCGCTAACGAAATAGAGGCCTCACCGTACACAGTATCCCAGCACCCTTTATTTTCACTGCTCGATTGTTCCTCTACAATCAAAGATCGATTTATCGACCGCATACTTTAATGTAAAAGAAACTAATAAAAACATAACTTTGATTCGCTCAATATTTTGCACAGTTGCAAAATATTTGGCATGTCGTTGTTAATTAGTTGCACGCAACTGTATATACGCGGAGAAAGAATCTCATTTTTCGTTTTACCACACAATATGAAAACATCCAGTGAAATTATGTAATCAAACCTGCCTCGTATCTAACTGTATCAAAATTATGAATTATGAACGTATCACGCCCACTTTTTCCATACCAAACGTGGTTACTTCTTTCAGCTTCTTTTTCTTTATTATAAATAAATCAAGTTTTATTTAAGCTATCAAAAAAAGCTTGTAACAAATAGTGATCCTAGCATGTGGTAACTCTGTTCCAAAAATATTAGAAATTAATTAATGTTTTCCAAGTGATGGCATTGTTTGGTATTAACAGATAAGCTTCGACTTTCAATCGGCCAGAGTGCGAGGTTTCTCAATGAAACAAAGTGGAAATTTTATACTTGAGTTAATATGATATTAATTTGAACTTGGAGCTTAATGTTTTCTTGAATTTTGCCAATAATAGTTGCTTCCTCTATTTATTTGTACCGTTATTTGTTGGAATTGTGGGTATCCTGCTCAAAAGCGGAATTGGCGCTTTACGGCTGTGTTTTCATGAAAAAATAATAATTAATGCTGGTGATTAAAATTACAATACGTTTGCAAATGCGTGTATATTTCTCTCAAACATAAATAATCGACATTTAAGTGGCTTATTTGAAATATTTAAACTTTTACAAGCAATACATGTAAATGTGAAGTACTTTTTATTAAACACTTTTCATAGATTTCTTTTGTTTTTTTCTCGGAAATTACGCTTTTTGCTAAGTGGAAAGTCAAAGTGCGAAAAAAGTGTACAATACGACAACGTACTTATGTATTTTCAACTAAATTAGACATTTTTTTAAAATAGTTTTGTTTAGCTTTTGCATACTTTTAATAATAGAATGATAGAAAAACTTGCTGACTTAAAAGGGTTTATTAATTAGAAAATATATATATGTAGTATGTAAGTGGTATGTATGTATATATATATATAAAATAACAACGTTAATATTTTTTCATAAAAGTTAAAGTTATAAAATAAATAAATTTTCTCTTCTTCCACCGGCAACTGGTTTACTCAGCCATATCATCAAATACAAATACAAACACACACACACAAGTATGTTTGCTCGAAGTTCCCATTTATTATTGTATATTGCAAATTAACGCCGGTTGGAGCTGCGCATGCGCACATATGTACGTATCCAATGCTACCAATTGTTAATTATTTATAATTTTTCTTTCTCTCGTTACTTATCTCTGTATGTGTGTGTGTGGTTCATGTAACGCTCGCTCGTTTCATGCATTTCGCATATAATTTACAATTGCTTTTTGTTTTTTTTTGTGTGAAATAATTCGTTTAATTGTTGGGTGTTTGACTGGAGCGGCGTTTATCCTTTTCTTTCTCTTTATCGCCACCTTTGCGGCCAAATATGCGGAACATGCCACTGCGTCGCTCCTCTTTGCTTTTGCTGCCCTTAACACCGGATACGGAGGAGATTGATTGCGCCTCACTTTCGCTGGAGCTTTCCGCCGAAACGCGCGAGAAGCTTATGGAGTCCGGTTGCAGTGAAACTGGCCGATTGCCATCGAAGCGTGATGTGCCCCAGCCTGAGAAAACAAAAAACCAAATACAACATTAGTAAATTGAAAGTATTGTAGTTGTACATATGAAAGAGAAAAGAGAAATTACTCAAGCAAAAACCATGCGTTAAATAAAAAGCGCAGAAACGATAAGATAAGGGCTCATAGTCTACCAAAGACTCTACCAAACGCTTGAAATACAATAGTATATATTGTAAATTAAATGTTAAGCTTTACCAAAACCATAGTTACTCTGCAGACTAGTGCGCACATAAGAACGACTGAGTTTAACCGACTTAAACGCTGGTCCTTAAGCATGACAGACATGCAAGAAACAATATGCATACATATATAAATACAAAGAGTACATGCATAATTCGCTTAAAAATTAAAGAAATACATTTTGCATACATACATACATATGTGTATAATACAAATATTAGAAAAAAATGTATAACTAAAAAAAAATAATTATAAAAAATATATAATATAAAAAGCCTGCAGGAGGTAGACAGTGTCTCTTAAAAGTGCCGCTGACTTTGGTTATTAATATTAAATAATATTGAGTAGGCTAGAGGTATTTGTAATATTTTTAGTTGTTGTTGTTGCCGCTGCATTGAGCATTGCTCAAATGATTTTTATAACTTTTCTGCTGAAGTGGTTAATCTTCACCGGCTCAGATCATTTCGATTACTATCGCAACAACAACCTTTGTTGCTGTTTTTGTAGCAACATGAAACCGTTTCTGAATAGTTTTGTGATATGTTATTGAATTGGCCGTTTCACCTCCGATGTATTATATATTCGAGTTTTTTGCGGTTATATGGTATAGACCCGAATGTCCTCAGAATCGAATACAAAAAAAAATGTTCATTAGCTGTAAGCCTAAAAGCTGCTAGTGATATAGTTTCTATATGTAGTAATCTCTATTTCTTAGGATAAATTTTGAAAAATTTATGGTTTCCCTACATTTGTATATATGTATATTTTAGGGTGTCCGTTATTTACCAAGTTGATTTTTGTTTTGGAAACGCCCTTTTCCCATATGTTTACCACGGGATTTTTTGATTTTTTGAAATTTATTTTTTATATCCAAAGCAAATAAACCCAAAGCTTTAAAATAACGATGTTCTAATACAAAATTTTCTTTTCTGCAAACGGTATTCATATAGTACACCATGTCGTATGAGCAACACAGAATCTGTTATAAATCATTTGACCATTTAAAGTATAATTTTAACTGAGTATAACTTTTAAAGGAATGCTTTTATGAAAAAAATCATTAACAATTTTTTGTAGAGCGAACAATTTTGTATTAAAAGATTATACGAAATATAATATCAAAACAGAAGAGGCGTTTCGATATGTACTACTCGTGTGAAAATTTTTCTATCGTGACTGTACAATTTTATCCGAATCGTAACTCGAAAATTATCCAGTTCTTGTTGTTGTAAGGGAAATTAAAGTGCGGTTGGTCAAACATTGAGTTCACGAGAGTTCAAAATATTTCTCAAATACGACGTTGATTCTCTCGGCGGAGATTAATAAAATTCCATTTACACAGTTGTAACATCGGTGCTTGGAGACTCCACAAGCTATAAGGGTGGAACAATAGACCTTTATCTATTGGCGAAGCACTTTGAACCTATTACGGGTATTTTCAGTTCCATACAATTCGTCCGGTTGACCGACAAGTATGAAATTTAAGATTTCTGAAGTTATTTGCTTTTAAATTCCCACCTTTTTCCTAATTTTTTAATTTTCTAAAGTAATTAAGTTATAAGTTAGTGAGTAATTTATCATGCTAGAATAAAGAATATGTAATAAGTCAAGTAAGAGGAAGAAAGCACTTTCACTTAAATCAAATTTTTTTTTACACCTCGATTACCAACCAAACAAAATACGATAGGCACTAACGCAATATAAATTAACGAAAAAAAAACTTAAATTTAAAACCATTTTTAAAAAATATTTTCGACAGCAAATAGGAAAATTAGGAATACGAATTTAAGATGCGATTAAGTTGTGTTAGCGGGCACAGAGAGTGTACGAGTATATGAGTGCTAGTGTGTAAATAATGGATGAGAGTGAGTGACTGCTAACCGGTTCCATCGTTATTGTTCAAGCCCATGTAACTCGGGTTATTTATGGAGTTGTTATCGGTTGTGAAATGCCACACAGTGCGACTAGATGCCGTTGTAGTAGTTGTTGTTGTTGTTGTCGATAATACATTCGACCCCGTATTGTTCGTATGCAACATATGTTTACCGTTGTTGTTGTTATTATTGCTGACATTCGAGCTAGTGTTGCTGCTACTGCCGCCACTTGAATTCGAGCTGGTCGAAATTGTTGTATGCACCGTACGCTTGGCTGCGGTGACCGTCGGCGAGTTACCAATACCGCTTGACTCGACCTCAATGAATTTGCGCGAGGCATCTGTGCGACCACTGGCCACGGGTGTGCGCGACATAAGCTGCTGTTGGCTGCGCATATAGTTGCTGGGCGAATGGTGAAGTTCTGACTGCTGTGGTTGTTGTTGTTGGTGATGGTGGTGTTGATGCTGTTGCTGGTGTGGTTGTTGCATAGCGGCTGCATTCAAGGCATTTATGCGTTGTTGTATTTGCGGATGGTGAGCATGGGCGCTTCCCATAGGTGGCATGGTTGTAGGTAAAGGTGGAGGATTTTCTAATATTTGCATTTATTGTTGTTGTTGTTTTTGTTTTGGGGTGAATCGATTAAGAATGAACGCATGAATGGATTGATTTACATATATTGTACATATATCAATTATAGACTAACTTTTCTCAAAATAAAAAAACGGCACTATTCATAATACTGGACATAAGGGACAAATTAATTTTTATAAAAAAAAAATATTAAAAAAAAATTGGTTGAGGACGTATTTTGGTTGCGGTAATAATTTGTAACACTTTAAGCATATATGTATGTATGTATACCTGATTGTCTAGCCTCACTGTTGCGCTTGAGCACAACGCTGTCGTCATTTGCGCCGTTTTGTATGCCCGAAATGCCTGCGGGTAATGTGGCGGATTGCAAACGCGAAGAGCTGCTGCCGAAGCTGGATTCGCTTAAATCTGTTCAGGAAAAAAATAGACACCATTACTCATGCAAATCATGTTTAAAATTACAACAACAACTCACCGTTACTGGAGTTATTGCGATTTCGTAGCACGACCAGATTCTCGGTGCTCTGACGGTTTGGTACTGGTGGTGGTGCACCGCGTGGTGGTATTGGTGGCTTCTGTTCGAAACCAAATGGTGCCGTTGGTGAGGATGGTGACGTCTGTGGGACATATTTTCAAAGTTAAAATTCAAAATTCCGACCTGTGTATTTCTTATACATACCCTTTGTTGTAGTTGTTGTTGTTGCATTTGTTTTTGCAGGAAATTCATTTGTGGCGTCGCCGAACTGGTGGACATACCGCTATTAATCGAGTCGTTGCGCGAAATGGCACGTCGTTGGGAGTCGGGTGATGAAGTGCGCGAACTGACCGGTGACTCGATTTGCGCGCTGGCGATTTTAATATCAGGGAAACTGTTCGACTGTTGCTGTAAAAGTAAAAGTATAAGCAATAGCAAATTATTGAAGATAAATATCTCCGTATAAAGGTGTTTGCACATACCTTCATGGATTCGTCGTAGCTCAGCAGTTGTAGATTTGGTGGCAGACTAGCATGGAAGGATATCTTACGCACCCAGTCGTTCATGATTTCTAATGATGGCGCCTCGAAGAGGAATTCAGAGCCATCGGGCAATTTTAGTCTGAACACATACTTCTTCTTCGTGTAGTCTTCGGCACGTTCGCACTTGGCGCCGAGTATGTTGACGGGCGCATTTGCGGTCTTCTGTTGCAGAAAGTCGTTTTCATCCTTAAAGAAGCACAGTAATTGACCGCACAGTACTGTATGGAATTGTTTCCATGAGCGTACTGGCGCCTTCTTGCCACCGGATTGTAAGCCATGCTTACGCTCCAGCATACCTTGTATTTCGACTGGTGGCAGGTCGAAACCTTCGCCCTTCTGATTCTTGCGGAACGATTGTGCACGTCGACGTGTGGTGAACGATGGTGTACGCTTTGGTGGCTTCTGTTGCACTTTCATACTTTCGGCGCGTTTAACATTCGTGTCGGAGCCGCGTCTTAAGCGATCGCCGAACATGCTGCTGGAGCTGCTCTTTTGCAGTGAGTACTGATCCTCGTCGAAGGGTGAACGCAGTGGTGTTGTGACTGCAACGGCGGGCGATTGCGGCGCATTGTTGGCGTTCACGGTGACCATGGGCGATGAGAAGATGGGTGTCTTCTCTTGTGCCGTGGCATTTTGACGATTCTCCAATTGCTTTTCGGCGCGTCGGCGCTCATCGTTAAGTCGTTGCAGTTCTTTTTGCTTCAACATCTCTAGACGTTCCTTCTCTAAGCGTTCTTTCTCTTTCTGCTTGGCTAGTTTCTCGCTTTCGACTTGTTTGCGGAAACGTTGCTCCAGCAATGTAATACGCTTGATGGCTTGGAATTTCTCCTCCTGCGCGGCGACCGTCTTCTCGAAGTCCTGATGGCGGCGCAACAAATCTTCAACCTGCGGTATGGAGTCGCCCAGTTTGGCATCCTTCAGCAATGGTTCGCGACTGATTATCCAGTTCTCGAGTATCTCAGCGTCTTTAAGGAAGATTTGTGTGTCCAAGTTGAGTTCGTAAATTTCTTTGCGTTGCTGTAGTGTATTCTTCAGAAGTTCGTGTCGCTGTTGCAGTACTTGTATTTTCTCTTCGATCTCATGCGCAAGGAAGTGCTTCTCGTTAATTAATTTCTGTCCGTTAGCTGTGAAGTTGGTGAAAGTCTCATCGCGTGCATGTATCTCTGCATGATGCTCCTTCACGCTCACCAACAACGACTCAGCGCCCGCCACTGTTGTCGCCAAATCGGGCGCTGTGATCTTCGCCAACATTTCATTGATCCAAGCAATCAAATCGCGATACTCATCGAAGTAGGACTGCAAATGCTCTGCTTGTTGTAATTTTTCTTTGCGCGCATTTGTTTTCTCCTTCAGATCGGACCAAGCTTCGACAGTCTCGTCACGCTTGACCTCGATATGCTCCTTGGCATCGGGATAAATCTCGCCCAACTTCGTTGCTTCTACAAGCACGGCATCGACCTGTTCCTTAATGGCGATAAGTTCTCCTTCGAAGACGGAGTGTTTGCGACTCAAAGCTTGTATGCTCTCTAAATCTTGGCCGTAATCCTCGGAGATAAGTGAAGCCTCTTTCTCGTTAATAAGTGAAATCGTTTCATCGGCAACGCGATCGTAGACATGCACTTGCTTCGCACCAGCCAGCGCATCCTGGCGTGCATTGACTAGATCCTTCAATTCTTCCCAGAGTTGTTTGGTCTCATCTCGTTTGGTTTTGATCGAAGCACGGTAAGGATTATTTTCTTTAATTAGTTCATCGCCGTGATCGAGACAGGCTTGTACACGTGCACCGTTCGCATTCAAATTGGAGACGAAGGACTCAAAGACCAAAATTAATTGTTCCACATGTTCCACATCTTCGCCATAATCCTCGGAAGCCGTAACTGCCATTTGATCAGCAATCCATTCGTGTAAATCTTCAGCCTCGCGCAAGTACTCGAACAACTTCTTGCTTTCGCTTAAACGCACTTCACGATCTTTAGCAAGACGCAGTAATTCTTCGTATTGTTTCTTCACTGTGTCATTCTTTGTGGTTATATTGGCACTATCGAAGTGATTACGTTCGACTAAACCGTGCGCCAGCTTGCCGACCTTCTCGATCGAAGCTTTAAATGCGATCAGCTCACGTTGCAGAACTTCGAGCTTCTTTTGATGTGACTGCACGGAAGTCTCATCGCGTCCATAATCGCTGGAAGCAAGTATAGGACGCTTTTCACGTATCCATGCCTCTGCTTCATTTGCCTCCACATAGAACATTTGACTCTCCACGGCGTCTAATAGACGCAAACGTCGTATACTGGCCATGTCGCGTAGATTGACGAGTTTCTTCTGCAACAAATCGCATTTGTATTGCACCTGTTCGCTAGCGAAATGATCATCGCGTATCATTTGTTGACCACGTTGTAGTAACGCCTTAATTAGTGGTTCTTGTGAAAGTATTTCTGCCTCAAGTCCTTGATGCTTCTTCTGTAACACTTGCACCGCTATCAGACTGCTGCCCAAATCTTGGGAATTGGCGATCGCCTCCTTTTCGGTTAGCCATTGCAGTTCGTCTTCAGCGTCGCGTAAGAATTGTTGCAGACTCAAAGAATCTTCGAGATTTTCACGACGTATGGCTATGGGTTCGTGTAGTGTACGATAACGTTTGATGGCTGTCATTGCGCGATCGTGTATTTCGTCCTTAAGAAAGTGATCGGCTTGGAAGAATTTCTCATCGGTTTGTTTGATTTGATCGGCCAACTCGTTGTGGTGTGCGACATCGGCTTCGAGACGTTCATGTTTCTTAATCAAATGATTAACGGTGGCCAAATCTTTGCCGTAATCTTCACTTGATAAATGTGACTCAACTTCGTCCATCCAGTTATTGAATTCGTCGAGGTTGCGATTGAAGGCCTGTGCCTCGTAAGCTTGACTAAGTTTCTCTCTCTTCTCCTTCGATGCGGCCTTCAATTTTTTCCAATCACTCTCCAGCATCTTGAGTTGTTGGGCGATTTCCTCCTTGGCAAAGTGTTCATCTCTGATGAGGCGCTCACCCTCGTTAATTACGTCCTGTACACGTGATGTATTCGTTAACAGCTCACTATCGAATGTGGTGTGCTTTTGTATTTTACTTTGCAAGTTATTCGGTTCGCGATAGTTCTCATCCAAAGCCACTTGCATTTTTTGCACCAACCAACGATCAATTTCGTACAGACTGCGTAGGAATTCGTGTAATTGCAGCGACTGCAGCAGCTTTTGCTTACGGTCCAGTGACAAGGCATTGAGCTTTGCCTTACGACGCAAGATATAGCTCAACTTTTCCTTAATCACATCACCGTCTTTCGGTTCACCTTCCAAAATGCTTTGCGCAAAGTTTTGCAATTCCGATACATTATCTGAATCCAATAGCTTTTCAAATGCGTCGTGCTTCTTGATCAGACGCTCTACGGCGGGATATGAATCACCCAAATCGTCATTGTTGAGGAAAGCTTCTTTGTTGGCCAACCAGATCTCGACTTGTTCCACCTGTGCCTTGAAGAGGTGCAGTTGATGTGCCTCCGTTAAATCTCTGGCACGTTCATTCCACGCTTCGTGCAATGTTCTATGTAGCTCCTCCAGTGTCTTTAAGTATTGCTTGACATTAGCTGGTTTCTCCATACCACTGAGTGTTTCACCGTGCGCCTTTAAATCTCTGAACGCCTTGTCGCGTCCGTCTATTTCCACTTTGCGTTCCTGATGTAACTCCAGCTGTGTCTCACAATCATTTATAGTCATCGGCGCTTGAGCGGCGTTCATCTTTTTGATCATGTCATTAACCCAAAGCTCCAGTTCTTTTACATCGGATACAAATTTATGCACCAGATAGGCATCATTGAGTATGGAGCGTCGTTTAACAGATAAATCTTCTAGATTTTGCCAGGATGCGCGCAATTCATCGATTTTATGCTCAATAACCTTCACGCGATCGGGATAACGTTTGAGCAGCGTCTGCGCGACAAGTTCGTGTTCATCTATCTTTTGTTTAACCGCCGACATATCACGTTCTAATGCATCTTCACGACGTATCAGCGTCTCGACGGCAGCCAAATCGCGTCCAGTGTCATCGGAGCTCATGGCCAATGATTTTTCGGCAATACGATCGGCTGTATCGTCGACATCGCGGTTGAAGACGTGAATTTCATTTGCTTCGCCAAGTAGCGCTCGGTAAGCGTTGAGTGCACCTTGTAGGTCACGCCACTTGCTGTTGAAATCGCGACGACGTTTATCAATATTCTTCGTTTCGGCTGGTACTTCGCCTTGGTTGATGAGCTTGTCGGCCAAGTTGTTGATGTGCTTGACACGTTGATCGTCAACGCGCATATCGGAATCGACATCGTCCAATTTGCGTGTGAGCGCATTGCAGTGCTCCAGATCGCGTCCGGTGTCACTGGCTTGTATCATCATTTCCTTATCACGTATCCAAGCAGAAATCTTATCTAACTGATTGTTGAACTCGAGTATGTCTTGCGCTTCTTCAAGACCGCGTCCGCGGTTGTCCAACTCTTCGAGTAGACTCTTCCAAGCGGCAACTACACGTTCCACAGCTAGTTTTATTTCCTTCGAAGATTCATGTTGCTTCGTCAAAAGGATTAAACCAGTTTCTTGTATCTCTTGTATGCGTCCCTGGTTGGCCGCCACTTCGGCTTGAAAGGCTTGGTGTTTTTGTAATTTCTTTATCTTCTCATCTAAGTTAGACACTTCTGCGTAACTGGCACCATCCGCCTCCAGCTTCTTTTTCTTCTCGTTTATCCACGATTCAGCCTCGGCACAATCGCGCACGAACTGTGCATATAGTAGCGCATCTTCCAGTTTGTAACGACGCACTGCGCACAGATCTTTTACCTTTTGTCTGCGCGCCAATACACCTTGTAAGATGGTTTGGATGTTTGCGCTGTCATAATGACGTTGCTCTATCAGTTTACGTCCATGTTCCTGCAATAAGGCCACTTTATCCTCTTGCGTCTGAATGAGTCGCTCGAATTCGTCGTGTTTTTTTATCTGGTTCTGCACATCCTCGACGGTTTGACCGAAATCGGAACTGCTGAGTGCAGCTTGTTGTGAACTTGAAAGATTGTCGATTTGCTTGGCATCGCGCAAGAAGCAGAACAAATCGATTTTCTGCTCCAACATAATCTTTTTCTTATTCCAAGCGGCATGCAACTTTTGACGTTCGTCCAACATAGCCGAACATTTCTCCTCAACTTCGGCGGCAGCGTAGTGTCCTGTCTGCACCATTGAATCGCTTAATTCATTCAAGTAACGGAATTTATCTTCACGCGCCTCAATTTCACCATAAATAGCATCGTGTTGGATCTTCAATGCAGTGGCACCAGCGGCATCGCTGACATGCTCTTCGGCTTGTAGCGCCGCACGCAAATTCGACGACCACGACATTATGTCGCGCACATCGGTTAGGAAAGATTGTAAATCCGAGCTCGCGGCTAAACGATCGCTGCGCGCACCCGAACGCTCTTTCAAGTCATTCCAAGCAGCGACAACTTTATCCTGTTTCTGTGCAATAGCTGCAGCATTTGAAGGATATTTCGCTTGGAGACGTACCGAATCTTCAACTAACACCTGCAATTGTGCCTCCAACGCCACAAGGTCATTCTCGAAACCTTCATGTTTGCGCAACAGCGCCAAAGCTGAATTCAAATCTTTGCCGAGTTCCGAAGAGAGCGCAGCATTTTTGTCCTGTATGCGGAAGAGCGCTTCGGCAACATCACGGTGGAAACGATGAATTTCACCGGCGGCATGTAACTTTTGCTCGCGTTGATTTAATAATTGCAATAGGTTTTCCCACGAATCTCTATAAAGAAGCCAAACAAAAAAAGTGTTAAAAAGTTGGAAATTTTATTGTTTTAATTTTGCTACTTTTACTCACCTCAGTTGTTCCTGGCGTTTCTCCACATCGTTGGCGTAGGAGCTCTCGGTATCGATTAGCTTCTTCGCCAATACTTCGCATTGATTCACACGATCGGAACCCACTTCAACACGATGTTTCAAGTCATCAAATTTATTTTGCAGCAACTGCAGATGTTCGTAATCTTGTCCGTAATCTTCGGATGATGCTGCCTGTTCTTGTTCTCTTATCCATTGCTCCACTTCATCCGATTCCAAGAAATATTCGTGCATGTAGAGACTCTCCATCAGACGCATTTGCCGTTGTGAAGCCAATTTATGTAGAGATTTCAACATTTTCTCAATGAGTTGTTGTTTCGCAGCAAGAATTTTACTGTCCGGATGTCCGGCGGCTACCATGGCAGCACAATTATGCCCCATTTCGGTAACAATACCAGAGTACGTGTCCAGCTCCAGTTCGATTGTCTTGTGTTTGGTCAGCAATTTAGCTGCAGAATCGCGATCACGCCCATATTCGGTGGAGCGCAATGCATTGCTTCTCTCACCTAACCATGATTCAATCTCACCGGCGTCGGACAAGTACTGCTGCGCCTTCAATGACATCTCCAGCTTCTTACTGCGATCATTCGAATTACTCTTCAGATCGGCCCAGGCATCTTCTAACTTGCCGCACAATGCGCTTACCTTCTCCTTTTCGGGATGCTTTTGTGCAATAAGCGTTTGTCCCGCTTGCAAAGCTTTGTTGATCATCGGCTGATGCCCCTTAATTTCGGCTTCGAGTTTCTTATGTTTCTTCGATAGCGTCTGTGCTTGATGCAAGTTTTGACCCAACTCCTTTGATTTAGCTGCTGGCATATGATCATTGATCCACTGGAATTCAGTGTCCAATTCAAAGACGAACTTATGATAGTTCAAGCTCTCTTCGAGTTCCTCACGCCGCTTCTGTACTGGTCCGCGTAGTAATTTGAAACGATTTTGTATATCCTTTGTTTCGTCCTTGATGTGCACGGCATTAAAGTGACCCTCATGCGCCATTTCATCGCCAGTACTGACAAGTTCGACGATCTTTTGCTCCCACACCGTTATCTCAGATTCGAGTAGCTGATGCTTGTTGATCAAATCTTTGCAGCTACGCAAATCGTTACCAACATCTTTGCTCTTGAGTGCGGCGTCCAATTCGTCGACTTTTTGTTTGGCATCATCGATGGCGCGATTGTGTTCGCGCTGTGACACAGCTTGCTCTAGTTTGCGTCCCTTATCTTCAGAGAGCAGTAGTAGATCTTTCCATTTCTGATTCAAGTCAACCATTCTGCTTTCTACGGCAGGCTTGCGATTATTTGTTGCGATCAATGCCTGTCCAGCCTTATTCACATTACGCAATTGACCTTCGTTGGCGCGTAGCTCACGCTCGAAAGCTTTGTGTTTCTGCAGTTTACGGGGTAAATTGCTAAGGTCACGATAACTCTCATCGCCGGCGATTTTGGTTTTGTCACTCAGCCATGCGGCGAGATCGTCAGCCTCTGCGGCGAATTTGTGGTAATCCTTTGAAGCCTGTAATGAACGTTTGCGTTCGAAAGCGCGATCTTCGACTGCTTTCCTCTTGCCCAAAACTTGATTGCGTCTATCGTCAATGCTGTAAGAGAGAAAATATAATTAATTACCGTAATTTTTTTTTGTTGTTTCGTTCGTTTACTATTTTTTATCATAGTGATCGTTGGCAATTAGTTTATCGGCATTGTCGGAGAAACCCTTAAGAATTTTATCCTGTGCCATAAGGCTTTTCTCAAAGTCAAGATGTCGTTTTAGTATTGCTTCCACCTCGTCGAGCGAATTCTGGAATTGAAAAACATTATAAATATATTGAAGTACATTAAAAAAATGTGTATTTTATATCTCCTACTTACGCCCAAATTGTTATATTCAAGGAAAGCTTCGTGACTCTTTGTGGTGGCATCGATCTTGTCTGCTTCCCGGTTGAATATTTGTAGTTCAACGCATTGCTGCAACCACTTCTGCTTCTCCACCCAACCGCGGTGTATAGCGTCTTGTTCCGCCCTCAAGCGCTCAATAATCTTAACGGTTTCTTCCATGTTCGGTTTGCCATCGGATAGTTGTTTGCCTAAATTGATGACCTCGACAAATTCGTTGTCGTGTGCTTTAATGTCGTCGCCAAGGTCGTTGTGCTTTTTCAAGAGATTGTTAGCTGTTTCAACATCGCGCGCTGACTCGTCGGCATTCAATTGATCCTTAACCGAATCGATCCAAGCAAGCAAGGTTTTAGCACTGGAAGGATGAAAAATTCGGTTAAGAATTTATAGAAGTACAAATATTATATTCTGAGAATAATCGAATATTTATAGGTTATAAACGGTTTAAGAACAGAAAATTAAAAATTATACCAAGAAATATACAAAAATGTATAGGTTATCCTTAATCACTTATATACCTGTTATTGAATATTTGCTGTCCGACTGCGCTCTCAATGCGCGCACGTAGTTCACTACCTTTACCGTGAACCTGTTTCCACATATCCAAGACCTCTTGTTGTCGTGCCGTCACATTATTCCGCTCGGCAGGATAGGCATTCTTTACTCTAAAAAAAACAGCACAATTTTAGAAGTAATTTTTAATATTTAACAATATTTCCTGTAAAGGACTTACGAATTGCCCAAATAGTTGACGCGGTTCACCTTCTCTTCGACGGGCGCCAACTCACGTTCTAAATTCTGGTGACGTCGCTGCAGTGCCTGAACCGTTTTGAGGTCAGGACTAATTACCGCCGTATCCAGCTGTAACATCTTTTCGTTCATCCAAATCTTAGCCTCATCGCAAGTACGATTGAACAAGTCCACACTGGAAGCGCCTTCAAGACTCTTCTCACGTTGCGCTTTGGCGTTGTTGAGACGCTGCCAAATTTGATGTATCTGCCGTTGCCGTGCAATAATTTTGTCCAACTGTGAATGACCTTGGCGACGGAAATTGTCAACGGCGCCATCGATCTCTTCAATACGCTTTGAGGCCGCTGACAGATCGGTAAGGAATTTTTCGAATTTACGTTTTGCATTCTCCACACCTTCGCCGTCGTCTGAGTTGATGATGCGCTCCTTTTCCTTCATCCATTTCTCGAAATCATCACATTCGCGATAGAAACCGAAGAGGTGTATAGAGTCTTCGAGTAGTGCATGACGTTTCTGCGCTGTATCTTGTAGTTCGTCGTATGTGCTGTTAATGCGTTTTTGACGTTTCTCAACACTGTCGGCGTTTTCGTTAATACTGTTGGAGGAAATGCGTCGCTTAACAAGTGGTTTAGGTGGTACGGCAGCTGGTTTGATACGTTTCACGGGCACCACTTGACGCACTAAGATCGTTTTCTTTACTTTTTGTAGTGTTTTGACTTTCTCTGCTTTCGGCACAATGCACGGCACGGCACGTGGTTCGATTTCACGCACATAATTGGCCGGCACGAAGCCTTCTAAACCATTATCTTTGCGCACGCACCACCAATCGTCGTTCGTTTTCGACTTTAGCAACATCACCTCACCCTTATCCATTTTCATACCTTGACCCTCGAAGGGGAACATTGAACGCACATGTGGTAGCAATTTCATTTCGGTTACTTTCTTGTGTTCCAACTTCTCCACCCACTCATCTTCCCACACTTCTTTTGGCACAAGTCGCGTCTCGTTCACCCATTCCTCCTGCTCGATTTCGGGCATTTCAGGCTCGGCTGCTGAGAGCTAGAAAGAATATTGTTATTTTTGTTATCTCTTAACAGATTAGAATACATTGCTTACCTCTAGCGTGCAGATGCCAGCTTTGATAAGCTTTTCGGCCTGTTGGTTTAAGTTAAGTATATCGCCGGAGTAAGCATTCAATTCGCCTTGCAGATCGCGGTGTCGCTGTAGCAGCGCCTGTGCAGAGGGTTCGTCATTACCGTAGTCGTTTGACTTCACTAGCGCCATTTTCTCATTTAACCACGACTCAGCCTCGTTGGCGTCGGTATAGAATTGGTACGCCTCGGCTGCATCTTCCAGCTGACGTCGCCGCAATTCAACTAACTCCTCCAAAGCCTTCCAGTGTTCGGCCAAAGACTCAATACGACTCTTGATGTCGGACGAACGTGGATGTTTCTCGGCGATGAGCTTCTTGGCCGCGTCCAACATTTGTGTAGATTTCGGTTTGCGTACTTTGATTTCATCCTCGAGCGCTTTGTGTTTCTGCTGTAGCGAAAGTACGGCGCGTAAATCCTTTGCTGTAATGCCGGTCTTGCAGATGCGTTGTTTATCCACCAGCCAACCTTCCTCGTTGTCGTAATCTTCCATGAAATGATAAAAGTTTCTCGCCTCCTCAAGGCAAGCACGACGTTTAGCGCACAACTTCAGCAAACTGCAAGCGGAAAATGTAAACTGAATTTAGAAATTACGAATATAATTGGAATACTCACATTGCATAGGCCTCCTCGAGCTCGGCGAGACGCTGCACCAGCAACGCGGCATCCTTTTGTTCGGATGTCTTATATGGTTGTGCTTGACGATTGAATCGTTTCAGCGTTTCACCATAGGTATTCACTTGCAGCTCTTGCAACGAATGCGCTTGCAACAACTCTTCTACGCCCAGCAAATGCGGACCGACATCCTCGGATGCGAATTGTGTTTGCAGCTCTTTTATCGCTTCAGTCGTGCTGGCGATTTCACGTAACAAATTCATCAGCGTACTCATTTGTGACAAATTCAAACGTTGATTCTCAAGCAATTCCAATAATTTGCGCCACTTATCCATAACCTCGGTTTCGCGTCGCTTCACGCGCTCTTTGCCATGATAATTCTCATGCTCCAACTCATTGGCCATAGCAGTTAAATCGTTAAAACGCTCTACACGCGCCAATATATCCGCCGAGATGGCTTCGTGTTTCTTCAATGTCGCATCGACTTGTCGCAGGTAGCGTGGATCGGAGAGCACTTGTATCATCTCTTTGAGATAACCTTCGCGTAGCACAGATTTCTTTTCAAATTTATAATTGAGTTGCTCGAGTTTCTCTTGGCGCAACAGCTCTTCGCGTAGTGCCACCTCACGATTGTGTTCGGCATATTCGAGCTGTTGCCACGCCTTCTCGATATCGTTCACCAATTGGCCTTCTTGTGGATTGTAGGGTGGTTGATTGAGCGCTTTCAGCAGTGTGTTGATGGTGAAATAAAGCGCTTCGATTTCACTGCGTTCCTTATACCTAAAGCGAGTAGGAATTGAGAGGAGTTAAAAAATTACCGCCAACTCAATTTGGATTCATAGTAAGCGCAGGAATTTAGTTGTATAAAAATAAATATGAAATTAAAATTTCCATTGAAATTTTGTTTAATTTTTTTACCACTACGCCGAAATGTAGGCAACATTTTTGCGCTTACCAGCTGAGCTGAGCTTTTTGACTTACGACACCATAATTGAGGCTCAGTTTTAAAGACAGAATTCTTAAAGACCTTAGCAAAGGCTTAGCCATTGAATGTGCAAGAAAATATAAAAAAAAATGTTCGCCTAATTTTCGGTAGAAATGTTGTTTATACTCATTAGTTTTCATCATCTCAGTAAAGAATTTGTTATAAAATTGATAAAGGGTAGTAAATAAAATTTCTTAAAAACATCTGCTTAACGGAACAGTTTTAAAATCGCATAATTTCGGGATCTGAAATTATTATTCATGCAACTATGGCTTTTTCGGGATATAGCTGTTGAAAAACCAGGAATAATAAGACTTTGCAGCAAGTCGTTCTTATATAATGGAGTCATCCTATTTGGGATCTTGTGCCAAAATGGCTTCCCATTTTTATTTGTTTCTTCAAGTTTTCCTTGGGAAAGCTGAGAGCCCAAAGAAGCTCAATTTCGAAATTTAGAACTTTTAAAATGATAATGTTCTTTTTACCGTCGGAACCGTGGTCAAACTTTGGTTTCGGGTATTGGTGCGCTTCTTTAACCATTACACCGTTATAGGCACCTTTAAGAAAATTAATACTAAAATAACTAAGTAGAAGAAAATTGTGTAGTCAAGCTACAAAACGATTAGTCAGAAAATTCTTCATATATGATTTTGAAATCATGGGTTCGCGATTTGATGTAGTATAAACTCTATATCCAAGTAATATATAGGTTTTAGATTTGGATGTTTTTTTCCTTAAATACAAAAACTATAGGGCTATACAATGGCATTTATTCAACTTACTTTGGCGGTTTCTCGATCGTACGATATTCCTTGAATGCCAGCAATTCACGTTGTATACCCTCCAATGAGTTCGGGAAATCTCGCTGCTGCAGTTCCAACGTTTTTTGTCTAATCCAACTCAGCAAATTTGTAGTGAGACGTTCATAGTAGATTTTCTTGCGGTCAGCATCCATCAATTGTCCCACAATCTTAAAAAAATAAAAATTAAAAATAAAAAAAATTTTAAATTATAAACTCATAAATTATTTATTATTCTTAAAGCAGTCTGCAAACAACTGGAACTCAAACTCATTGAACAACTATTCGCTAACAACTGTTTGTTTGAACAAAAATGCTGTAACGTTTCACAAATGTCAATAAAATGCGTAAAAATCAAAGTCGCTTACAAACTTATGTACATATTCGTACTTATGCGGCTGATGAACATAATATACTGTGGGCTAGTCATTGAACCTCACAGCGGCAACAAGTAGAGCGTAAAACCTTTTAATTCTTATATATGTTGCATTGGTATTGGGTTGCGCCCAGAGAACTGTTGTACAAATGTAACAGCATAACAATGCACACAGGAAAATATTGAGTTTCAATGTGCATATGTATGTATATATATATTGCTTATGAGCTGAGTCGGTCGCTGAGCTAAGAATGGATGCTTTCAACTTACATTGGCAATGCGTTTACCACTCTTTTGTTCGTTCTTCATGCGAGCAAATGTGTGATAATAGGAAGCCACGTAGGTCAGGATTGACTTCTCGTCGGGACGCGCTGAGTCGACGTCTTCGGCATCCAATAAACTGTAAAAGAGAAAAAAAGTCAAAAATTAAAGTTTCAACTCTGTATGATCGCACACCTACCTTGGTATACCCAGCTCTGACGCGGCCATATCGAAGGCATGATTTAGATTGTCAATATTTGAGTTCTTCGAATTGACAATTGTGCTGTACTCGAACAGATCGGGTCGATGTGAATGTATGAGCGCATTGAAGCCCAGACCCGAACGCCAGGAAGATGTGAAATCTTGTATGTTGACACCAGGGTAGCCATGCGTTTTACGCTGACACCAGAGCAGCAGCGCATCCTTCGCCGAACGCTTCTCGGACGATTCATTCTCTTCATCCTGTTGTGGGAAATATGCACAAAATGTGTTGAAGATTTGGAAATAAAAGTAAAAATAAATCCAGTTTTGTATACTTACCACATCAATTTCAATTTCCTGTATTTGAAACCGCAAAATGATGGTCCAGATCAAACCTAAAATCAATCTGGGATTGCCGTCGACAATGTCCTCAGCACCGATCGATTCTAAACGAACCTGGAAGATACGAATTTTTTTTTTTACAAATTAGTACAGATAAATAATAGTGAGTATAGATTTATATAGAGATATAAGATTCTATATGTGTGATGCATTTCATTCATTGAAGTGAAAATATACTGAGAAATTTATAAAAAATTATAAACATATGATTTGTACAACCTCGCAGCCAGATTAAGTTACCCTATGATCTAAAAAATTCGATGTTCACGTAGAAGGTAGAAAACTGAGGATGAAACCTATGTTTTTGGTAGTCGTGCGCTTTATCGGCAAATGAGTCGCAACTTTTTGGTTCTCCTTGTCAATATCAATCATCTATTACCCACACTTTATTAGAATTAATCATATCATGTCATGGCTCTATCAAATAGCTACCTACGTCTTAAGATTTGACTTCAGTAGCGGATCAATAAATTATAACATAAAATATTGATTTAATTCAAAATACTCTATGCCTCTAAAAACACCCGATGGAATTTTGTTGTAAGTAAGGCGGGAAAATTTCAAAGATTGTGGTATCACCCAAAGTAATTTATTTATTATAACTACCATATGTAATACTTAGGTCAGAAAGGAATCGTTTCTGACGAAACATTCAGGTTGCACTTTTACCAAAGAATAATGAGAAAAAACATAAGTTTCTATATCGACGATGCTCACATCATCTAAACACGTAAATAAAAACCTACTTGGATACTTAATATAATTTTGATTTGATTGTGAACTTAGATGATCCTAGAGCTGTGTTTTGATACCATTACGGGGTTATATCTACTTGTGAATTTCCAAAAAATTAATTTTTTTTCATGTAAATAGAATTTACATATATTTGAAAATTTACTCGGAAAATTTGAAGTTTACCCGGCATAGAGAATAGATATGAGCGTATTTGTAACTTTAAATATGAACGCGTTTTTCTCGAAATGCTTTTTTCAAAGCCTGTGAGAGAAATTTCTCCGGAACGGCTGCACTAATCGACTTAAAATTTCCACACGATCTTTTTAGATATATATGTCAGGTAACAATCGAAGGAATAATAGTTATAATAATAATTTCGATTTTTTAAGCCACTCTTGCAGTGTTAGTTTTTTACAATAATTTTTTGGAATATTTAGTTTCAAGATAATTTTAAGCAGAAAAATCTTCTTTACCGCCAGACACCTTTTTTCAAAGGATCTATAGAATTCAAAGTTTCTCAAAATGAATCATCATATATTAAGTACATAAAATTTGGTGAAAGTACAATATATTTTTTTATTTCTTAAATAAAATGTCTCTTCAAAACAGATTCGCAAAAAATCGCGTTTGGTGTTGCGAAGAGAATGTTATCCATTACTGTTTTAGACTTTGTAGTGAATATTTAAGTAGTGCCAGAAACAGTGATGCTGCCGACGGCCGGAGTATATAAGAAAGCTGTTTCCATAGAACATAAAAAATGGAAACATGTACTAATTCGATTAAAGCAAGAATAATCTGAAAAAATGCCTTTCACTAAATAAATAATAAATAAATATTTTTTCATAATTTAGTAGAACTTTTTTTATATTCACGTTACGTTTGATCTCCATATGTTAATTAGTGTGTATTGACAGTTTGTTTGTTTACGACGCGAAAAGTTTGTCAGCCGATTTTTACCATAGCAAAAATAATTTAACAACGAGTTTGCTTGAAATTTTGTGTTTCCAATGGAATCACCGCAACCAAATCATTGAAAATGTTTCAGAAGTGTTCTGGGAAGTCTACTTTATCACAAACATAAGTATTTGAGTGGCACAAAGCTTTCAGTGAAGGTCGTGAATGCATCGAAAACTTGCCTCATGCGAGTCGACCATCCAACATCCTTAATGACGATAACATCGAAAAAGTTAATGAAACAGTTCTTGAAGATCGTTGTGTTAGCACCAGAGATATAGCAGAGGATCTCATCATCTCTTATAAATCGAACCAATACATTTCGATTAATGTTTGGGGTATGAGGCGTGAATGCTATCTCAGCTAGGGCTTATAACAAGTCTTTGGAAAATTGGACTAATCGTTAGCATGCTTGCATGGATTCAGGAGTTTATTTAGACGAGAATAATAAAGAGTTGTAATAATATACATGAAATTGTATTTTGTTCTAGTACTCGTCAAAATTAGATAACTTAAATAATTAATTATTTTTTGCATTTTAATAAAATAAAGTAAAACAATAATAAAATAATATTTATTAAAAAGAGAATTTAGATAGATATTTCACTAGCGATTTTATTGCTAATTGTCCAATTTTGTTAAATTTTTTATTCGAAAAATCGAGTCTCAGATCATAAATAAACGTGTTCATTAGGTAACACTTCAATTAAACTCCAATCACTACAATTCATTAGCTTGTAGTTCCCACAAAAATTATCACGCTTGCTTTGGATGTATTCATTCATTTTTGAAAGTAAAACTTTTTGGTAATACTTTCCTGTTAGTATACGGTATTTGTATATATATATTTATACATATTTACTATGTGTGTATGTGTGTGTGTGTGTATGCATGCAATGCACACACTTGATGAATACAAATATGAGTGGCAAATGATGCAAAGTGAAAACTGACGTGACGTGACAGCGGTGTGGTGCACCTTGCTGATGACAGCTGGAAGACAGCCGAAAAAGACATAAAGGCAAGCGTGATACACAGCGGATACATGCACGAACCGTTAGGTGAAAAAACTTTCACTACATGCAATATTGTGAGTATATACTCATACAAGCGAGTATATGTGTGTGAACAATTGCATGCAATTTTGTGCATAACATACACACATGCAACCTAATACTATCAGCTTTGATAACAAATTGCGATATTTAATAATCTAAGCTGAAAAAAAAACACATGTACATATGTATTCATGTATATCGCCACTGCTATTTGTGCTAGTACGGCTCTCCCACTCGCCACTTGAACTGCTAACCGGCAAAATGTCTTAGCACACGGCAATAAACGCGAATCCAAACACTGTTTTAATTAGATTAAGTTAAGTAAAAAATCCGTTGCAAGACAGCGCAGCACAAATTGGGGCCACACACATCCAATTGGCAAGCAACAACTGCTGTGTGCAGCAGCAAAGAAAATAAAGCTTTGTGCATGTGTGTGTATGCCGATTAGGTGGGGGAGAACCGCTTCGCGGGAAGTGTGTCGCATGCTACGCGCCACTGCCTCAAGCCAACTTTAATGGGGCAACCATGAATATGCAAACATGCATGTACCGCGTACTGTAAATCGTGCTATATTCGAACTAGTGTGCAACTAGTTGCTTTCGATGCAGTTGTATGCTTAAAATAAACATGCTAGTTAGACGTTACTTCATACGATTTCAGTTGCAATACATTTATTTAGTAAATATAAACTGAAGATTTGAACAATTCAGCTTAAAATAATCGTTTCTAGTTTAAATACTATTTACTACTAACGAAGAACTTAATCGATTTAATTTTCTTCGAACATTTTTTTATCACTAAAACACACAAAAAATAGAATGGAGAGCTAGAAAAGCGATGAACGAGTTATATTTAGGTTAAGTTAGTCAAAACTAAGTTAAGTTAGTTCAGTCTAAGGTACAATAATCCAATAATGATAATGAGATCTAAGACCGTGGCATATGGCATATAAGTTCATTCCATAGGCCGATTGATACAACAATGTTAAACATTTGAAGACTTAACAGCATTTGGGAGAAGTGCTATGCGCACGCGCAGCTGTCACGCTAAAGTTAACACCAGAGATTGCGCTTGCATTCAATGTGCGTTGCTTGTTTTGTATGCTTTAAAGCGCGCTGTTTGTTGCCTTTCCCCAAACAACAAAGCGCAAAGCACTTATGTATATATGTATATAAGTACATATAATATATATACATATCTCTATGTACATATATACATATAATACGTAGCTAGTCGTACGTGTGCGCCACTTACACATAATTTGCCATTTCTTTAATTTATTTTTGTTTGTTGATTTGGCCACAATGTGTCTCTGGCATTGTCTCAGCAATTTATTTATTTGCTTTTCTTTCGAAAGTTCACATTCAATTCAATCTTTCGTCGCGTTGAGCTACACAATGTTTCAGCTATTTGTGTTGCATTCGCGCACTCCCAGAAAATATTTAATTACCACGGCATTTGACTGCGACACCGCGCTCATTTATATGAGTATATACTCAGCCTAGGCACAAGATTTGTTAACGAAAGCAAGCCTACAATTTAATTTACAATTCACCATGCTTACACATTTCTAATTACTGTCACTGAAACTAATGTTGGCTTTGAAAAAGAAAATTTGGAGCCACCACAAATCTTTCATGCTAATTGTGCAGAAACCATGCAACTGAATTTATAGTTTCAACTTTTTAAATTAACCAAAAATAGCTATCTACAAACATTTTAAAAATTAAAAATACAAATCACCATGCAGTAATTATGTTCGTCATTGCATTTATATACTTATGTTGTACCGGTATGAAATAAGCGTTTTTTTTTGTGAAAATGAAATACTAATTTTGAATGGGTAAATAAATTTATTCAAGGTTATGGCCATTGCTTTTTACACATTTTAACCACCTTTCTGACAATTTGTGGATACTATGCCAATAAAAAGTTTGTATTTTGAAGCACGCCAATCAGACACCCAGATCTTTCCCATAGCTTTTAAACGGTCTGAAATTATTTGTTGTGCAACATTTAACATGGCTTTATTTATAGTTATAGATGTCAGTATAGCATAGTCTGGCAATTCAAATCCTTTAAGCCATGAACAAAATGTAACAGTGGCTAATATGAAAAAGACGGTCTGACTAGTTTGGCATGTGATTTATACTAATTGTTAGTTAATGAGTTGGTGATTGTACTGCAAAATTTGTTTTGTATAAATATGTTTCTTCATATATGTAGTATACTCTTTACGTACGTATATTTATGCTACACACTGTCAATGTGTATGTGAATTTGCACTGTACAGTTTCCTACCTTGGTGTGCAAGAATGCCAGACTCTTGTTGACATTTTCGATTTTATGAACACGCATCCGACCGCTATTCGGCTTTCCCAGTTTCTCCGACGATATGATCTCCAGCAGCTTAAGTAATTTGATGCCATCAGCTAGATCTGTGAATAGGTCTTCGACCTCCATTTTTGCCTGCAACAAACAACAACACACAAAGGCAAACGCACATTATTAGAAATTGTGAATAAAAGATGACAAACAAAACCAAAAAATTAATATATAAATATGAAAAACTTGTTGTTAGTTAATCATTTGTAAGTAAATGTTTTTAATTATATTATTTGTTTTGGGTATTTAGGTAGCTCTTTAAGATTTTTTACCGCTGTGTGGCGCATTTACATATTTTTAGGCATTTTCTTAAGTACGAATATGTATATACTTGAATGTATTTATGCAACAACAAACAGCTTATGTTGTAAGTATTTACTTATGTTTATATTTGTATACAGCTAGCCTCGAGTGAGAAACAGCAAGTAGTGAGGAAAAGAAACTTTCTAAATATCTAATATGAAAGAGATTGAAAACTTCTCTATGATGTCATAAAAAGTAAGCAATATGAAAGAATTTATTTAATATATTATAAAAGCCAGTGTATTTTAAACAAATAGGGTCGGTTTAAAATCGGGTCAAATTTAGATACTCAAATCATGACGGAAAATTATGAGAGAAGAAGAAGGATAAATTTTTGACGCCAAAGCCCGATTGCACTACCTCAGGTCCGCAGTCTCTTATCAATTTATTTGATTATAGTTCTGGACACTTATAGCGATTAAACACTGTCTTCTTGAGAGTCTAGTTTTCAAGTGATTGTTATATATATTGAGCTCAATGGACAAATCAACGTACATATGTGCAACTCTCTTGTTCGGGTTCATTCCTTAACCATGCATAAAAAAAAAAATTAACTTCGGTTGTACCGAAGCCATAATACCCTTCAGAGGTCTATTTCTTGCAACCAAACAGGTTATAAACAGATCTTTATCTTGATTTCGATCGGCCAGTTTGAATGTCAACTATATGCTATATTGGTCCAATCTGAGCAATAAGGTCGAAAGTAATATGGAATTTAGAATAATCAAAAGATAACAAAAGTTCCAGAATCAGACGAGAATGAAATGGAATTGCAAAATCATGAAATAAGCTTAAGAGAAGTCCAAAAGAGCTTTAAAAATATCCAGAAGGGATGATGTCATACATATGACATACAGCTGTGATTTGGATAATATTATATTTAGAATATTTTTGGTAATGAAGTAGACAAATCTCTAAGTATGTATATCCGGAATAGTGTAAATCAGGTGTATTTTAGTATGTTCTCGAAGCAAAGCCTTCAATAAATCTTTAAGTACTCCACGATTATTATAAATATTTTATTTGACAAATGTGAATGCTCCATGCTCACCAACACTCAATCGTAAGGAAAAAACATCGTAATCAAATGGGGGAAGGCATTGGAATAAAATGAATAATCCATTTTATAGTTCTACTCCTTCGAAGATCGAAGCCTGGGCTACCTTCATCGTTTTTAGATATTTTTGTATCTTATCAGGTCTAATTTTATGAAGATATTTCCCATTTCGACTAATATAAATGGTGGGTAATTAATCACTTATACTCACTTTTATCAAAAATGAATTCATCCATTTTGTAAACGTCTTCTTTTGTATATGTAGACGTTCCTCCTGCAGTGTTTTGATACGCTCATTTTCGAATTTTATAATACCGTCACGCTGGTTCATGGTGGCATCTTTGCGATTTTGTGCCTGCAACGAGTAACCGCCGGGTTCATATTGTGATGCTGAAAAGGTAAACAATGCAAATTATTAGTGGGGTGATTATAAAGAATAATATTGATAAAATAAACAAAATTCGATAAGTAAATGTGTATACATATATATATTTAATTAAAAATCAGAATATTATAATAAATTATTTTTGTATGAGCAGCAAAAGAACACTCGCTAAAATGAATGAAATGAAGCGTGAATTTTAATAGTACTTGTAACCAAAGTCTTCTCTTTCATTAATGACATTGCGAACTAAAGTATTTTTTGTTAAAGGCGCTTCAGAAGAAATAACGGTACAAAATTGTTATAGTCTCTACTTCTATAAGTCTTGGATCTAATTAGAATGTATGACTTCGATATGACTTTTCGTTTTAGACCTGATGTCATCGTATATGTGGAGATATGAGACTGCCTACCGAGGTTCAGTCGATTCTTTATTTTTTTTATAAATTGTAAGATTTTTTTTCCACTTATGAGTCGATTCCAGGATCACCACAGCTATTCGAATAATTAAATTACTTTTTAACCCAAAAAGATCATAGTTCTAAATATTTATTGATTATGCAGCAAAATCGCAATGGAGATTTGACACTGTCACAATTCTATTGAAAAATATTTGTAAAGAGCACTTTTTTCGAACAAGTTCCAAAGCATACATAGCATACTTTAAGTGAAAATCTTATAAATCCCACAGGAATTTCTCAGAACAGCTAACCCCACATCGTATCCAAAATATACACTTGAGTGCATGTAAATGTTTACATACCACAACCATTTGTTTACAACAATTTTATTATTGTTTATAGAAAGCATAATAATAACAATTATCAACAATAACAATAAGATAAAGGTTAACGAAAGAAAGAAACTACGGTGCATAGACCATCGGGAGTCAACATTGCACACCACAATTATAACAAAGAGAATTGTTAGCTACACATACAACAAAAACAACAAAAGAAGTTGACAGTAAAGCAAGTCACAGAGACATAAAGTACACATACACATACACATACCCACAAACAAGCAAAGCTACAGAATGAACACTTCAAATCACTTCGGAAACCATACAAGAGTCAAAATGTTGCGCATCCAAAGGGAACAATTGAGCTTTTGCGGAAACGGCAGAAAATCAATACCCACACACATGCAGTTTTATGTTTCGCTTTCAATTGTTTTACGTGTGTACATATGTATGTATATATCTTCATATATGAACGTATTTTTGTATGTACTAAAGTTCATTGAAAAATTGGTGAATAAACACATTTATTTTATTGTCCGAAAAACAAAAGTAAAGTTGTACTGAGTTGTGATGTAATCTAATGTACTTGTAATTCGCTTCGCGCAAGCGCAACAACTCTTCCGCTTCACTTTCTTCGCCTAACATGGCAGCGAAATTTTTTGATTGCGCCATTGATTGATTTGTCGTCTAAATTGATTTGTAAACACAGTGTCTGACGAAATTAATCCACAGCGAAGTTCATTACACCATTAGGAAAATAATAACCATGCAGCTATTTCACTTAATTTTGCGATGGAATTCAAACTTTTGAAAAAAAATTGTAATTCTCAACCGGCAACTCAACAATGATTTTATTTTCAATTCAAACTCTTATTTCTTAAAACGTTCGCATTTTAATATATTTTTGAAAAATTCAAAAAAAAAATTTTAATTTTCTTTATTAAAATTATCTCGAAAAAGATTCAATTTCAAAGTTCTCAACTCGATATTTTAAGGGTAATATTTAATGTAATTTAGTATTAACAATAGAGTTTCTAATCAAAATCAAGCCTGCTTACAACGCTCTTAGAAATTTTTTAGATTCTAAAAAGTATTAACCACATATTTTCATATGTGATCGTTATGAGATTTCTTTCAAACGTTTGAGAAAATATTATCTACAAAATTAAAATTCGAAATTGATTTGAACATTTTAACAGAAAAATTTTTGTTGTCCAGAACAATTTTAAAAAGTGTCGTTCACAAATTGCTCAAAACGCATCAAAAATTGTGCTCAAAGAAATTTAAATACATATCCCAGCTGATCTCAAACGTTTGAGAAAATATTTGAATTCTTCAATTCATTAAGATATTAAAAAAATGTAATTCAGTATAAAATTTAGTGCACTAAAGTAATTTTAAAATATACACGGTAAACAATACGTTAAACAATTTGTAACTAACGAAGGTTTAACATAACCGCTACGTTAGCATTTGTTTAAGTTATCTAAAATATGATAATGTTATACCATGTTCCGACCAAAAATTTGAAGTGACTAGATTACATTTAATTTATTTAAAAATAAAGTTTGGAGACTTATCAAACAGCTGTTTGACATTCAAGAATTCACATCGTTTATATTTTTTGAAAGAAAACAATATAATATTTTCAATTTAAATTCAAATGAATTGCTTTTAATTTATTATATTTGTTTATTTAAATTTTTTCCCTTTATAGTGTCTAAATCAGCTGTGATAATGTTATAAATTTCCCAACTGACAACAGATGGCACTAAATCAGAGGCGTACAGAGAGATTTCCAGTAGATTAGCTTCAAATCTACTTGCTGACGAGATTAATAAGTGTGATTTTTGTATGGCGAAATCTCGTCTAAATCTAGTAGATTAGTGACGAAGTGAAACGAAACGAAAATTACATTATTGAGAAACTGTTGAGAAATTACTTTCTTGGCTTGAGAGAGCTTGAAAATCGAATTTTCAATTTTTTACTTTTGCCACGTTATTAATTTTATAATCTTCTAAGTGAGTGTATTTATTTCCGACATTTGACTGTAAAAAGCATTAAAAAAAAATACGTTATTGAGAAAATAGTCTTTTTTTTGGCTTCAGAGAGCTTGAATAGTGAGTTTTCAATTTTTTATATTGATAATATAGTTACAGTTTTTAATAATTTGTACGCAAATATATTCTATTGTCCGTATCTAACAAGTCTTTGTTGAAAAAAGTGGAACTAATTTAAATTTTTTATTCAAAAATATTTAAGAAACTTTTGGAAAAATTTGGTATTTTGAAATAAATAGTTTTGTTAGTTCTTTAAATTGCCGAATATTTAATATGTAAAAATTATGAAGATATGAGTTTCAATTAGAAAGGAGATTAAAAAGCCAAAACTTTGTTATAATTAAGCTTTATGGTAAAAGAAACTGAAAATTATGTCGACTGAGTTTTTTTAAATGTTTAAAATATTGAAATTATTTTTGGTTTATATTTGGATGCTTTCAAAAATCAATCCTGCAAAAAATGGCTAAACATGTTTCTCTTCTTCTATTTCTTACAAATATAAGCGACCATAAACCGGCTATGGAGGTACGAATAATTCTTTCTAATAATAAGCAAAAAATAGGAAAGAAAGGGAAATGAAAAGCTGGGGACCTTCCTATTATTTATTAGGAGCGCATATTTGATTTTATTGAATTGTCTATCAAATATCAGAGAATAAAGTGATAAGTAATCGATTTTTTTTTACCCTCTCTAATATTATATATATATGTATACTCAGACGTTTAAATTTTTATTGTTCCAAACATGACAAGTGGTTTTAAATATCAAAGGAAACACAACAACAAACAATTATTTTAATAATAAAGAAATTCCATTCAGCTTTCATCATTTATTCGTCTTTTTATTTTTATAAATTTTCTATTTTAAATTAATGTGTGCAAATAAAACAAACGCAAAGATATGCAAGTAAGTATGTACATATATATGTATGTATGTATATGTGGGCTAAAAAACATTTAGTTTATTCAAATTTATGTATGTATGTGTTTAAATTTGTAACCGATAAATGCCTCACCCAAAACCACTAAATCAATCAGAAACAAATAACTAGCTGACAATTGGCAGATAATCGCCAACTCAGACGGCAACACACACACTTTATTGGATGTTTATGTAAATTATAAACATGTGTACATATATACATATATAGGCATACGTATACACGTATACATTTATAAATGCTCGCGCATATTTGAAAACAAAGGGTTAACTGAATTAAAATACTCTTTTATAATCAAATACTTTGCTTCCAAACCTCAAATTTAAGAATGACCTTGAATATTAAATGAATACATTTCACACACAAGTTTTTAGGTTACAAGTCGACAGCTTGAGCATTGAGGGAGTCGAAAAAAAAGAAAATGATTAAAAACCACTACCGGTCGCTATGGTGTATGATTTTAACATACATACGCAAGTACATATATATTTTTATAAACCATATGTGAATACATACATACATATGTTTGGTATGTACAGTGAATTTGTCAATAAATAAAAAATAAGAATTTCACATTCTTACGTAATAATTGTGAGACGTTCAAAAAACATATACAGTATACATATTTACTTATTTATGCGTATAATTAAAGTAAATGAACTTCAAATTCGAAAGCAATACTGATAAGCGCTGAGGTTGACATCAAGTTTTTAAATATATACATACACATACCATATACATACACATATCATATACATACTTGTACATATAATATCAGCAACTAATTAGATAAAGCGAGACTTGCTCAAACTAAAAATTTGTAAATTGTTTTCAATTCTTCATAATACTCGTATTTAAAAATTTTTCTTTTAAAATAAACTATGAATCACATCGAGAGTTTAGTTCATGACTAGTCATAATTAATGAAAGCTTCGACTTGGTCATCGATGACATACATACATACATCATATTGTCATTTTTGTACATTTTTGGAGTGCTGATGAGATAGATGATGCGACAATAAATTATATTTGTTGGGTTCCACAAACAAATACAACATATTTAAGCACCGCGACTATTTATTTACTAGTAGGTGTATATATGAATGTTACATACATATATCTTTCATAAGGTTATCGTAATAAACCTTATAAGTAACCTTTGCTGCCAAGAATACACTTATAAAAGCAGAACACAGTTAAAAAATAAACACTTGAAAAATTATTATTAAATTTGTAAAATATATGTAAATACAACGTAGGATAC